CTCGGGCCAGTCTCGAGATCTGGCCCTAAGATTTTTATCAGGGCACTGTCACTTTAAAAGGTTTTGTGCATTGTCAGCACATTGGAGGCTCTTGCAGGAAGCAAGCCCAGAAGGCAGAATGGGAGGGCAGCACAAAATCTGGCAAGAGAGTCCTGCGTGGGCTGGACCTCGGCAGAAAGGCAATATTTGAACAAACTGTCCCTATAATGGGCCCAATTCTGCTCTGCTCTTGCACTGCAGCAAATCAGGAGCCACTCACCGAAATAAACAGAGTTACTCTGGTGTAAAGGCTGCGTGAGGTCAGAGTCAGGCCCAGGGATTTCTGCAGAGCTACTCCTGGTTCACGCTCTCGCCTGGCGTCCGGGAGAGGAGAACTGGGCCCTGTGGTGTACTCTTCACTGAACACAGGGCTGGGGCAAGTTGGGGGACTGACGTCCTCCACCCGCAGACCAGGGGCAGGACAGATGCCCTGCCACGGGGCCTCCTCCACCCTGCCCTTGGGAGACCACCCCAGAGGGTGGAGGGAGTTCATGGACCATGGCACGCTGCTAGTCCTGAGGCTCCATGCATTTCTGGACAGTGCCCAGATACCACGGTGACGGGTGGTACAATAGATAGAGTAGAGCAGAATGGCCCATCCAGCCCCTGGCCTCTCTACCGAGACTGTTTGCAAAAGCGGTGAAGGGAAGAACAGTGACGGTGGTTTGAGGATGTGGGAACCTGCCCCACTAGGAACCAAAGGGACAGGACAGGTTCTTCCCATAGGCCAGGGGTGGCCAACCTGTGGCTCCGGAGCCCCATGCGGCTCTTCCGAAGTTAATATGCAGTTCCTTGTGTAGGCACCGACCCCGGGGCTGGAGCTACAGGCACCAACTTTCCAATGTGCCGGGGGGGTGCTCACTGCTCCATCCCTGGCTCTGCCACAGGCCCTGCCCCCACTCCACCCCTTCCCGCCCCCTCCCCTGAGCCTGCCATGCCCTCGCTCCTCCCCCTTCCCTCCAGATCCTCCTGCACACCACAGAACAGCTGATCAGGAGGTGCGGGGAGGGAGGGGGAAGGCGCTGATTGGTGGCGCTGCCAGTGGGCGGGAGGTGCTGGGAGTGGGGTGGGGGAGCTGATGGGGGGCTGCTGACAATTACTGTGGCTCTTTGGCAATGTACAGTGGTAAATTCTGGCTCCTTCTCAGGCTCAGGTTGGCCACCCCTGCCATAGGCCATCTGACCGGCACCATCAGCTACTTACGCTGAAGTTTTAATCAGGGAGACGGCGCAGGCAAATTCATTGGAAGTAAATGGTTTGAGGCCTAAAGGGTTTATTTGCTGGGTCTGGTTTGTGCAAAGGGGAAGGTGAGGGACAGGGAGCCTAAACAGATGCCCCCTTAGTCTTGTCCTGATCCTTAAGGGCCATCAGCCAAATTAATAGCCGCTGGTTCTGCTTGCATTTGTGAGGTGGATTTTTCTTCCAGTGAAGAAGAGTAGTTTACACTGGGGCAGCCCAGCCAGTGCATGTGTCCATCCAGTACGTGGAGCAAGCGATTACAGCTGCCTGATAAGAGCTGAGCGTTAGGATTGCCTGTCTCCTGATCCCCAGACATGACGTAATTCAGAAGAGGCCCTCATTAGAAATTATTCAGGGAACCCTGTGGGAGTCTTGCCTTGCCGCTGCCTTGCATACCAGAAGCCCAAAGGAGTGCAGATATTTTTCTGGCTCTGGGAGCGAGTAGGCACCAAGCTGCTTGGAGAGAGATCTGGAACCTGCCATTCTCCTGTCCTGGTTAGATGGGCTGGGTTGCTGGCCTGATTCAGCGCACACTTTGAAGTGATTGCCGGTGCAATGGCATTTTCCCCACTGATACAGAACTCGGTGGCACCAGCCATTCATCTCAGAGATGGGGAGGTTCCAACCAGGTCAGAAACAAAGTGAGTTTGGGGTCTTCTGTTTAGTTCAGGACAGACGAGACAAACTCCTGCTCTGCTGATCCCACCCTCGCCCTCCCCCTCCCAATTCAAATTATGCCCCGTTTAAGGCTTCAGTTAAAAAAAAGTGAAGGCCAGATCTTCAGTGAGTGTCAACCAGTCTAGTTCCACTGATGTCAAAGCCGCTACACTGATTCACACTAACTCAGGGTCTGGCTCTAAATTTCTAGCCCTTATGGTTGTGAAGGAAACTTTTCCAGAGAAAGCACTGTCTAAGGCAGTGCTTCTTAACCAGGGGTACGTGTACCCTTGGGGGTAGGCAGAGGTCTTCCGGGGGGACATCAGCTCACCTAGAGATTTGCCTTGTTTTCCAACAGGCTACGTAAAAAGGCACTAGCAAAATCAGTACAAAGTAAAATTTCATACAGACGACGATTTGTTTATACTGCTCTGTATACTATACGCTGCAATGTAAGTACAATATTTATATTCCAATTGATTTATTTTATAATTATACAGACGCTCCCCGACTTACGCAATCGTTCCGGAATGCCGTGCATAACTCGAATTTTACATAAGTCGGAAACGTATACCCGACCATTACGCCAAAAAAACGAACTTTTTCCGTAAGCGCGGATTTGCGTAAATCAGATCTTGCGTAACCCAGGGAGTGTCTGTATGGTCAAAATGAGAAAGTCAGCAATTTGTCAGTAATAGTGCAATGTGACACTTCTGTATTTTTATGTCTTATTTTGTAAGCAAGTTGTTTAAGTGAGGTGAAACTTGGGGTATGCAAGACAAATCAGACTCTTGAAAGGGGTACAGTAGTCTGGAAAGGTTGAGAGCCACTGGTCTAAGGGACCATCTACACCCCAATTGAAGGTGTATGTATAGCAGGGGTTTGTTAGGCATAGCCACACTGGCTTTAATCTAGCTAGCGCACATAACAATTAGCAGTGTAGATGCAATTGCACAGACTAAGCCTTGGCCAGCATCCAAGTACCCACCCAGAGTCACTGGTGAGCTTGTTCAAGGTAGCAACGTGTGCTACCCACTCAAGTCTTCTCTGCTAGTGTTACCCGCACTCACTGGATTAAAGCGGAAGCAGCTGTGCCTACCAGCAGTACAACTATTCCTGGCGTAAACGTATCCTTGGCCTGAAAGAAGAGTTTGGCGAGAGGTGTAAACTCCCCTTTCCTCTCAGTAGGGCACGAGGTCCTTTAAAGGCCTCATTTTCAAACAACACAGGCCACTGCCTAGAATTTCCATAGTTTGCATTGTGCTTCTCCATAGGATGTGTACTCCCATCCTGTCCCAGGCCCCACTCCAGTGTCACATGAGAAATGGGCAGTGTAGGGCCATTGATATCCTCCCTACTGTGCTCCTGCTCTGGGGGGATTCTCCCCTGACCCCTTGCAGTACACTTACAGGCCCTAAGCTGCCAGGAGCAGCACCAACCCCAGTAACTATCAGTTCCCATCCTAAACTGTTTAGCACTACTGTGCACTGTTAAAGAGCTGCCATCTTTTATCTCAGAGGTGGCTGCATTTCAGTGGTGGGCAAAGTGATTCCTGGACATAAGCACCACAGGAAGCCCTCTGGGATCCTACAGGAGGAAAGGTCCTGTTGCTAATGATACCGTTATAGCTGCGCACTGGCAGGAAGGAGCCTTCACTTCCAGCCGACGTGTGTGGCTGCAGCATAGTGTCCCTGAGTGGGGCAGGGAGAAGCAGCATTGTGCATGACTCACAGCGCCCCTGTGGTCGATGATGCTGAAGGGCTCGAAAATGAGACATCGGGTCTGATCGCTTCCGGCAGTTCCGTTTTGTCCCGGATCCAGGGTCTGACAGTAGGCGGAAGGTATAAGACCTGTTCAGTCTCTCAGCGAAAGGGGCCTTGAGGATGGAGTGGAGTGAAAAGCAGATGTAGGGAAGGGGAATGGGGTGGCCCCATTAGGAATGCATAGGGCACCCTACAATAATCCGTAGCAGAGAGGACTCTGCTGGGTGTCTCCTCACTTTGCTGCTGTGCTTGGCCGCCCCTTCGGAAGCAGACTCAGCACTGCAGAAAGCGTCTGACCATCTGGGCCAGCCCGTATTGCTCAGCAGTGATACTGCAGCTGGCCTCCCACGCGGCGAGCGAGCCAGCATTTCCCCACTGAACGTGGCCAGCATCCTACAGGGGAGACATTCTTCTAGAATGTGTCTTGGCTGAAATCAGCCCTTCTGTCTTTTTGTTAAGGGCTCATCCCTGCTCCCGCTCAAGTCAAGGGGAGATTTGCGATGGTCTTTGGGGGCAGCAGAATTGGGTTTGAAGTACGAGGAATAGGGACCGGCTTGGCAGGGATCTTTGGGGAGGCGCTATGGGTTTTCGGAGCAGTAGTAATAACAGATCTGCTCTCCTCATCCCAATTACTGCAGCCCTGAGCTGAAATGCCAGAAGAAAAGCTGAGGCTGCTTTGGAACACGTTTAAATCCCTCCCTCTTCTATTCTTTATCTGCTGGTGACACATACCCACACCTTGCTCCCCTCCAGTCCTGCTGCCAGAATAATCTCCTGTTCCTGCCACCTGGACCACGTCATGGTCTGATCCCTCCTCTACCTCCCACATCACCTGCACAGCTCCCTTTCCTGTTTGCATCTCTCTTCTAATCTCTTCTCGCTAGCTTTGCCCAGGCCCACCTCTAGCCCAGTTTCCTTCACCCACTCCGTTGCCTTCTCCTTCCGTGCTTGGAGCACCTTCCTCTCCTCTTTCATAGCCGTGGCTAGGTCTGATCTGAGCCCCCTTCTATCCACCCTCCCCAAAAAGGTCGCAGTGGTGGGTGCAAGCTGGTGATTCAGATTTTGGCTCATGGACGTTGGTGATGGGGAGGCAAAGCAGACATGCGACGGATCATGGCCATGGTCAGTGTGCAAAAGCTGATAAACAGCCCGATGACTGTGGTTCAGAACAGGGGCGGCAGAGCCCTTTGCCCAAGGAGACAAAGGTCTCTGCCCATCTCTCCCGGTATTGGCATCAGTGGAGAAGGAAAATTCCCCCATGTTTCTGTGTATGTCACTCAGGGACCTCTTCTCCCTCCACAGGTTCGTACTGCGGGAATTCAAACCCCACACCTCTGGTGATGAACTCCAGCTCAGTGACCATCCAGTTCAACAGCACCACTCACCGCTCAGGGCGTGGCTTTCTGCTCTCCTACGCGACCAGCCAGCACCCAGGTACGAGGCACCGTCCAGCCACAGCATGGAGTGAAAAGCAGGGGACTGCTGGTCCTGGGGAGCGGGGGAAGGGACAGGACACAAGTTGCACCACACGGATCCAGCCCCCTCTCCATGGGGACAGAAGGCCCCGCAGCCAGGAGTCCATGCTGGCGGATCCTTCCCCCACCAGCACACTACCAAGCCCAGCTCTGTGTGGATGCTCATGGCAAAGCAGGGGTGGGTAGGCCAAGAGGATCCCTCACAATATCTATGCTCTGGTCCTTCTCCCGAGCGGGATAATCAGAGACAAAGGGCTCAGAGGTCCCCAAATGATGCTGTCTTCCTATCCCCAGGGCTTTCATGTTGCTGTTACAACCACATTTGGGCTGACAGCAGGATTTGGACCTGAAACTATTACCCCCCCATTTTTCAGAATTGCCAGCAAATCAAAAATTCCCTTATTCACACAGGTCCCCCTGGACACATACATGCTGACCCTGTGATCGAGCTGTGCAAGTTGTTCCGGGCTCATGCCAATTAACCCTTTATACCACCACCCCGCCCCGCCATCATGAGTTCTGTATCCACTACACACATTACAGAAAAAATATTGCAGGGATGTCACTTAAAGAGCTTTGCAAAATTATGTTGGACTACACATCAATTTCCACCCTCAAAGCCAGGTGTCTTCGTTAGCATCCATTAACCAGTGCAGGGTTCAGAGGGAGAGAAAAATTACAATAAACAGACATCTTTTTAAAAAAGGATATGCATTCACTTTTCTAGACACAATAATGTGACAATTTAAAAATATGGTACTTCAGGGCCTCCTAGGAATTGAGAAACATGGGAATCTCTCCTTTTGAATCCTTTCTGATGGTATTGTGAGAGGTTGTCCCCCATAAGATGCTACCTGATGTACTGGGACACCGCTGAGCCTGCCTGTTCTGCCAGGCTGGGCACCCTTTTTACCTGTCTTGCTGAGCCAGGCTCTTAAGCCTCCTCCAGCACAGACACAGGCAGGGCCACACCCAACTGCAGAATGAAACAGACACTGAGATCAGCTCTGGGAAGACTCAGCTCAAGGGATTTGCCCCAGCACTCAGGTGTCCACCTCCTTTGGATCGCAGACCCAAAGGTATGTTATGAAATCCACCTCCTCTCTCAATGTGAAGGAAGGTATGCACAGCCTCTTCCTCCCCCCCCCCCCGTCCCCTCCCCATTATGAATTGCAAAAACTGGGTTATATTATAAAAAAGAAATACATTTATTAACTACAAAAGGTGGATTTTAAGTGAATACAGGAGATAACAGACAGAACAAAGCAGATTACTAAGCAAATTAAACCAAACACACAAACTAAGCTTGTTTCACTAAAGAAATTGGTTACAAATAGTAATTTCTCTCCCTAAATTTTGAATTTAGGCAGGATGCGAGTTTCTGTAGCTCTGAGTTCCAGTTATTTTTCTTACAGACTGGACTCCTGTCTCAGTCTCGACTCACCCCTGCCTTTCCCTTCAGGTTGGTTTCTTTGTCCCTTCAGGTACTTTCAACAGTCTTTCTTCTTGGAAGCCCTGAGGCAGAAGAGGAGAGTCTAGTTTGTCTTCCTCCCCACCCTTAAATACGATTTACACAAGGCGGGAATCCTTTGTTTCCCAAACTTGACCCATCTTCCCTTTCAGTGGAAAGTTACAAGACATCCCAGATAATGTTCAGTCTGAGGTGACAAGACAACCTGACCTAGTAGCGTCACAGCTCTGTCCCAGGACACCTCCCAGGAGGGAAAGAGATTAGTATCTTCACAGTCTTGTTGTTCCTCCTAATGGCCCATTGAATCGGAATAGGATGGCCTTTCCTCTGGTGGGTGTCTTCCCAATATACACTCAGCTGTAATTGTTACATAGTCCATATTTCTAACTTTAGATACAGAAATGATACATGCATACAAATTGGATAATCACATTCAGTAAATCATAACCTTTCCAATGACATCTTATATGAGCCATGTTTTGTCATAACCATATCATAAGCATATTTTCATAAGGAATATGGAATGGAATGTCACAGGTACAAATCTCCCAGTCCCAGAACTGCAGGGCTGTGACAGACCTTAAAACTGGCTCAGGACTGAATCTCATCCAGCCTGGGCCTTGAGCCGGTGTAATTTGGAGGGGGCGGTGGTGGAGAAAGGGGAGGGATTCCACATTTAGGAGAGGAGGAAACATGTCTGCAGTACGTGGATTTAAAACTCCAGTTTGGATCTGTTAACTGCTAGGTGGTTTGGCATGTTAAAATACAGCCCGGGGAGCTGGTCAGAAAACAGGCCAAGTGAGCAGTGGTGTGTGCTAAGTGCACTTTATCACATAGATAATACCATACAAAATACCACTGTGCAAGAGGGGACCCACCACTAGCATGCCCCCTCCTGCTGTAGCTGGCTCCCCACTCCTGGTGCCCCAGCAGACAGCCACCCGGCCCTGCGGTGGTCTGCTTCTTGTGACTCAATCCTCCAGCCAGGTCACCTTTCCCACCTCACCCCACCCCGCTTCCAGGGGGACAGAAAGTCCCACTAATAAATAGTTCAATAAACTTGTGTCAGCAGCCCCTGACTCTGGACCTTGTGTCTCAGGGCTTCCAATAGTCCTTATCCCTTGTAGCTTCCTCTGGAGGGGCTCCAGCATGAGCAGTCAAGGTATGCTCCTGCCGCTCCCTTGCTGCTTCCTGGGCTTCTTCTGACCTGGGCCTGCCTTCAGGCCCTTTTCCTAAGCCCCTTTCTAGGCTTCGCAAAATCCTGTCCAGCTGAGGTAGCAAGCAGTTCCTCCCAGGGCTTTCCCCCTGGAAATCCAAGTCCTGCCCTTTTAACCAGGCTCCCTGCTGGGATTCACTCCTTGCCTCTGGTTTCACCAGATCTCTCCTGGCTTGGGGTCAGGAATCTCAGGAGCAGATCCCAAGAGCAGCTCTTCCCCTGGGCTGGGCAGTTGAACTTACACCCTACCCTTACTCCGTGGTCCAGGTGGCAGGAACAGGAGATTATTCTGGCAGCAGGACTGGAGGGGAGCAAGGTGTGGGTATGTGTCACCAGCAGATAAAGAATAGAAGAGGGAGGGATTTAAACGTGTTCCAAAGCAGCCTCAGCTTTTCTCCTGGCATTTCAGCTCAGGGCTGCAGTAATTGGGATGAGGAGAGGAGAGATGATCTGTTATTACTACTCCCTACCCTACAGAACTCCTCCCTTTACAGAAACTCAGCTGGGCCTGATAAGGAATTGGTTCCCCCACTCTCCAGGTGCCATCCTGTGGGCTAATTGAGCCTTCACCCTCCCATTAACCGTTTGGCTGCCAGTGGAGGGACAGCAAGGGGGGCCCACCCTATCACAACCACATATGTGGTGGTGCTATCCAGGTGATCATTCACTTTTGACCACCTCCCCTGCACTCTGCCCACTGGTCCGTCTCCCTGGGACTTCTATTCTACCATCCCAAACCTTAACAGCCTCGAACAGCTGCCATAAAAAAACCCCAGAGTCACAGAAAAATCTCCTTCCCTTCCCAGATATGGAATTTGCCTCAAAAACATTATGACTGCCCCAGACAGAGCAAGGATCACCCACTAGAGAGCAGTAAAAACAATTTTTGAGTCTCAAATGCTAATGTGGATTTTCTGTGCCCCAGGAATTCTCCAGATTTTGCACAGACTGCAGGGACTGTCTCCTGGATGTTTCCGATTGGGACACCCACCTCCCCTTCCATTCACACGCAGGCAGGTCGCTTCCTCTCCCGTCAGGGATCTCAGACTTGCTGGCTGCTTCTGTGGCAAAGTTGGTTTAGGAAAATACTGAACGGCTCCATCTCTCCATGCCGTTTAGTAGCCAGAAGTGAGGAAGATAGTGCCATGTAACCAGACAACACATCAGGAAATGCCCCATGGTCCGCCAGTGGCCTATGGAACCCCCTGCTAGAACCTTTCCTGTAGCCTAGGGGCATGTGCAGAATGCAGCAGGTGGGGTGTTGTGACAAGCTTTTACCAGCTATCATTTGGGATGCTGGGCATGATTCGTGCCTTTGTCACTTGTGAATAATGCAGCCATTCCAAAGTCAATGCTGGCTAATCCTTTCTGTCCTGCCACACTCTGTGGATTTGATGCATGTGAGTGTGTAGGTGTGTGCGTATGGTGTATACACACACGCACACAGTGTCTGATTCGTATGTACACTAAAGCCCTTCAGCTCCATGCTGGCGGTATAAAGGGGCCGTAAAGTGGGCACTGAGCACCTGTGCTCTCACTTAACGACCTCTCTCATGCTGCCCTGAGAGATGCGACGGGGCCTTAGTGCAAAGGAGATTCGGGGCCCTACATTCTGACTTAGGCACCGATCAGCATCTGCAGCTGGCGTCTGACCCTGAGGGGCTTGCACATCAGTCGCTGGGTGTATGCCACAAAGATCCATGAGTCACCTTCTGTTTTCCACCGTCCTCTGTGGTTTCTGGAGGAATGGTGAGAGTGGGTGGGTTGGGCTGGGCTGCTGGGAATCCATAGACATTGGATTGTGATGTGTAATTTCCTTTAGAAGAGCCAAAGAATAACAGTTTGGGTATCCCTGTGGCTTCCCTAGGGAATATGCCACAGTTCCTTGCATTATTCAGCATGGTCCCATTCCCATTTGGCTGCTAAACATTGCCTATATCTGTGGAAGGCAGTGTCCGTTGATGGTTAGAGCAGGGCCTGTGGGTCAGGACTCCTCCCTTCTATCTCCGGCTCTTCCACAGATTAGCTGTATAAATTTTGGCCAGTCACAGATCAGTGCCTCAGTTTCCCCATCTATAATATGGGAATAATGATACTCACCGGAGGGGTTATGAGGCTTGATTCATTTTTCATTCAAGGAAACACTTTTGATGGGAGTGAGGCACGTAAGAACCTTTGAGAATCTGGGCCTGAGTGATCACTGAACGCCACATACAGAGCCCCTGTCATGGACCCAGACAGACTCTAGGTGCTGTACAAACATAGAACCAAATTGCTGCCCCAGACAGCCAACAATCTAAGTAGGGAGATAAACTCCAGCCTAAGGTGACCGAAGCTGAGACCATTTTGAAGTCAATGGGAAGTCAGAACATGGCCCTTTGTGAATGACTGTTGGGGTGATAATGGTGGTATAACATGGCGTTACCGTGTGGGTATAACATGGGCAGGATGCAGCATAGGCCACTGTGAGACCATGCTGAGCAAGAGGGGTTTATAATACAAACAAGGGCTTTATTGATGGGTGTGAATCTGCTGTTGCTCAGACGGGTGTAAATCAGGAGTGACTCATTGCACTCCCTGGATTGCATCAGTGTCAAGCCTGTGTCTCCGAGAAACAAACAGCAAAGCAGTCTGCCTCTGGGTATGGGAGATGGGGGAGGCCACTGGAATTCTCTGTCTATCTGTCTTTTAGATCTGATTTCCTGTTTGGATAAGGGGACCCATTACCACCAGGAACAAATCAGGTAAGCGGTTTCCAATGGGGAGTCTATTATCTGAGAATAAACCAAACCCATTCACAGAGTAACTCCACTGACATCAGGCAGGGGAAATCTGGAGAATGTGACAATCTGCACTGATGTAACTGCATATATGCACTTACACTGATGCAAATTTGCATAATATAGTTAGGCCTTAGGAAGCCAGATTCCGGGGTTCTCTGCCACTGACTCACTGAATGGCCTTGAGCAATTCACTTCCCCTGTGTGTGCCTCAGTTTCCCCCCTAAATTGGGGTAGTATCCGCCTCCCAGGGGGATTGTCAGGCTTTGTAATCACTAGTTATAAAGCACTATGAGATCATCCAATGAAAGGTGCCATTAGTGCAGATTATTCATGGTTATTAGCCACTCACCAATGGATTAATTGCATAGGTGAATAATTTGTAGCAATAATTTGTAGTAATCCTGTAGTGACCCAACAGGAGGAAAGTAACAGAGTCAGGTTTCTGGTGCAAATACACACAATTACAACTTCACCATTCGCTTTCTAGGAACAGTCCATTGACATTCACTCGGGTGGTCCTTGTTTCTGCCGGGGAACTTGATCATTAGGATATTTGCGGGGAGTGAGCCCCAATTGGCACAAACATTTGATGGGAAATGGTTTGCAGGTTTGGCCCAGATCTTTCCAGGACCAGGGGATGCCGCTCATGGGATGAACCTGATGTGTCTGCCTTGACTTCCCCATGTACATCACACAATCCACCACCATGCTCCCCCTTCCTGGTAGCCTCAGAGGAGAGGGCAAGAATGCCTGGGCTAAGGGCACCGAATATCTCAGATGCTGGTTGGACAAGTTGCACTGCTCTGTCTGTTCTGAGCATAGAGGGCTGTGCACCTTCCATCAGATCCAACTTTGCTAAATGAAAATAACGGGGAAGGAATAAACCTCCAAGCCCCAGGGTCATCGGGGATGAAGGGAAGCCCAGCTGCCTGGAGAAGAGCTGAGAGGTCAGAACTTCATCCAGGGTTCTCCTTTGTCCTGTGTTTCAGTGTTTTCTGCCCAGCGGGCTGCAAGGGTGTTGCGGGTGACATATGGGGAAACGCGAAGCAGGGCTACCGAGACGTGAGTACCAACCTCAGCGCTCCTTGCAAAGAGACCGGCCCTGAGTGGCGGCTGTAGGGAAAGCGAGTCACAGGCACAGCTGCCCTAATCCATATCTTGTTGGCAGTCTCAGCAGGGCGGCCAAGAGTTGAACGGGCTCCTGAAGGGTGAATTCCCTCCAGGTCAAGCCCATTGGCAGGGGCAATGTGGGATAGCATGCACCTGCTGGGTCTAATCCATGGGGAAACGGAGCTCTGGAAAGTCCAGGGCTGCTGTTTCCACCACACTTTGTGCCAGAGCGAAATTCACTTCAAAAAATAAAGGGCCTGATCCTGGTCTCGCTCCAGTGTGGCTACGCCCGATGGCACTGGTGTGAGATCAGAATTGGGCCAAAGTCTTTATAAAGCAGAGATCACAGTCTTTGTGAGCCAGACTCTGGTCTTGGTTACACCGGTGTAAATCTGGAAAAGCTCCACCAAAATCAATAGTGTCGCTTCAGGTTTACACCACTGTGAGTGAGGCCAGACACTCTCTGACCCATGGAATTGCCCCATTCCGGACTGGAGCCCAGGCTGGGCTCTCTAATTGGGGTTTTCTCTCTACCTCCCTTTCATTTGCCACTTCCGTGCCCCCTCCAGACCTCGGTTCTCTGCAAGGCAGCCATCCACGCTGGAGTGATCTTGGATGAGCTGGGAGGGCAGCTGACTCTGTCTCGGGAGAAGGGGATCACACTCTATGAATCAGCCTTCGCCAATGGACTCCACTCAAAAAGGTGAGCAGCCAACTTGATTGCTGAGCTAGTAGATACGGCTGGGCCGACCTCCTGTGGGGCCCATGCCCCTCCAAAGGATGATTGGCCCTGATCCTCAGACTGCAATGGAATTAGGTTGATTTGTACCAGCCCGAGACCTGGCTCGCTGTTTTTAGAGGGACAATGTGTAGCTCAAAATCAGAGAGGACCAAATCTTGCAGTGTTTTCTCAAGCAAAAGTCCATTGACGTTTTACCTGAGTGACGGCTGACGAATTTGGCCCATATTTTCTTTTCAAGAGCTGATGACTGGGGCGTCAGAGGGGCTCTGGGAGACCTGGGTTCTGTTTCCAGCTCTGATACTGACCTGCAAGTCGCTTAGGCCCAGATTTTTAAAGGTCTTTAGCAGTTACTGTGCTCAGTGTTGCAACATCTGAGTGATTTAGGAGCCCATCTCCCAATGCGGTTTAGGCACCTAACCAGGGGTGTGCACGGGAATAAAAATATGTCCACTTTTGGAGGGGCGCTTTCTGTGCCCCGCAGCTGGAGGAGCTGTCTCTCCTCCCTTCCCCCACTGCCCTGGGGTGGTGGAGCTGGCTCGCCCACCTCCCACCCCTCCGGCAGCGGATATCTCCCTGCTGCAGCCCCAGGGCTGCCCGGCTGGAGGAACTCACTCTCCCTGCGTGAGCCCCAGAGGAGTTTTGGGGGGGTGCCCCTGTTTGCCCCCCCTTGTGCCCCTGCACCTGACTCAGACAGAGCACCACGGCGTGTAGCAACACTTAAAGATCTTTAAAAGCCTGTGTCCTAATCTCACTGCGCAGCTGTTTCCCGAGTTGTAATGAGACTTGTCCAATTCACGAGGTGGGTAAGGCTCAATATGTTCATGAATGTTTGTAAAGCCCTTTGAGCTCCTTAGATGAAAAGGGCCATAGAAATGCAGATCATTAGTAATCAGGGAATAGAAGCCAATTCTGATTTAATTCCAACAATACAATCTAGCTGCTTCTTTACCAAGACAGTGACTTGCGTCAGCAACGTTATGTCAATCTCATCTCGCCAGCAGCCCCACCTGCCCAGTCTGGCAGCTGGCGTGTACAGGGCCAAACTGCCCCATGTCTGTTGCAGAGCATGTGGTCAGCCCTGGTGGAACGAGGAACCGGTCGTGCTTTCTAGGGAGTTAGATATGGGGCTGTCCGCAGCAGCAGCCAAACTGTAATCAGCAATGGCTGAGGTTGTGGGGTGGCATAGGGGTCGGGAGAGTTTGACATCGGGGTGGGGGCCATAATCAGAGAGTAGATGTAACGCTGTTGAACTGGGGAGCAGCACCCATTTACACCCACTCTGATTTTTGCCCAGGGTGTCAAACATGGTTTAGTTTCCATCAGCTTGAGGTGTCACAGCAGGGGAAATGTGCTGCTCTGGGATGGTTGTTCCTTCTTGCATGTGGCCTCGCACTGGTGTGGCTCAGGAGTGACTCCACTGAAATCAGCGAATTTAACAGTCAGGAAGGAGAGTGAAGCCTGAATTTTGCTCTGAATTACACTCGGGCAAATTTGGGCTAACTCTACTGACTTTGGGGAACTTATTTCAGATTCACACTAGTGTAACTTACCATGGCATTGACCTCAGTGGAGTTACACCTGAGCTACGTCAGCATGAGATCAGAATCAGGCCGTCTCTGTGCCCCGGGTTTGTAATGTTCTCCACCCATTTTCCTTTAAACAGGGGGTCCTTATCTGAAAAGCGCCTCATTTTTCACAAAGGTACGTCCTTTTCCATTTCTCCTAGAATAAGCCCAACCTGGCTGCCAGTGAAATCAGTAGCAAAGCTCCCGGCAGCTTCAGTGGGAATAAGGGGAGAGTCCCTGGGGCAGATTCTCCTCTCACTTACACCGGAGTAAATCAGAATTAACTCCAGCGAAGTCAATGAGGCAGCTCTTCAGCTGGCGTACAGCTGCTCCATTGCAGTTGAGGGACCTATACCAATTTACTCCAGCGGAGCACCTGGCCCAGCAGAGCTACATCAGGTTGGGGGGGGGGTACGGAGAGGCGGGCCATCAGGCAGGTGCAAGTGTAAGGCACGTTTTGTGATGACCCTGCACTGCAGGCTGTGTTCTGCCAGCCACGCTGAGCTTTGGCTGCAGGCGACGAGCGAACAGCTTGACAGAGAGACTCCCAGCTGGGGAAGATGAATGGGCTGAATCCAGCCCTGCCGCATGGAAATGAAGCCCTGCTACCCCTCTGCTAAGCAGGGCAGGCTTTGTCACTGGGGATGAGGATCAAAGGAGGAGATGGCAAGAGAAAGGTAGCTACCATCAGGGGCTAATGCTGAGTCAGATGGAGCTGCCGGCTGTTTGCTGGGGCTGCACCACACACAGGGCTGGGCCACAGACAGAGGAATTTTTCATTAAGACCCATTAGACTCCCCCTAGCACATTCCCTCTGTGGCTGAGCCACTGTGGCATAAAGGCCCCCGCCTCCCCTGTGCCCAGCCCCCACCACCCCGTGACCTCCCGTCTCGGCCGATTCGTCCGCCTGCCTTTCAGTTTTACACCTCCTTTTCCAGCCTGTGACCATGCTCTCGAAGCAGTCAGCTTCAACGCCTCCTCCTCCTGGCACGAGGTGAACGCCATGGGGCAGTACAAGCCCTGGACAGCGGAGCAGGCGGCATTCAGCGCCCACGGGAACTCGTGGGCTGCCGATCCCAGTTCAGAGACCGAATGGCTGGAGATAGATCTGGGCGGAAGGAAGAACATCACAGGTCAGTAAGTATCAGAGGCTGTTCTCTTCCCCCAGGACTGTACTACCGCACGTAGGAGCAGCTCCTCAGCTGTGTAAACCCCAATAACTCCAGTGTAGCTACGCCTGGTTAAGGGCCAGATCCTCAGCTGTGTCAACTGGCATAGCTCCGTTGACGTCACTGTAGCTATGCCAATGTAGGGGTTAGATCCTCAGCTGGTGTAAATCACTGTAGCCCCATTGCTTCCATGCAGCTATGGCAGTTTACAGGCTAGATCCTCAGTCTTTCTCATGAGTCCCAGCGAAGTCCCTCCAGAATCTGTCTCACAATCATATCATGGGCCTCATCCTGAGCTCACTCGCACCAGAGTAAATCAGGAGTAACTCCACTGACACAGGGTCGGTTACACTGCTGGAAGCGAGGAGCAAAGCGAGACGAGAATCAAGCTCTGCGTGCCTTTGATGGAATATACAGAGCTAGAGCCTCAAATGGCGTAAATCGGTGTCACTTCCTTTACTTCAATGAAGCTAAGCTGATTGACACCTGCTGAGGACCTTGCCTATGTGTGCTGCTGGCCTGAGGCCTTGTCAAATAGTCCTATAGCCTCAGACCCCTCCTGCTTCCTACACTGTGTCCCGTGCAGCAGCTGTGACCATCACATATCAGGTGTAAGTGGAGCTGAAGGCCATAGAAGTGGATGGGAGTCAGTGGGCATTGGACCAAGCCCCAAGTGAGCAGGTGTAAATGGTGCTCAGTGGGTGTGTGCAAAATGAGCCATCTGGATTGGGGTGGGAGTGGCGAAGTGGGCGGAGAGGATCTGCTGTACCTAACCCCTCTTGGCGGGGAGCCTGCATCTCTCCTTGCGCTGGGTTTGGTGGAGTTCCTGCCGATTCACGCTGGCGTCAACAAGAGCAGAATCAGCCCCAGCTCCTTGTCCAGCCACGGCTCTCGGGCTGCTCCCTTGGTTGTCACACACAGCAGGGCTCAGCAGCCATGCGGTAACTCACCCCACCCTCCAGGCCCCAGAGCGCGGCTTCTTGGGAAATCTTGACTCATCCTCCTTCTTCCATTGGCCCAGCTCCCCGCCTTCCCCGCTGGGAGATATGATTGAGGATAGATGTGGGGTGCTCTCTGGCCAAGTGGCAGCCCACAGCCTGGAGGTAACCACATTTCTGAGGTGCAGGTGCTTTTCACATAAGGACTCCCTGTTTAAAGAAAGAGATGGACGGCATTATAACATACAAAGTTGGGGTGGGAGAGACTGGGTTTGATTCTGATCTCATACTGGTGTAAATTAGGTGAAGCCAATGGACTCATACTGGATTAAGTGACCCTGGTGTAAATCTGGAAAAAACATCACTGAAGTCAATGGAGCCACTCCAGATTTGCTCCAGTTTAACTGGGAGCAGAATTAGATCCTTCCCCTTTCATCCTTTCTAGATCCCTCCCACGCACACATTTTCCTCCCCATGGGGCTCTTGACCTTGTGTGCATGGGGTCACAGATCATATGATTCCTCTCTCTAGCCCTCTCATTCACTCTGGCCTTTTCTCCTTTTTCACTGTCTCCCTTTTCTCTCTCTTGATTTTTCCTTCCTTTCTCTCTTTCTTTTTTCTGTCGTTTGCTCTTTTCTCCCCCTCCCCGCCTCGCTCTCCCCACTATCTCAGGGGTAGGATTGGCCACCTCGGGGCTGAACAAGTTAATGTTTTGCTTGTGCATCAGTGGCCAGCAAATGCCCTTTGTTTCGAAAGCAATGACCAAAATTGGGGCTTTTGTGTAGCGGGCCCAGAATGCCTGTGTTAATTGGAAGGAGGAAAATGGAGGCATTGTGAGGCGGGCGGCTGGAGGCTGAGTGGAATGCAGGCCGGGAGTGCAGTTGGGGGTTATCTGTTCATCTCAGGCGAGGGGAGCGAACTTCCACAGAGGTTAGACATTCAAACCCGGCGGCATCTCAGCAGTTTGCAGTGGGAGATGCCGGAGGGCAGGTGCGGGGAACGGAAAGGAGGGATTCAGACAAGAAAGGAAAAAGAGCTGAGACATGGGGTGACGGCAGGTTCTTATGAAATTCCTAGCAGGCGACGACTAGAGAGAGAGAGAACCTAATAATGACTAGGCCCCTCTCTGAGGTTTTTTTCAGGGGCTCTCAAAGGATCCATTAATTCCCCCCCACATCCTTCAGGCAGTATCATGACCCCCATTTTGCATATGGGGAAACTGAGGCACAGAGGGGGCTGTCACTCAGCGAGTCACTGGCTATAACTCCTGATGCCCAGACTCTTGCTCTTGCTTCTATCGGGGAAGAAACGCAGGAGTCTTGTTTTTTTCCTGTTCCAACCGCTATATAACAACAGGTTTCAGAGTAGCAGCCGTGTTAGTCTGTATTCGCAAAAAGGAGTACTTGTGACACCTTAGAGATTAACCAATTTATTTGAGCATAAGCTTGCTGTAGCTCACGAAAGCTTATGCTCAAATAAATTGGTTAGTCTCTAAGGTGCCACAAGTACTCCTTTTCTTTTTATATAATAACAGCTGCAGTACCAAAGACTAGGGGGGATTATGCCATTAAAACGAGAGAGCTCTTCGTTGCCTGGTGTCAAGGGCCAAATTCCAACACTTGCTTAGGGCAGTGGGAGTCTGTCCATTGACATCAATGGGAGTTGGATCAGACCCACCCTCTGGGCGGGATCTCTGCCCCCATAAGTCTATGTCTCTATCAGACACCAACCCCAAGACTATTTCAAGACCCCAACCGCCAATGGCTGCCTTCACATGACTCCTACATCCTGTTCTGGGGTTACCATTTCCTGATTTCATTGTACGTGTTCCAGGAATTATCACCAAGGGATCCTCAGATAAATACAACTTCTACGTGAAATCCTACCAGGTTTTCTCCAGCAGAGATGGGAAGAATTGGAAAGCCTACAGATACAGCAGCGGGCAGGAGGAGACGGTGAGACTGTGTGGCCTGACAAAAGGAGGTCAGGTGGTGGCGAGAGCAGAGAGCACAGTAGGAATTCTACAAAGGGAAATTTTACTGAATCTTTCTAAAATTAGCCTGTTGGCTTGGTCTGGTTGCAGAACCTGCAATAGGAGCTAGTGTATTTCTCTCTGGAGTCTGGATAGAGATGCTTAGAAATAGATTCTGGTCTCTGTTACTCCACTGTAAAACTGGACTCACTCCACAGCATTAAATCAGTGGAGTTGTTGTGGGTTTCCACTGGTGTAACATAGATCAGAGTCTGGCCTTTGGAGATGCCTTCCATTACTATAGTTCTCAGACATTAATTAAGCCTCTCTACACCTCCTGGTAGCTAGGTCAGTGTTGTAAGCAATTGCTGCCATTAGGACTTTATAGCTGTCCTTATCCTGCATATCACAGCCACTTGGAATTTAACAAGGACAGAACTGGAGTTTCCTGCTCCAGAAAGCACATCCCCCTACCCCGTGAGCTGAAGAAGAATCCCTTTTGGTTGTTAGCAGAATGGAAACTATGACATATGGTTTGGATTCCATGCAGCGGAAGGCAGTGGTGCACATACACACTAACGCAGTGGTTCTCAAAGCCGGTCCGCTGCTTGTTCAGGGAAAGCCTCTGGCGGGCCAGACCAGCCCGCGCCACTTCCCGCAGCCCCCATTGGCCTGGAGCGGCAAACCGCGGCCAGTGGGAGCCGCAATCGGCCGAACCTGCGGACATGGCAGGTAAACCAAGTTGTCTAGCGGCCAGGGGCTTTCCCTGAACAAGCGACGGACCGCCTTTGAGAACCACTGCACTAGCCCATTCCTTACAGTTGTTATCCCCATTTTACAGATACAGAGGTATGAAGAGATTAAGTGTTTTGCCCAAGATCCCACAACAGGTGGGCAGAGCTCAGACTAGAATCCAGGCATCCTAACCAACACTGCCTCCCAGTTACTGAGGTGTAACATTTGCATGAAATTAAAATTGGGGAGGCTTGTGGGGGGGGGGGGGGGGGGGGAAGCAAAAACAGGGAAGAAAAACTGACATTACAAAAAATACAAAGCGCTGAGAGTGCCTTAAAGAGAACATGGCTTTAAAATAAAGTGGGGACAGTTTTCAGGTGTTCCAAGCGTTTCCCTGTCTCTGGGCTGTGTTCCCTTCCCAAGCTGATTGGGAAAAGGGTTTGTTTTTTTCCCCTGTGAAAAATGCAGACAAGAATGTTGGTTTGCATTTTCATCAACATTTTTCTTGGAAAATTTTCAGGGTGAGGGGTAACTTTTGAAACCCAAGAACTGAAATTTTCCTATAAAAACTGGAAGGGGGTTTTGTTTTGTTTTCCTTTGTTTCCAAAAACTGAGTTTTTCATGAAAATGTCCATATAGTCAGAAAAGCCAAAAAACATTTTTAAGGGAAATTTTCAACCAGCTCCATTCCTTCCTGTCGCTTGCCTGCCTGTCTATTTCCATGTAGGCACCCACCTCCCCCACACACATATAGGTCTAAATCCCTAGTAAAGTCTCCCCCCTCCCCCCGCACATAAGGAGAGACACCTGCACAGAGTCACGTTGGGGGAGGGGTGTCTTCCCCCATTCTGTGAGTATATGTAGAAGAGAAGGATCCACCCCAAAGCATCTGGGTCCTTTCCCTCCTCCCCCTACCCCATATGTATCTCGAAGTATAGGGTTAAAGAATAGATCCTAGCAGAGGAAGTGAGAGGGGAAGGCAAAGAACAAAAGGGCCATTGCCAGCTGAGATCTGACATGAGATGGGGAGTGGTTACACAGGAAGGCTGCGCCTGGTGGCAAGAGCTGCAGAGGAGAAGGCTTCTGCACCGAGGGCAGTGAGATGGAGTAGAAGGAGGCCGGTTGTGGGTGAGATGAGGAAGTGGCAGAAGAACAGATCAGATTCTGGGTTGAATTCTGCTCTCGTCACCCCCGTGTAAACCTGCCGTGACCCCACTGACTTCAGTGGCGCTAACATGGATTGACACCGATGTGACAGCTCAGAGGCTGGTCCAAGGCAGGTGGTTTTAAACTGGTTCCGCAGGTGTCCGGGGAGAGCTGGTGGCATTGGTCGAGGATGGGAACAATGGGCTCAGACAGTGGGTGGGGCAGTGATGCTCTGCATGACCCCGATCTGCTTTGCTGACCCCCCATTATCTTCCTCTTGTTCCCCAGGTCTTTGAGGGAAATGCTGACAGCCTCCAAGAGGTCTCCAACACGTTCATCCCCCCCATCCTGGCCCGCTACCTCCGCATCATGCCCCAGAGCTGGAACCAGAGGATCGCCCTGAAGGTGGCACTACAAGGCTGCCAAGTGGCTCGTCTGAAGGTGCCCCGGCCCTATGGTGAGAGGCTCCACCGGAGCAGAGGGGGCTGCCCAGTCAGACTGAAGTGTGGGTATCACTAGCCAGCGACAGTGTCCTCCAGCATGGACCTGTATTGACTTCATTGCTGCATGGCTCGCTGGTGCAGGGGGCTGCCCTCCTCTCCAGTGGCTCCCTGGGCGCTGAGGAGATGATCCTGAATCCCAAGACCTCTCTGCACTGGTTAGCTAAGAATTAAAGCGTACACTTTGTAGCCAGGGCCTAGCAGATGGAGATGAATGCTATCTAAGGGATGGGGCCAAGTGGCAGCTGTCTCTGGACTGTGCTTATCTCTTGTAAGCTAAGCAGGGTTGGGCTGCGTCATGCCTCGATTGGGAGACTTACACAGAGCGTGCAGGGGGGTTGGAAGTGAGCCAACCCCCCCAGGTAAGGGCTGGGGTCCTTTCCATGTGTCCATTAAAGATCCTAAGGCAGGTTAGCCTGGCTAGATCCTCCTTAGCCAGTGCATGCTGCCACTCTAAATTCCCCTGCAGTTTCAATTGGATTTTCTTTCCTTCCTGTCCTCAACTGCTGTGTAGCATTACAGCAAAGTGTTAGACAAGCTGTCCTCCACCCCAGAGGTATCTGCATTGCAGTAGAGGGATGAAAAGCACCCTATACAACTAAGAGTGTTACCATCAGCTTGGAACAACCAGGCTTCTGCTGGAAAACAGTCACTTCTGCCCCGTGCTGCTGTCTAGGGAGCAGGGCAGGTTCAGGTGGACACAGGCCAGATTCTTTGCTGGAGAGGAGTAGCTGACTGTTCATTACTTGTTGCATGTTAATGGTGCTTATTAAACTGTGTGGTTTGCAGTACCCAGTGCCCCAAAGGAGGTTCCCATTCTGACCAGCATCCCCACCGATCGCACCGTGATCCCAGGAGTCACCATAAATCCGGAAAAAGCAGGTAGGTGCAGCTCAGAGCACAGGGGTAGCATGGCCTAGTGGTCCAAGCTGGGGGAAGACTTATCTTCAACTCTGCCACTAACTCACTGTGCGACTCTGAGGAAGTCAGTCATTTCAGGACCAATTTTAAAAGTTACTCATGTGCACCAGTAAACGGGCAACCCTGGGATGAATCTGGGCATGCAAATCCAGAATGTGCAAACCCAAATGGCCAGTTAGACACGTGGTCGGCTACTGGCTTGTGCAGACACCTGATCTGTGCACACTACAGAGGCGGTTGTACTTGCAAATTAGGCTCCTGACTGCACATGGAGGTTAGCTTATGCAACTGGATACACATATTTTAAACAAGTCAGGGTGTTAACCTTTGTGCCTCAATTTCCCCACCCAGAATGTGACGATAATAATGCTCTCTTGACAGTGGAGCCGTGCAGGACAAGAAAGAAATTTTCAAAGGGCAGCTCGACATCCAACTCCCCCTATGCAAGTCAGTGGGAATTGGGTACCTAACTCCCCTCTGCACCTTTTAGAATCCCCCCCCCCCAAGTTAAGTAGCATGCATTGAGCACTTGGAGTATACTGGCTCATGTGTACAGTATACAGGCCCAAACTTATGTGGCATTGCTCCTGCTGTACCCCCATGAGAGCAGGATTAGTCCTCTACGGCACTATCAGCATGTTATTTGGTCTTGTTTCAGACTGTGATGTGTCTTCTCACCCCCTGCCCAGAACTCCTGCAAAGTTAGACAGGGATGTAGATGGGAGCTGCATGACTCACACGGGAGGGAAAGGGATAGACTGAAATGAGTTGGAAGAACTCTGAGCCTGATCCAATGCCCTTGTGCTACACTTCAGCTTGACCCAGCACAACTCTGTCCTCCTCGGTGCAGTGATGCCAGAGCAAACCGGTAGTGGCATAACCGGGAATCAGGCCCTTTATTTCAATAAGGAAGATCTGCCCAAACTCTGCTTGCACTAATAGTGGTGTCAATCTGGAGTGACTCTGCGTTTACATAAGTGCAGCTGAGGTCAGCTGGTGCAGTAGGAGCTACCCCTCCCCTTTCAATCTCCTTTAACCAGATTTTGGCCTCCTGAGTTTAGTTTACAAGCTGGCCACCTGCCCATTGATTGCAAAAATGCAGGGGAACATGTGGTGACCTGAAGCCTGTTTCATGAGGTCTGTTTTGGCATCAGAAGGAGAAGGATTAAATAACAGAGCTTTTTTAAAAAAATCCTGCCACAATTAAAAGTTTTCGGGATTTTTTCCCTGTGGTTTTGGTCAATCTGCCTTTCTAAAAATACTGTCCTGGGTTTGCAAAAAGAAAAGGAGTACTTGTGGCACCTTAGAGACTAACCAAGTACTCCTTTTCTTTTTGCAAATACAGATGGCTGTTACTCTGAAACCTGTCCTGGGTTGTGATCCTTGACTGGTCTAATCAGCACTCATGCCCCTGAAGCCGGTTGAGTCACAGTGGGGTAAATCAGGAGTCACTGCCCTGCACCCAATGGAGTGACATGGGCATAGAAGCAAAAATTCAGACTCTGTATTTTCCTTTACTTAACATGGCTCCCGTTGGAGTCAGGGCTGCAGTGGCAGAGCTTGGACCCTCTGCAACAGGGGTCTGGAGCAGTGCATCCTCATTGGGGTGTGGTGTAACCAGCTTCCACTGACACCAGGAGGGAGGGAGGGACAGAGGAGCCCTTTGCTGAGTCCCTGCTTCCTTCCCCAGGCTCCATGTTACTGGTGATGCTGCTGATCGGGGGCTTTGTGCTGCTCTCGTCTGGCCTCTTGCTGCTGGCTCTCCTCTGCCGTAAGAAGAGGTGAGTGATGCCCCTCCTGCCTTCTCCCCCGTCCCGTGCTCCCTGTTTCCCTCCATCATCTCCCAGCACCCCCTGCAGAGGCTCCCAGAGCAGGGTGCTCTCCCCCGGGATCAGACTTGTCCCTCACCAAAGACACCAGGGGCAGCATTTCTCCTGAAACAGAACCTGCTGCTGACAGAACCCAGGGCTGGGCACACAGGCTGTGGAGTCAGCACCCCCAAGGCTGGGCTGGCACCAGGCAGCCCCTGCTGAACATGCCTCTGAGGGGCCCCATCCAAACCAGGAGGCGGCCCACCCTTTGCAAAGCTCAGTGCCAACCTTCTGGAGCCCCGAAGGCTGCACCAAAGGTAAAAGCCCTCGATTGTAATGGTTGCTGGGACTTGTGTTCCTGAGCCATGGTAGCCAATGTGCTAGACACACAAGCCACTCACCAGCATCCCCCTGCTGGGGCTCTGTGGGCTTCAGTGACTCACACCCCCAGCATCCTCCTGCTGGGGCTCCTCACTGTACCTCTGCTCTGGGCCTGGATCGCGATTCCCGTCTCATCAATGGAGAATACTGATGCTCAGTGAGGCAAAAGAAGCTACCCACAGCCGTATAAACCAGCGAGAGGGCCAAGAATAGGACCCAGGAGTCCTGGCTTCTGCCAGAAGCGGATTAGGGGTTTGTGAGGTCCTGGGCCAGAACAAGTGGGGGCCCCTCTCCACCTCTTCTGCCTGCAATCCCCGCTGCCCACCCGGCGCTCCTGCTGGGGAGCGGGGTCAGGGCGCGGGGGCTTTTCACGCTCTCCCTGCCTGCCTGGCGCTCCTGCTGGGGAGCGGGTCGGGGCACGGGGGTGCCCATGTTTCCAGGCCCCCCCAAATTGGCTGGGGCCCCTGGGCACGGGCCCCATTGGCTCAGTGGCTAATCCACCATTGACTCCCGCTGCCCTGCACTCACCACTACGCCATGCGGTTGCATTCATGCCATGCCTCTGGATTCTCCCATTTCTCCCCCCTTCACAAGGGCAGTACCAGTATTTGTACAGATGCCCAAAGTCAAGCTGGCCCTCTGCATCCTGAACTGCTGCCCTGGGCACCTCTCGACCGGTAACCACAGGGCAAAGGCAAAGTTGATCCACAGCTGGTGAATTCACTGGGGTTTGAGTGGTATGTTCAGGTGAACCCTGACTCCTTGGGCTCCAGGGCTTAAGTCGCAGGAGGTAGCAGGTGCTGAACTGCTGACTTCAGACCCAGTGCTCACAAGCTCTGCAGGAACAGATTAGGAGCTCAGAGCTCTCCCTGGTGCATTTAGGAGCTCTGTACTGCTGAAGCACACACGTACCAGGCCCCTGCAATTTGGGGTGTCCCCTGAGACCTTTGAGTAATTGAGAGTTCAAATTATGTGACACCCTGGGAAGTTGTCCATGAACAAAGCTCTTCATTAGTCCTCAAAGATAGATTCTGCATTGTGCTAGTTGGGAGCAAATGGGCTGCTCTAACCTGCTTACCAGCACCTGGGCCGTGCGCTGGCTTCACAGGTGCTCAGCCTGTGCGGAGCTGCTGTGGACTTGCCTTGTTTCCCCCTCTCTCTTTTGGCAGGAAGACAGCAGCTGATCTGAACTGCAGCCTCATGAAAGGTAAGTGCCCCCTGAAGCACTGGAGTAACCAGGACCAGGTGGGATGGTAGCCAGCTGGCAAACGGTCTGCCCAGGGCTTCCCTGAGAGTCAGGAAGGGCTGGACTCCGACAGCAGGTTATTTCCACATTAGTAGCAAAATGAGTCACTCTGGTTTAATGTTTCCTAGTCTGTCCTGTTGGCAGTTGGCACACTCCTCAGCGGACATATCAGCAACAGCAAAGCAGCACTTCCCAAGCCCCTCTGAGCTCAGACCCTCAGCCAGGCTGCTCCTCGCTTAAGGGGGATATTCCATGGGCTCAAGTGGGGCTCGGGCCGCATGCTGGCCTGCTCAGGAGGCATTTCACTCCCCCACAAATGCATAAAGGCCACAATGTTCAGATGTAGCTGCTCATTCTGGTGCCCCCTTTGAACCACCTTGGCTCAGATCAAAGGTATTTAGGAACATAACTCCCCTTGAAATCAATGGGAGAGGCGCACCTTAATACCTTTGAGGATCTGTGTCTTTGGTCTCTATTGTCAGAGCCATTGAGCACCCACAACTCCTCCTTACTTCAGCTGGGGTCATAGGTTCTAGCTCTCCATCTTAGGTACTTACAATGCCCCCCCATCTCATCATCTCCCACTCTTCACTGTATTTATCCTCAGATACCCCTAGGAGGAAGGGCAGTGCTGGTATTCCGGTTGGGCAGATGGGGAACTGAGGCACAGAGCACAGCTAAGGTACTTGACCAAGGTCACACAGGAAATCTGTGGCAAAGCAAGGACTCAAAACTAGGTCTTGCACAGCCTAGGCTGGCAAGCTAACCATTGGGACAGCCTCCTCCTCATCCCCGAGGTGTCTCATGTTGTGCACCCAAAAACAGCAGACACAATGACAAATGTTGGCCTAAATCTTTGATTACAAGCTTGCAATGAAGCTCACATTGAAACCCTCCTCCCCCACCCAGGTGTCACTCACACCCACTTCTCTGCCAGCGCTGATATTGCTGGGGATTATCTGGGGGATGGGCAGGTGCCTTTCCTGGCACATGGCTACTTTGTGACACACAATGAGTGCCACGCTAATTCACTGGCCTCCGCGGGGCCCGATTCCTTGCTGCCTCTGACGTCATTTACACCTCTGCAGAGAGCATCCTGCTCGAGTCGTGGGCTACGCTCACTCTGCATGGGGGGAAAGGCGCAGGGCAGGGGAGAAGCAGCCCAAAGGCTGAAGTGTCTGTCTTAGCTGCCCTTCCCATCCCCAGTCTTTTACTATTCCCATATGGGAGTTGTCTCTATAAGAAAAGCTGCTCTGATGTAAACAACTCCATTTAAAAATCCACCTGGTAACACTGGTGCAAGGGCTTGTTTGCATGGCCAGCTAGTGCAAGGTGAGCCGGGCTGTAATTCTTCATGCACTAGTATGACCCTGGGGACAACTGGCAAAGGGTGTAAGGGGTGCACAGGGCACCCGACAGGTTCCACTGTGTGCTTTGACACACTGCTGTTAGCAAGCAGCAGGCCAGAGCCCTGAACAGCCACACCCTGGGTTGCAGCACACTAAGTCCCCATGTGGACAAGCCCATGGACGCTGCCTGAATGTGAGGCAGTGTTGCCTAGTAGATAGAACCAAGAGACCTAGGTTCTATTCCCGGCTTTGCCACGGGCCTGGTGGGTGACCTTGGGGAACCCGTTTCCCCATTCTCTGCCTCAGTTTCTCCATCTGTAAAATGGCATTAGCTGGGCAACCATTGTGTATGGCCTTTCAATTGCTACTGCTGGAAAGTGCTCTGTAAGAGCGAGATATTGGTATTAAACCAAGTTAGTGTTATTGGTAGTTATAGAACCCATGAGTCCTGACGCCCAGGCCTATCCTTCCTCCAGGTACTTTGCTGACCCCCTTTTGCCCTTCTACGGTCTGGTTTGAGAAGTGGCCTCTAAATTTGCACCCACTGGTTTTCTGGGCCACCCAACTACCTTAACTCCTCTGCAGTTTGTTTCCCTGCTTGCCAGCCCTAACGCTGCAGCTGCACTGTGTGCCTCCCGCTCAGCCTTAGGGAAGAGAAGAAAAGCCACCCAACTAACAGAGGCTTGGGGGGTTCCACCTCTCTCCTTAGGGTATCCGAAATTGGAATCCAGCCAGGTGTGCGCCAGTGAGAGCCTACAACCGTCCAGCTCTGAACTGACCTCGTTCCCCATGGCTGGGACCCCAGTTGAGCTCAGCGGGGCTCATTCACCAGGTAATGGGGAGCTGGGTGTTCCATTAGAGCAGTGGTTCCCAAACTAGGGGTGCGGCTTGTTCAGGGAAAGCCCCTGACGGGACGGGATGGTTTGTTTACCTGCCGCGTCCACAGGTTCAGCCGATTGCAGCTCCCAGTGGCCACAGTTCGCTGCTCCAGGCCAATAGGAGCTGCAGGAAGCGGCAGCCAGTATGTCCCTCAGCCCACGCCGCTTCCTGCAGCTCCCATTGGCTGAGAACAGCAAACCACGGCCATTGGGAGCTGCAATCGGCCGAACCTGCGGACACGGCAGGTAAACAAACCGGCCTGGCCTGCCAGGAGCTTTCCCTGAACAAGCAGCACCCCTTGGTTCCTATAGGGAACCACTATATTAGAGCATGGGGACCACTCCCAGAATAGAGAGCATCACCTACCCCTCCTTACCCCTGCTCCATGGCTCAGGATTGTTCCCTCCAGCGTGTTTTCCAGGGCATCGTCCATGCCAGTTTTCAAATAACTCAAGCAATAGGGCTTCCTGAAGAGACGACTGGACAATCCAAGAGAGCTCAGCCTCCAGAAATGGGACCTGTTTTACCAGAATCAGTCTAATCAGGCCAAACTAGACCCAGAGATTCCCGGGGAGCCTTCAACCCCACACGTTAGCACCAGCATGTTTGCACTGATGTATCAACCCCTCTCCCTAAGCATGGGGCAAGGCGGGCCACTTTGAAGATCTGTGGCACCTTTTATTCAAGGATCCCTCAGCACCTTACAAACGCTAACAGCTTCACCTCCAAGGGTGTTGTACCAATAAAATAAAAACCAGCAGGATCTTATTAAAGGGAAAAAGGCAAAATACCACATTTATTGTGAATACAGAAAGAATCATAGTAAGCAGTTAGTTATAGCTATAACATTCCATTCAATCTCATATTTATTCAAACATTCATTCATACAAACACACACATACACACCCACACACACAGGTTCTGCAAGGTTGTTATCATAGTTACCAGCCTTAGAGTTGCTCATGCCAAGCCACTGGCCAAGTGGCCTGGACATGAGGAGGGAGCAGGGCCTTGTCAGATGCTCATCTGATGCTCCTGGAAGTTGGTTTGCAGAATCAGACCCCAAAGTTCTCACTTTTTAGAGTCTATTTTTATAGGAATTTCTTCCTATGCCAGTCTATGGGAATTGCTTCATCATGCTGTTGCTGAATCAATCAGCAGATAGCACATTCCTGACGGCTACAAGATGTTATCTTGTTCTTTGGTTCTCCCATTCTTGAGGCTGTTGGGTGGATTCCAGTCTGCCCTCCGGGGGGTCCTCTGGTTATTTCCACTTGACGCCTTCTTCAGCCGATGGACACTGGATTCTTAGGCTGGCACCTCCCTGATCATTCAGTTATTATCCACACCAAGCATCCATCCACATACATCCTCTATCTCTATTTTAATCACAATTGTTAATACAACAAAAGGGTGGGGAGTCTCTGGGTTCTGTTTCTGTTGTTAGAGTATTGCTTTGAGTCTCTCTCTCTGTGAATTGCTTTGAGAATAGACTCTGTCTTAGAATGTACTAACACAATTAGCAGCTTGCAAGTTTCACACATAGAGGGAGAGAAACAGTACCAAAAACCAAGAGACCTCTTAATTAGTAATACCCTGGAATTTAAACTCTGGGGAATCAAACTCATTTGTGATTTTAATACAGAACTTCTTTAATATGATCCAACAAGGGGTATCAGTATCCCCACTTTACAGCTGGGGAAACTGAGGCCCAGCAAGGTGAAGTGACTTGCCCAAAGTCACTCAACAGATCAGTGGCAGTGCTGAAAACAGAACCCAGGAATCCTAGTTACCAGACACCTGCTCTAACCACTACACAATGCTCCCTCCTGTTGCCAGGATCAGAACTAGAGTCCTGACTCCCATTCTCCTGGGCAGGAGCAGCCTGGGGTGTTTTGCTGGCTAGGGCAGAAAACATCGCCCCACACACACACCCTGAGAGCAGCGAAAAAGGCAAGTGGTACAGAGCCCCCTGGAACTTGGCACACGAGTCAGCTGCCCTGCTTGCCCGCCCCCAGAACCAGCCCTGCTCCTGCACTAGCACCTATCACCAGGCCCCATGATCTGCTACCTACACATGTGCACCACCCAAGAATGGAACTTGCGACCCAGCAGACAGAACAGATGGGTGCACAGACAATGCAATGCTGCACCTGCCAGTAGAGGGCACTGGTACCACCTACACCAGCCAGCCCAGCTCAGACATGGGGCTCAGTCACAGACAGCAGTGAACTGGCTAACTAAGGGGGCAGGAGGAGTGAGGGTTAAATTTCTGCCGTTGACACAGGAGCCTCATGTGCCCGGGAGAGGGAACCTTTATAGCGCATCTCCCGGAGGGTGCATGCCCCAAGCCACGGCCTGGCATAGAGATCCCTCTCCTGGTGTGGGCTGAGAGTGGGCCGCCTTGGGGCAGAGAGGTGAAGTGGATGATACTGCCATGCAGGGCTTCTGTGGCCACCCTCCCCACAGCTTTCCTGGTGGGGAAGGGCTGGGGCTTGACAGCCCTGGAGACCAAAGATCTCTGTTTATCCACAGATCAAGCTTCCCCCGTGATTCCCCTGCCAACCCTGAGCTGGAAGAACTAGCAGTGCAGGGAAGGATGGAGTTCAGTCTCCATGGCCAGTTAGCCCTTCCCTCTCCTCCCCCGCAACCTCCAACAGCAAGGGGGCCATTTGAGGTGGTGGATTCTCCAGTGTGGGCTGCTGCTCACTGCAGACTGGGCCGAGATCCATTAAACTCGCTCCCCTGCCATGGCCACTGGTGCTCTGGGCCAGATTCCATCCAGCCTAGCGCTGAAAAGACTCCTGCTCCCGTTGTCACTGCTAGCAGCTCCCGAGCCAGAGCAGGCCAAATGGCTGAACCAGGCTCCACCGGTCAGTTCTCACTGAAACAACCCAGCGCAGCTGCAAAGAACAGCTCCTGTCTCGCTCCCTCTGGAAACCTCAGCCTGGCTTCCTCTCAGCCCTTGGCACAAGCCGATCCAGGATATGTTTGTAACCCAGGCCCACTCCCAGCTTGATCAGGACTCCCTGCCCTTCTGTTGTCCCGCCTGTGTGTGCCTAGCTCCCATTGATTTCCGTGGGACTGGGGCACTCATTACAGCTGAGGAGCTGGGCCCCACATGCTGCAGCAATGGGGTGAGTTAAGATCTTAGATCACTCTCTGGGCTAGGTTCCTCCCTGCACTGGAGCTCAGCTCAGTGTATGGCTCGCCGGGGGGGGCAGCTTTTCACCACCACCTTGGCCCCTTCTTCCCCATGCTGGGTCAGCTCAGGATTACCTCAGCCTTCGGTACAGGTCCCAGCAGCCCTTCCTCATGCCAGCTGCCAAGGGTACCAGATAGGAAGTACCAGATTGGTGTAGATAGGAACATTTCCCCAACACCTCCTCCTGCCCCAGGAGCTGCCCTGCCAAGGGTGTGTGCCACCAGCTGCCCTGACTTTGCTGGGGGACCCCTCTCTGTCAGGGGATTCTCTGGGGTCCCCACTAGTGGCTTGATTGCTACCTGACATACATCAACATAGGGACTATAAAGGAGCTGCAGGTAGGTAGGTGGCAGAGGGAGGGTGTCCAAGCAAACTCATCAGCCAGCCCATCCCCTCACAGCCAGGCAGTGTTGCAGCAAATCCACCTCACCCCCGCCCGCCCCGTCAGCTGTTTGGCACTGCAACAGTGGGTCTTGTCTCATGATTCTGGCCCTCCGGCCAGGTCCCTCACGATCTCACCCCTTCTGGGGCAATAAAAAGTCCTGCAGGCCAGACAGCCCCTGACCCAGTATCAGATTAACAGCCCCAGACTGGGCTCTGTAGTCCTTGAGTCCTTTATCTCAGGGAGGCTTTCCTCCCCCTGTGCTAGGGAGGATAGGGAACCCCAGACCCACCCTCACCACTGGATTCCAGATCAGAGCCCCACAGGAAGTGGCTGGAATCAGCCCCTCCGAGCCCCTTACTGGTTCCCGGCCCAGCTTCCTACCACAGGCCATTTCTCAGACTCAGCTCCTGGGATCCTCTCCTCTTGGCGGTCTGGCTTCTCAGACATCTTCTCCCCTATCTGTTACTGAAGGACCTGACAGTCACCCGGGAAGGGGAAATGGGCCTCAGTCCAGCAGCAAACATCTGGATGCTTGAGCAGCTGATAACAGTGCCATCCATACAAAGGGACCCGTCAGCTGAAAACAGAACAGGGATCTGAGGCCTTGAGTGTATTGTTGGTAATGTCTGGGCATCTCGCCATCATCTGCACCAGCTGGTAAAAGCCTGGCAGAGAGAGCAATCGGCTGCTTTGCTGAGGGTCGATCAGCTACAGGGAACTGCAATGATTCCCAATGGGGGTAGGAGCTCGGTCAGGGCTGGCAGAAAGAGGTCCCTGGTCTCTCACAGGGGAGGCCTGAAGGAACAAGTCACGCCCCTCTCCTCCCCCAGCTCTGGCAACTGGATCCCCGAGCAGCCAGTGATGGAATCCTTTCTAGGCTCAGGTTGGAAAATCTGTGCCCATATCATGGGACCAGCTGTTTCAGGGGCTCGGTTGCCTTTATAAGGGCTTGTGCTGCTTTTCCTTTGCAGAATATGCTGAGCCTGACATGGTCCAGGTGAGCCCCAGCAGTCAGACAGCCCCATCCACCTTCAAACCCGCCCTGGACGAAGGCTACACGCTCCCGCTGGTAGTGAACCACTATGACGTGCCGGGCAAGTACCATGAGTACGCAGAGCCCCTGCCACCCGAGCCTGAGTACGCCACCCCCTTCACAGAGCAAGCCCTGGAGGCCGGGGGTGCCACTGCCAAGAAGAACACCTGTGTCATCAAAGTAGTCCCCACCACCCAAGGTCGGGCAGGGTCGCTGGCCTCCCCGATGTCCCCAGGGATCCAGCCACAGTATGACTTCCCAGCTCAGCGGCTTGGTGAGACGCCGAACAGCACAAGAAGGGAGGGATCCCACCAAGCCAGCACTGTGTACACAGAGCCCCAGACTGAGCGGACTTCCACCCTGTGGGGTGACGGCTTAGCGGGGCTCACCACCTCCCCAGAAAGGCACTGCTTCCAGATCCAAGACTTCCCTCTCACCCACATTTACCACGAACCTTTGTGAGGCTGTGGAAAAGAGACTCACATTAGACACACACCAGGCAGCTGGAGAAGGGGGTCCGGCTGCACTGGGGAATCTGCTCTGGGCCTATAGAGCAAGAAGCAGCAGCCCTGTCTATCACCAGCAAAGGGAAATGAAATAGCCATGGGGTTTATAGCGCCGGATTTGTGCGGAAGAGGCTGATCCGTCTAACTACCTGATTATTTTGTTTGGGTTGTTTTTTTCCCTTGAACTTAATAGATACCCCAGATCATCTTCACCTCCCTTTCGGATTCGAAGGGGCAGTGTCAGGATCAATGATCGTATATAAATATATATCTCCTTTACCTGCATCACTATTACTGTTTTCTTAATAACCATCATTTCTATTTTGCCATTGGCTACACATAAAGTGAAAGAGCGCCCCCTGCTGCCGTATGAGCTCTCTAATGCCTCCCTCTGGTATTAAAACTTGAATGGAATTTTACAAACCTCATCAGCACCAAGGCTGTTGGTTTGTTTGTTCTTCTGCCTTTCATGGTGAAAACAGGCAGGTCAGTTTCACGTTTTGTTTCTAGTCGGTTTCAGTTCCTGTGTTTGTCTCCTGTCACTGGCAGATAAATACCTTTCCAGCACAAGCTGGTGTGCGGTGTTTAAATCCCAAAACAAAGGCTGCTCTTCCTTGAAGTATAAAATCAAAACAGCAGGAAAATATTTACAGATAAATTAGGGCTTGTAAAATGTTTTTTAAAAAACCCACGAACTATGTTTTTTACACCTACATTCACTGACCAGGGGCTCAGTCCAGCAAACAGTGATGTTATGCAGGCAAATCACATTACTCACCTGAGCGGTTTTTAGGAATGAAATTACTTACATGTGTGTCTGCAGAAAGGCACCTAAATACCTTTGAAGATCTGGAGCTAAGTCCCTCTTTTAAATCAGCTATGAAACGACAGATATTCTGCACATGCATGGTAGGACAGATCAGGGGAAACTGGAATCAAGAGGAAAGGAATTGCAATTCTATCCTCTCTCTAACTGGCTTCTTCACTGATCAAATAGGCAATGTTTGCAATGGGATAGGAGGACACTGGTTGCAAAGCGTAGTGGCCATTCCTTTCTACCTGTTAAAGAATTGCACCTGTTTCCTGTGATCTTTCTGCCTCTTTCCCTGCAACAAGCACTTAATCCAAGATTCTTGGAAAGGGACAAAGCTGCATAGCAATACTAGACATTAACTGCAGTGCCGAGACAGGACGGGGAGCTTGGTGCTCTTCTTAAGCACGTACCATCGCAGTCCCAGCTTCATGGTGTTGCTTGGGGACAGCAATGTTTCCCAAGGGGAATTTGATTTGTGCCCTTGTTGCCAAGAAAGCCAATGGCATTTTGGGATGTATAAGTAGGGGCATAGCGAGCAGATCGAGGGACGTGATCGTTCCCCTCTATTCGACATTGGTGAGGCCTCATCTGGAGTACTGTGTCCAGTTTTGGGCCCCACACTACAAGAAGGATGTGGAGAAATTGGAGAGAGTCCAGCGAAGGGCAACAAAAATGATTAGGGGTCTAGAATACATGACTTATGAGGAGAGGCTGAGGGAGCTGGGATCAATCCTGAAGCACTTGCATGAGAGGAAAGTGATCAGGAACAGCCAGCATGGATTCACCAAGGGAAGGTCATGCCTGACTAATCTAATCGCCTTCTATGATGAGATTACTGGTTCTGTGGATGAAGGGAAAGCAGTGGATGTATTGTTTCTTGACTTTAGCAAAGCTTTTGACACGGTCTCCCACAGTATTCTTGTCAGCAAGTTAAGGAAGTATGGGCTGGATGAATGCACTACAAGGTGGGTAGAAAGCTGGCTAGATTGTCGGGCTCAACGGGTAGTTATCAATGGCTCCATGTCTAGTTGGCAGCCGGTATCAAGTGGAGTGCCCCAAGGGTCGGTCCTGGGGCCGGTTTTGTTCAATATCTTCATAAATGATCTGGAGGATGGTGTGGATTGCACTCTCAGCAAATTTGCGGATGATACTAAACTGGGAGGAGTGGTAGATACGCTGGAGGGGAGGGATAGGATACAGAAGGACCTAGACAAATTGGAGGATTGGGCCAAAAGAAATCTGATGAGGTTCAATAAGGATAAGTGCAGGGTCCTGCACTTAGGACGGAAGAACCCAATGCACAGCTACAGATTAGGGACCGAATGGCTAGGCAGCAGTTCTGCGGAAAAGGACCTAGGGGTGACAGTGGACGAGAAGCTGGATATGAGTCAGCAGTGTGCCCTTGTTGCCAAGAAGGCCAATGGCATTTTGGGATGTATAAGTAGGGGTATAGCGAGCAGATCGAGAGACGTGATCGTTCCCCTCTATTCGACATTAGTGAGGCCTCATCTGGAGTACTGTGTCCAGTTTTGGGCCCCACACTTCAAGAAGGATGTGGATAAATTGGAGAGAGTCCAGCGAAGGGCAACAAAAATGATTAGGGGTCTGGAACACATGAGTTATGAGGAGAGGCTGAGGGAGCTGGGATTGTTTAGCCTGCAGAAAAGAAGAATGAGGGGGGATTTGATAGCTGCTTTCAACTACCTGAAAGGGGGTTCCAAAGAGGATGGCTCTAGACTGTTTTCAATGGTATCAGATGACAGAACGAGGAGTAATGGTCTCAAGCTGCAGTGGGGGAGGTTTAGATTGGATATTAGGAAAAACTTTTTCACTAAGAGGGTGGTGAAACACTGGAATGCGTTACCTAGGGAGGTGGTAGAATCTCCTTCCTTAGAGTTTTTAAGGTCAGGCTTGACAAAGCCCTGGCTGGGATGATTTAACTGGGAATTGGTCCTGCAGGAGGGGGGGGGGGAGAGGGGCGCTGCGGTCCCCCCCCACCCCTCCAATCTTTTATTTTTATATTTTTTTGTTTGGAGAAAAAGAAGAAGGGGGGGGGTTTTGTGAGCTCTTTCCCCACCTAAAAGAGGGGGGTCCAAAGAGGGCGGCCCCCCACTTTTCCCAAAGGGAGGAGAAGAGAGGAGGAGGAGAGGCCCCCAAGTGGGGGGGGGGGGGTTTGGTTGGGGTTTTTGGGAAAACTTTTTCACTATGAGGGTGGTGAAACACTGGAATGCGTTACCTAGGGAGGTGGTAGAATCTCCTTCCTTAGAGGTTTTTAAGGTCAGGCTTGATAAAGCCCTGGCTGGGATGATTTAACTGGGAATTGGTCCTGCTTCGAGCAGGGGGTTGGACTAGATGACCTTCTGGGGTCCCTTCCAACCCTGATATTCTATGATTCTATGATCTATAACTGTGTTTCTCTAACAGCAGCCAGATGGATGGAAAAGACCCATGACTGCAGTGTCAGAACTGCTCATCTTGGCTGACCCCATCCTTCCACCATCACAGGCTTCCAGCTCCTCCAGTGCATGGGGAATGGAGCCTCAAATCTGTGTTGTGTTTGACAATGTGCTCCCAAGGAGAGAAGAATGAACAACAATAATAATCACACCTAGCTCTTCTAATAGTGCTTTTCATTAGTAGCTCTCAAAGCACTTTACAAATGAGTATATCCTTATCCCCATTTTACAGATAGGGAGACTGAGGCACAGAGCAGGCATTGACTTGCCCAGGGTCACCCAGCAAAGCAGCAGCAGAGCCAAGAATAATACTCAGGTCTCCTGAGTCCCAGTTCAGTGTCCTATCCAGTAGGCCAGCGGTTCTCAAACTAGGGACCATGGTCCAAACCCCTGGGGGTCCGCGAGTCATGTCCAGCTCCAGGGGTCCATGAGTCATGTGTGGGGCCACCAGCTCTGCTGATCAACTCCTCCCCCTCCCTCCATGCTGTTCAGCAGTGTGCAGGAGGTGCTGGGAGGGAGGGGAAGGAGCAGGGATGGGGTGCACTCAGAGAGAGGTGGAAAGAGGCGGGGAAGAGGAGGGTCAGGGTTGGAGCCGGGGCAGGAAGAGGAGGGGTTGGGGACAGGCCTTGGGGGAAGGGGTGGAGTGGAGGCAGGACCTGGGGCTGAGCAGGGGTTGAGCACCCCCCCTGTAGGGAAAAGGAGAAGCCGGCTTCGGGGTCCATGAAAAATTTTAAATCAAAATGGGGGTCCTCGGGTTGCTAACGTTTGAGAACCACTGCACTAGGCCATTCTGCTATGCCCATTTTCTGCAGACACCCTGTACAAAACCACACGTGTACACTCCTCCAGAGATGCACACACCCTCATATACAGATTGCTGTGCAGCCTTTCCTATATGCACTTCCCCATTCATTCCGAAATACTTCCGTAGAGGCACACACAGCTCCTGGCAATACCTCACAGCATGGATAAAGCCCTGTCGCTTTGGCAGCAGCCCCAGGACCATTAGGGGGTTCTTTAATATTCAGCAGACGGATTCCAAGAATCTCAGGATGCGTGTGTCTAGTTGTCTTTTGCTGCAGATCCATCCGGCGCAGCACCCTGTGGTACCTCCTCATGCACATGCACAGAATGATGCAGCAAGTCCAGGCTCAGCAAGAGCCTTCCTATGTGAGAGACTCTGCAAGTTCAATACCACAGCGTGGGAGCCCCCTTGTGGTGTTTGAAACCCAATGACCAACCCCAAGTCTTTGCCTACCCCGTTTGCTTTCAGTGACAGGGAACAGCCATCTTCCCCGCAGAGCTGTGATGCTTGGCACTGGAGAGGCAGAGCCACTGGGGGTGTACGTAAGGCCCTGATCCAGCTCCCATTATATTCAACAGAAAGACTCCCACTGACTACAGTGGGGTTTGGACTGGGTACTAAGGGCCAGTATTGCAGCCCCCCAGGTTTGGGTGATGCTGCTCTGGAGGCCTCATGGTGCACCTGAGGGTTAGTGTTTCACTGTACCTGGATCTCGCCAAAGGGCAATTGACTGATTCCAAATAAAAGCCCCATTCGCCTGGCTCCAGTCCCTTGAAGAGGAACGGGCTATATCCTGGTCTGGTGGAAATCCACATTGCTCAGTGGAGTGATGCTGCTTCACACTACTGGAAGATCTGATCTGAATGGATCAATCAAAGCTAGGTATTTCCATTTGGAAACCTTCTCCTGCCCAACTGCTGGCTGCATCCAGTTCTGGTTTCCAGTTAGGTTTGTTCCTTTTACCCTGTAACATTGTTTGACTGAGACACAAGTAACATTCCTGTGGTCAAGCCATGAAGCTCAGATGGGTTTGTTTCAGGGAAGAAAAAAAAACAACCTCAAAAAAATTAATCGAAAACTGCTGGGGTGATATCCTGTCTGCACTGAAGTCAATAGCAAAATTCCCATTGACATCTGTGACAACAAATTGTGAACAATATCAGAGAACCAAGTACCCAGGAAATTTCACAATCTGAATGTTTTGCAAGCAGAGCAAATCCAGTCTTCCCTGGGAATTGTTTGTGTGTCTCTAACACAAACTCCCCTTTCCCAAGAACACATTGAGAGGGGCCTTGAGCATCATTAGGCAGTGCACAGTTACTCATAACAGGATGTTTCTGCTGGGCTACTTTTCTGTATACAGCCAGTCCCTCAGCACACTAGACTAGTGCTTGTCCTTGTCATTTGCAAGTTGTGCCATTTAAACTGTGTGGGAGACATTTAGCATTTTTAAGATTCATATTTGAAAGAGAAAATCTTTGTAAAATCTATCCATCCATCCATCCCAATACACCCCCTTATCTATCTAACCATCCATTCCCATACAGTCCTCCCTTAGCTATCTATCCATTCATCTATCCCCATAACACCCTTTATCTATCTATCTAACCCTCATAGACACATCCTTTATCTATCTAATCTATGACAAAACTCAGTGTACAAAATGTGTACACTTGGCTACATACACAGATACAGATGGTGAATACATATGTTAATAAACCATAGTACTATGCCCAGCATGATGTTTGCATTAGTTTGCAGTGGGAGGTGGGCTGAGCCCCTGTTCTTGATAACCAGCATTAATCTGGAATGATTCCAGCACCCGAAGAATTACCTAACCAGCACCTTCTGGCAACCTATCCACTCCCTCTCTTTGATTCAAACACTGCCCGCCACAAGATCACTTTCAGGAACAATATTTTGCAGACTACAGCAAGATTTGGGGAAATCTAATTTTTACCCGTGGGGGTTAAAACTCAAACAGGGAAACCAACTTTAATTTCACTCTGCTAGATGGCCCTCTGTTAAAATAACTGCAAGCATACAAACGGCATCTAGCTTCTTCCCCTCCCCCCCCCCCATATAATTCATGCTTCAATAAAATCTAACTGCAGGAAGGGATAAATAATGCATCATTAAGTATTTAGCAAACAGCAAGGCCAAACACAAAAAAACAGAGTGAGGGGAAGGGAAAGTATACATATTCTGTTCTAGGTAGTTAATAATTATATAAAGCAAATTAAGTTCTAGAGGATAAATGTACTTCCTGTCTGGAAAATTATGAAAGACTTCAAAGCAAGAGGAAGGACTATCTTTGTATTTGGAGTAGAAATAAATATTCTCTAAACTAGGCATTTAGAAATTTATTTCAAGTGCTACTTACACTCACCCATAACCTTAGTGGGAAGGACAGCAGTCAGTGAGCACTTGATACCCTAGAGAGACAGTTTAAAGAGGGAAACAGTCTCATTTCAACTACAAGGAGTTACAGAAATACAGGTTAGGGTGCTAGGAAACCCCTTCCCCTGCAATCTCTTTTAGGTTATCATTTAATAAACCATCCATCCCAAAGAATTATAATCAAAAACACGTGCTTAAGAAGTAAACTATATCACACCTCATCTCAATCTGATTTTTACAACACACTTGGGGGCGCCAGAACCAACGATTACCAGCTGCCCCAGAAGCAAAAATTGTGCTTCCGAAATCTCTTGATGTCGATTCCGCACGAAGCAGGGAAAAGCCGCAGCCGCCCCACTTCATGTGCCATACATAGCAGAAGCCCTTTTTAACAAACCACCGGCAGCCCCGCCTCCCCAGTCTGTGACTCAGCCTTAAGGGTCAGGACGAGATGCCGGTTCTCCCCTTGAGATAAGCCACATGTCACATCCCACAACCATCCCCATCTAGTCCCATCACGGCTTTTTCGTTTATTTTACTGCAATTTAACCAGAAATCGTTCAAACGTGCGCACCAGAGCAGGCCGGCAGGAGATGCAAATAAGGCGAATGGCATGCTGGGATTCCACCATAGACCCGGCGGGGCGGAGCCGGAGGAGGGGCGGGGCCAGGGTGAGGCCATGGCGGAATCCACAGCAGCTTCAAAACAAGGCAAAAGCTTCAGCCAAGCCCCAGGGTGGGGAGGCTGCGGCAGCCCCTGGGGAAGAGACGGGCGCTCACAAGGGAGGGGAGGAAAGGGGCTGTTTAAAGGGGGCACCTGAATTTGAACCAGGGACCACTTGATCTGCAGTCAAATGCTCTACCACTGAGCTACACCCCCACACCCCTGCTCACCTGGCTGCAAGGGTGTGTTACTGTAAGTGCGTTGTGTGTGTCGCTTCCCCCCAGCACCTTTCTCTCACCATCGCTCTTGGCCGTCTCTCTCGCTCCTTTCTTCACCGTCCCTTCGCTGCCTGGGTGGATGGTCAAGGTGAGCACAACGCGAACACAACCAAGCTGAGAGGCCCCGCCCCAGCTCCGACCCCCACAATCCCAATGGAAACCGGACTCGGGTCCCGCTCTGCCCAGTAGCTCTGTGATTCGTCTTTTTTGTGCTTAACACTTCATAAGGAGTCATTATTATTCACCGCTCCGCAGGAATGTGTAACAGGGTCGCACCAAGGCAGGGCAGTCACAGACCTGGACCCGCCCCCCCCGGTGCTCGAAGCTGTACATGGCTCAGTGGCCCCCTTCCCTAGCGGGCCTACAATCTAAGCGGCGCCGCACCCCGAGCCAGGTCACCGGCTGCGTCCAATCTTCCATTAAACACCACAAGGAACCGTCCGCCCTCGCGGGACGGGGGGGCGGGACTCTATCTACCCCCCCCGCCCTTCGCCCCCGGGGGCTGTTACCCGCACGCGGGACGGCAGCAGGGCCGAGGGGAGGGGGACCCCCCAGCGGGATTCACAGTGGGGGCGCCAAGGGGTCTGGGGGCAGGGGGGCTGCCCCAGGCCAGATGGGGGGGCCGGAGGCGTTGCCATGGCAACACGGCAGGCTGGGGAGTTTGCGCAGAGGTCGAGAGGGGGGCCCTGGGGCATGCGCAGTCCTTGACGGGAACTCAACTAGTAGAGGCGGTCTCTCGGGGTGGCGGGTTAACGCATGCGCCGTTGGGGGTGGTTGTTCGTTGTGCGCATGCCCAGCGTCGTTCCCTTGCCGGCTGTGCCAGGGAGGCTCTGGTTGGCCGCGGGCGAGCGTTTCCGGGCGGCAGCGGAAGGACGGTTCTGCGGGAGGGCCCGGGCGAGCAGCGCAGAGCCGGCGGCGGCGGCGGCAGCAGCAGCTCAGCCGGGGGCTCCGGCCGCGGAACATGGGGCGATAGGAGGGGGCGCCGGTGAGTGCGGTCCCCGGCCCAGGGCTAGGCTGGGCTCCCCCGCCTTCGGGGGGAGAGACGGGGGGAGCCTGTTGGCGGGGCACGGCCGCCCCCAGCGTCCCGGGCAGGTCCCGAGGGCGGGTGGCTCTGGGCTCCCCGGCACGACCAAGGAGGGGATTAGGGGCTCCCTCTGTCTGTGCTTCCAGGCACGCTAAGCCCTAGGAGACTCTAGGGAGCATTCACGCTCTCCTGTCATCACCAGATAGGCACCTCCAGCGTGGGGAGTTGAGGAGGGGGTTTAATCTCCAACATCCCCTTGCAGCGCCTGGGATCATAGAATCGTGGAATATCAGGGTTGGAAGGGACCTCAGGAGGTCATCTAGTCCAACCCCCTGCTCGAAGCAGGACCGATCCCCAACTAAATCATCCCAGCCAGGGCTTTGTCAAGCCTGACCTTAAAAACCTCTAAGGAAGGAGATTCCACCACCTCCCTAGGTAACGCATTCCAGTGTTTCACCACCCTCCTAGTGAAAGTTTTTCCTAATATCCAACCTAAACCTCCCCCACTGCAACTTGAGACCATTACTCCTTGTTCTGTCATCTGCTACCACTGAGAACAGTCTAGAGCCATCCTCTTCGGAACCCCCTTTCAGGTAGTTGAAAGCAGCTATCAAATCCCCCCCTCATTCTTCTCTTCCGCAGACTAAACAATCCCAGTTCCTTCAGCCTCTCCTCATAAGTCATGTGTTCCAGTCCCCTAGTCATTTTTCTTGCCCTCCACTGGACTCTTTCCAATTTTTCCATGTCCTTCTTGTAGTGTGGGGCCCAAAACTGGACACAGTACTCCAGATGAGGCCTCACCAATGTCGAATAGAGGGGAACGATCACGTCCCTCGATCTGCTGGCAATGCCCCTACTTATACATCCCAAAATGCCATTGGCCTTCTTGGCCACAAGGGCACACTGTTGACTCATATCCAGCTTCTCGTCCACTGTCACCCCTAGGTCCTTTTCTGCAGAACTGCTGCCGAGCCATTCAGTCCCTAGTCTGTAGTGGTGCATGGGATTCTTCCGTCCGAAGTGCAGGACTCTGCACTTGTCCTTGTTGAACCTCATCAGATTTCTTTTGGCCCAATCCTCTAATTTGTCTAGGGCCCTCTGTATCCTATCCCTACCCTCCAGTGTACCTATCTCTCCTCCCAGTTTAGTGTCATCTGCAAACTTGCTGAGGGTGCAATCCACACCATCCTCCAGATCATTTATGAAGATATTGAACAAAACCGGCCCCAGGACCGAGCCTTGGGGCACTCCACTTGATACTGGCTGCCAACTAGACATGGAGCTATTGATCACTACCTGTTGAGCCCGAGAATCTAGCCAGCTTTCTATCCACCTTATCGTCCATTCATCCAGCCCGTCCTTCTTTAACTTGCTGGCAAGAATACTATGGGAGAGCATGTCAAAAGCTTTGCTAAAGTCAAGGAACAACAGGTGCACTGCTTTCCCTTCATCCACAGAGCCAATTATCTCATCATAGAAGGCGATTAGATTAGTCAAGCATGACTTGCCCTTGATGAATCCATGCTGACTGTTCCTGATCACTTTCCTCTCCTTTAAGTGCTTCAGAATTGACTCCTTGAGGACCTGCTCCATGATTTTTCCAGGGACTGAGGTGAGGCTGACTGGCCTGTAGTTCCCAGGATTCTCCTCCTTCTTTTTTTTAAAGATGGGCACTACATTAGCCTTTTTCCAGTCATCTGGGACCTCCCCCGATCGCCATGAGTTTTCAAAGATAGTGGCCAATGGCTCTGCGATCACATCCGCCAACTCCTTTAGCACTCTCAGATGCAACGCATCCGGCCCCATGGGCTTGTCCTCATCCAGCTTTTCGAAATAGTCCTGAACCACTTCTTTCTCCACAGAGGGCTGGTCACCTTCTCCCCATGCTGTGCTGCCCGGTGCAGTAGTCTGGGAGCTGACCTTGTTCATGAAGACAGAGGCAAAAAAAGCATTGAGTACATTAGCTTTTTCCACATCCTCTGTCAGTAGGTTGCCTCCCTCATTCAGTAAGGGCCCACACTTTCCTTGACTTTCTTCTTGTTGCTAACATACCTGAAGAAACCCTTCTTGTTACTCTTAACATCTCTTGCTAGCTGCAACTCCAGGTGTGATTTGGCCTTCCTGATTTCACTCCTGCAAGCCCGAGCAATATTTTTATACTCATCCCTGGTCATTTGTCCAGTCTTCCACTTCTTGTAAGCTTCTTTTTTGTATTTAAGAGCAGCAAGGATTTCCCTGTTAAGCCAAGCTAGCCACCTGCCATATTTACTATTCTTTCTACACATTGGGATGGTTTGTCCCTGTAACCTCAATAAGGATTCTTTAAAATACAGCCAGCTCTCCTGGACTCCTTTCCCCCTCATGTTATTCTCCCAGGGGATCTTGCCCATCAGTTCCCTGAGGGAGTCAAAGTCTGCTTTTCTGAAGTCCAGGGTCTGTATTCTGCTGCTCTCCTTTCTTCCTTGTGTTAGGATGAATTCGACCATTTCATGGTCACTGCCTCCCAGGTTCCCATCTGCTTTAGCTTCCCCTACTAATTCTTCCCGGTTTGTGAGCAGCAGGTCAAGAAGAGCTCTGCCCCTAGTTGGTTCCTCCAACTGGGATGCATGAACTGGGAGTGAAACACCATGTGAATGATGCAAACTTAAATTCCTTGCTGGAGGATTCTATTCCAGCCCAGCAGGGCGCTCTTAGAATCATAGACTGTCAGGGTTGGAGGGGACCTCAGGAGGTCATCTAGTCCAACCCCCTGCTCAAAGCAGGACCGATCCCCAACTAAATCTTCTTCCCTGTCTAAGTGAGTACAGTGCAGCCAAGAGCAAGGGGGTGTCAGGGATACCATATCTTGGTGTCCTAAATTCAAATGTGAAAGTGCAGTCTAACTTTATTTTATATCACATCTTCAATCCAAACTCTAGCTCTTAAATGCCTTAGAGGAAAAAATAGCAGAAGGAAAACCTCAAAGCTCTAAGGATAAAAAGTTGGTTTCCAATGAGATTTGAAAATAGATGGCAGATCCATTTAATTGCCCAATGACTTCCTACAATTTCAGTGAAAAATCACTTTGGTCATGGTGTACTGAAGTTTATAAAGTGAAAAAGAAAGCTCTGAACTCTTACTGTATGACTGGAACATCTGTAAGCTCCCATGGAGTACTGAGTTGTTTGTGCAATGAAAAACTACTTCAGACAGTGGGTACAGCTATATTTTAGGAAAAACTGGAATTTCCCTCAGTGTTCTCACATTTAGAAAATTTATGCATGTTCCTTTTCCTTGCTTCTCATTGGAGATGCCATATAATATCTTCTGGCAGCTAAGAGAAAAACTTGAAGTGAAAGGGAAGTATGCTTTAAAAAGATCTCTAAAGGGGAAAAAATGTCCTACTCTGTCCCAAGGGACACATGTTGAATAAGCAAGTACTTATACCTTGGTAAATCCTGAAGTGTTTTGTTTAGATGACTTTGGACCTGCAAATGTAAAGTAAAAACACACTTTTAGAACCCCGCAAATCTGTGGATATCCGCTTTATATCCGCTGACCATGTTTGCAAATCAGACTCAGATACAAATTTTGTATTCGCACAGGGCTCTACACATTTTCCCTTAGTTAAATGCAGCATTTATATTCTGCCAAATCCACAGATGCTATCTTGGAAAATAGAGCTTGTTAGTTGGTGAGAATATATATTGCACACTATGCAGTCATAATTAGTGTGTTGTTATTGCACCTAGGAGCCCATGTTCAATTCAGGAAGCTTGCGGAATTTACTGAGATTTCCCTAAATGTCTGTGAAAACTCAATTATACCATAGTTGGGGATTCAGAGACTGAAGTTTTAGAAGTCTGTGAGGAAATGAGATTAATTTTTCAATCTTTGTTAATGGAGCATAGCCACAGGGAACTCCCTGTATAAGTTTTTAAAATGAGTTCATCTTGCTGTGATACGCAAGAAAACAATATCAATTTTCCTAGAGTTGCAAGTGACCATTCTTATTTCTGACTTGAACACAAGGAAGAACCGTATGGAAACGTGTTAGGGTACAGAATTTATTTCTACAATTATGTTTTTAGTTTGTTCATACTGAAACCTGAGTAGGGCTATGGATGCATTGTATAATGTGTTCTCCTGATGTCCAATGTATTAAACTGGTTCAAAATGAACTTTTCATTTCAGAATTGGTGGAACTGATTTTTTTTTTAAGTAAAGATGGGTGGCCTCTGTGTTCATATTTAGGTCTTTGAACCTGATTGGTTATGATATTGATTAATATAGATCCATGACCATCTATATAATCAGCCATAGTGCCAGTGTTTGGTAGCTCCTTTTACAAAGTGTGCTAACATATTTTTCTCCACACTTTAAGGTTTGAATCAAGCCCTTAAACGTGACCTACAAAGGGGAAAACAACTGAATTCGTAACTTTTCTTTGGTTGTGATGAGTATGGGAGGCTGGAATGGGTCTTGTCTGCTTAATTTTTGACACTAGAAATTCTGGTTTTCATTATCCTGGAAGATTCTGTGATAACTTGAGAAATAATGAAATTATGACATTGCAAGGCTGAAAGCAGAACAGTTGAGAGGGAGGAAGGTTTTTAGACACAGTTAAAAACTTTTTAATACATATTTCACTCCAGTGTCTAACGAACACTTGGTAGAAAGGAGATCTCTTAAAGATTCAGCCAATCCTGCCCTTACATTTAATGTATAAGTACTTGCAATATACCTCTCCTGAGATACCCACCACTTCCAAAGAGGTCCTCTAGCAAAACAGGGGATGACCAGACTTGACACTCCTGATATTTCTAAATTAAAAAGCAAGCTGTAAAGAAAACTTTTTCAGCCTTTATCCATCATAAAGAAGCGTGCAAAAGAAAAAAAGTATATCCAAATTTCCTAAAAAATCCTTTGCAGATTACCTTTAATTTCTCTGTATAGATTTCTTTGCTCAATGTCTTTTCTTCCTGGAAATGGGAGCTGCAGGCACTCTGGTGAATGGTTCAACAAGTTATCTTGTTGCTGTAGACGATAAGTAACTTTGCATCTTCTAGTCTAATGCTGCAATAGTGTTACTTACTCAGTTGCAATACAGATTACTCAGGTCCCAGTGGCATCAGTACAAGTCATGGGGCATAGTCCTGCTGTGGAAGAAAGCTATTGTTGCAAAAATCTGTACTCTCTACTCCAATACCAACTAGCCCTGTACTTAAACTTTTAACCTAAAAACAAAGATTTGACATAAACATAGACTTCCCTTCACCCTTGAGGATGCTGGGAAATACCTTGCCACTTCAGAACACAAGGTACACTAGGTTCACAATTACTGTTTAAAGTAAGGCTTCATATTAAACACCCAGAAAAATTACATCTGATCATTTTAATAAGGACGAGGCATAGCTGTGTTGTGGTGTGTATTGTCTGCTGAGGCTTGTTTCCTTTTGATCTTCCTATGATATGGTAGGTGACATGCAAAACAACTGGTATCTTTGTGGGAATGAGAGGTATGTAGCACAGGAGAAGGGGAGACTAGGTTAACACTGGCTATTTACTTACAGGAAGCTTTTGGAAAATGGCCTCTCCATTCACTGGGCCCACAGCAGTTGCTGATGTAATTAAAGATCTAGACACTCAGATAGCTGTAAGTAAGTTGCTTGAGCTTGCCATGAAGTGCCATGTAGGACTTGAGGTTGAAACCTGTGCATCCACATTTTGTTTGTGTTCTGATGACTTGATTATGCCCAAAGGTTGAAATTAGAGGTGAGCGTAAAAATTGCTCTGCATTAATATAGTGCTTTTTGCCCAAGGATTTCAAAGCATTTCACACAACATCTTCTGACCCCTCCATGGTAGGTAAGATTTCCTACTTTGTAAACTGAGACACAGGGCTAAGTGACTGGCCCTAGATCACCCAGCGAACCAGTGTCAGAAGCAGGAATCCTGGAATCCTTTCTTCTGCTTCTTGCACTGTGCTCTAGGGGCCTCGCTCCAGAAATGCCAACTAAAAGCTTATAGGGCTCTGTATGATTGAAGAACATCCCAAGACACAAACATAGGGATTTTGCATTATTTTAAAATCTGTTAACATTGGGCTAGAAATTGAAATCAGAGCTACGTGAAGTGACTTGCATTTATGTTTGTTTTTAAAAAGAAAAATATATGTAATATGTTTGCAGCAGTGCATGACTTTGAGCATTGGAATGAAACACTAAAATATCCACTGTCTAAGCATTCTTGTGTGATTATTTTTAAAGAGTGATTTTTCTGTGTGAATTAATACAAACTAACAAAGAATTTAATGCTGTTATAGAGGAAAATCACATTTTCTACAAAAAGTAGAAAATATTATTTCCCTTAATTTATATATAAATATCCTTGATCTGTTTTGTTTTTTCCTGGTAGCCTGTTTTCAGCTTGCATCACTTGTCACTGTGAGAAGAGACATTTCCAAAAGGTGCTCTTTTATAGAAAAGTTTGAGGAAAACTGCACTATAAGAGAATTTGAAACCCCCACATCTAATTATGGAAAATAAATCACTTAAAACAAAAGTCAGAAATACAAAAATTGTCATCACAACCAGTTTTATGTTCAGACACAGAAAACGCATTTGCCTCAATGCACAAGCAATAAGATTTTTAGAGTTAATATAGGCTGCTATTAAAGTTTCCATTAAAAGTCACTTCACAGCTTAACGTCTGTCCTTTCAAATAGTGAGATGTATTTTCTATGTAACCACCTACTTATTGGTCTGAACTATCACCAAAATAGTGGCAGAAACAGGAATCCCATTGACAACTGCATTCATTGAACTGAGACAGTAGAACGGTGAAAGACTTGTAAGAGCATCTGAAACCTCTTACTCTGATAGGTCAAACAATTTAATAAATATTTGTGTATTAGTACTAATCACTACAGTTTTCCTTTACCATTCTTGGTGATAACTGAAGAACACAAGTTTGGACAGAGCCATGCTATTGTGGAGCTGTGGGCCACAGATCTGACTGCAAGGAAGCCAAGTGGTGGGTCTGTAGTAGTGTGCTAGGAAGAATAGATGTTTCAAGGTTCTAGACCCTATTTACTAATCTAGGTTGCCAGTTCAGATCCAGTCCAGATGTTACCTCTGGTGTTTAGTGGCCTATGACATGAGTTAGTCTGAGAATTTTATGGCTAATCTGGAAAGAGCAGGCCGTTAGTTAGGCGTATGAAATTAGTCAGTTCTGGCCTTTGTTTGACAGTCCATTAAATTCCATGTTGTGCAGTTGAAAGCCTCAACTGAAGTGAGGAATCAAAGGAATTAGAGACAAAGGTGGGTTTTCTACTGTCCTGTCACTTTTGGAGACCTGGCTTAATGCTGACAAGGTTTATAGGTGAAATTGAATTCTAGGGCTTAGGCCAAACTTTCAATATCCGTTCGCATTGCAAAACTGTCCTACTATTGGAAATGTCTTGGTTTGGGAATAATTACAGGTCAGACTTGAAATGCATTGTTGGGGTTGTGTGGCAGATGCTAGAACTGTACCTTCCTGCTCTGTGCCTGGTTCTAACCAGTGCAGCTACATGAGGAGCCTTGTACTCGGCTTTCTCCTCTTCCCAACTAAGTAGATGTCTGAAATGTAAAAATGGAGTCTCTCATGTTGTGGTAGTGCCTAGAGACCCCGGCCGTAGACCAGGCTCCATGGTACATAGAACGAAAAAACAGTCCCTGCCCTGAGGAGTTTATAGTCTGATTTTTTCCTCTTTAGTGTAATCTTCCCAACTATACATCAGGAGGTTGTCATTAATCTGCCAGTTAGGAGTAAGTATGGAGACCTAAGGCTGCCACCAAAGAGGCACAGGTAGGAGAAGAGGGAAAAGACCTTTTACGGGTCTGTAGGATTCAGGCCTGGATTGAATTTTGGTGTTAGACTGGAAGAGGGAATGCAATGTTCTTAGGATGTACTCGGGCTGGCTCAGTCAGACTTCACACCCATCCTCGGTTCTCCATTCAGTGAAGTCTGTGCAACCATAATGCCTTCCTTTAAAGTTTTATTTTTAATGTTCAAAAATATTTTCCTTTCCCCACCCATGTCCTTCCTCCCCTCAAAGTGTGTTTGGAAGTATCAGAATAAGTTGAAAGCCTCCAGACATTGCCTGTGGGATATGGTCTTAGTACAGATAGTGAGGGGGAGTTTAGGGAGTGAAATCCAATCTCTAAATTCACACCTTTACCCCATTGTTCACTTTGGTGTTCCTTTCCTTCTCCAGCTGGTTGGTCTGGGTCCTCACAACCCCAAAAAGAAGCAGGATCTTGACAAGCTGTATGATTTAAAGACTAAAGCCCAGCAGATTATGAACCAGTTTGGCCCATCTACCTTGATCAACCTATCCAGTTTCTCCTCGATAAAGCCAGAACCAGCCAACACGCCACCACAGAGCTCCATGGCAAACAGTACCGCTGTGGCAAAGATGCCAGGGACTCCTAGTGGAGGGGGACGCCTAAGTCCTGAAAGCAACCAGGTAATTTCACTTAAGATCTTGGGCAAACCGGGAGTTGTTCAGACCCTCCCTTAGTTTGATGACTCTCCCTTAAATGACCTGGAAATATTTTACATTAATTAAACTTATCATTTGAGTACCCACAGTTCACCCAGTACTACAGAGATCCGGTTCCTGCCTTTCTCGAGTTTACAATCTGAATCAGACACAGATTGTATAGATCAGCTGCAGGTTGCATCTAGTCTCCTAGTGATGAACATCGGAGAGATCAGAAAATCCCATTCCAAGTGTGGCTTGTATGAAAAACAAAATACTGAATACAATGAAAATCTGTTTTCCAATGCTGTAGGTCATCATAACAAGTGTAGGGCAATGTGCTAGATACCACCCCCCAACCCCCCCGGCTTCCCTGAAATAGGTCAAAAGGTCAGTTTAAACCTGGTTTCTGAAGTCAGATTGCTGGCTCCAACCTACGGTGTGTGTAGGTAACTTGTACCTCCTCGGGACAATGAGGAAGTAGCACCACAGTCAAACAGCTGCCATTTTACGCATATAATGCAACACTTGTTTTCAGTTTTTAACACATAAAATGATTGGCTGCATTCTGGCAGCAAAATGGGACGTATTCCAAAAAAGGAAGGTATCTGATTTCAGTCTTCTCCAACACCCTTCCTCTGCTGAAATACCCCCACCCCATGCGGTTCCACTCTTGTGGCAATGCTGGGGCTGGAATGGAAACTTTTGCTCCGCTTCAGAAGAACTAAGAGAGAAGCTGAGATGGAGAGAAGGCTGTGCTCCCCTGGAGGGGAGTGGCTTAAGAGCGTAATCATGTCTGAACTCCCGAGTCTTATGGGAATCTCAGATTCCAGTAGCTTTCACTTAACCTTTCATTCTACTCTGGGAAACAAACTAAATGTCCCAAGTTTGTGTGTAGATTTTCTGATGCTTTTTAAACTCAGGCTTCATGGACATTTGACTTGTTGGCACTTCTCAAAAGAGAAGGGGTTTGCCTCAGTGTCATTGAACCAAATGTATCTAGTTTATCTTGTAAGACTTTTGGGACAGGGTGATACCATCCCTCTATATCCTACAATGGTCGTCATGCTGCTGATGCTCAGAAACTAATAAAATCCTCACTCCCCCCTCGCTGTTATGCAGCATGCTCTGTGCTAATTGACTGCTGTCCTCCACCCAGTGGTGGTGTATGTACCTTATTTGAAGCACTGGCGGGCACCATAGAAATGTAAAATATTATCTTTTGCCCATAATATAACCCTGCAGTTATTGAAATTATTCTTGTACTTACAGTCCACCCTTCAAGAGTTCTCATTATGCAATTGTTTTCTCTTGCCAGCGCACTGTTGCTTTAATCAACAGTATTTTGAGATGAAAGAGATGGTAGCAAATGTTGTCTCACGTGAAAGGACAGCCTTATTCATTATTCTGTCTCATTGGCCATTGCTTTGTTTGTAGCTGCCAAGTAGGTTTGAGAATGCCTAGTTATTGCCCAGTGTTTATCTGTGCAGTTCCTGCAGCGTTACATTTTGTCAATACTGTGTATAGCCTGGAACGTGGATTACAGTTTTGGGGGCAGTTTAAGAGTGATTTTTTTAATTTTTTGCTGCTGTGCTGTGTATTGCCAGTCAGATTGCTAATGCAGTATGGAAAATGATCACCCTTTTATCCTCAGGTTTTAACCAAGAAGAAGTTGCAGGATCTGGTGCGAGAGGTGGATCCCAATGAGCAGCTGGATGAGGATGTGGAGGAGGTAGGCCATGTGTGACAACCCGTACTAGTAAAATAGGACCTGCAGAGCCAATCCAGAGCTGTCATAGCCCCTTGCCCAATACAGGGAGGCTTGGTTTATACTATTGTGCTGTTACGCAAGCTCTGGTCAGCTTCAAACGTGGTGCTGAAGGTCCGTATGCATTGCTGGTGCTCAGAAGTATTCATTCTAATTTATTAACCAGTCTTTTGCTGGTGACTCTCACAGACATCCCAGGGGCTTTTCTGTAGGGCGTGGTCAAACTGTTTTCAGCGAGCAGTAGCTTCTGAGGGTTGAATTTCATGGTGGTCACTATGTTTTTTGAGTATAACACTCATCCAGAAAATAATATGAATGGGTTTGAGGTACTCCTTTCTTCAACCCCCTACTCTCCCACAGATGCTGTTGCAGATTGCTGATGATTTCATTGAGAGTGTGGTGACAGCTGCCTGCCAGCTTGCCCGACATCGCAAATCAAACACTCTGGAAGTGAAGGATGTCCAGCTGCATCTCGGTAAGAGATTCGTGTCTTGTCAGTGAGGAGACAGAACTGAGGGAGTATCTGAGAAGGGATTGTCCCCGCTAGACCTTGGGGTAGGGATCTGGGTACACGCTACACAACCAGAGCAAACGCTGAATAGGGACATTTGAGGGAAATAGTCTAACCAAAATGTGTGGAAGCAGGGACATGGAGGAGGCTGCCCCTTTATGAACTTGAGCCTAGGGTGGCTGTCTAGGCATCAGTTCTTAATGGACCTGCTGGGAATCGGGGACAATTTAAATGTCATTATGTTTTCTTCCTCCAAAACTCTCCTATTCCTATGCACGGGCATGCCGTTTTGTATCCATTCTGTAACCTGGATTGTAAGGTCTTTGGTGTAGGGCCTGTTTACAATAGCTGTATATAGTATCTAGCCCAATGGGACCCTGACTCGAGTCCTTAGATGCAAGCACAGTACAAATAATAAGTAACCTCTGTGGTGCCTTTAGTCACAGGAGTCCGGATTTCCCAGTACCCCCATTTCTCACTAAATATCTGGAGCCCTGGCACCAGGAGGTTCACTGAATAGTTCTTATTGTTGTGGCATGTTGAGGGCTTCCCTGTGTTGGACATTCTGCACGGCTTTCTGACGCAGTGATCTGCGCTTTCTGTTCCAGAGCGCCAGTGGAACATGTGGATCCCTGGTTTTGGTTCTGAAGAAATCCGGCCATACAAAAAAGCCTGCACTACAGAAGCTCACAAACAGGTGAGGAGCCCCTTGTGAATGCACTAATAGCCAAATGTAGGGGAGTCCATACAAGCAGAGTCCTTGTCCAACTCCCCCCACACATGCCAGTGCTGCCCTTGTTCATCTCCACTCTTGCGTTGTGGCCAAGACAGAATGGAATCCCGATGACACGGTGGATCTTGTATATTCTTTTAGACTCAGTGTGTTCCCAAGGCTGCAACAATCTAAGACAGGGAGACTCCTGGCTGCTGCTAGATTCTCTCTTCTAACTGATGGCCACACCCTTCAAGTTGCAGTAGAGTGTCAGTTGTTGGGAGACCCCATACCAGAGACTGCTAGTTTGTAATGCTGGCTCCCTGCACAGTGGACCTTGCAGTTAGCATGTGATGACAGTGCTGGAGAGCAATTCTCACCTAGCCTCTGACGCTCCAAGGAGGAGCCTAAAACAACCCTTCACCCACAGGCAGTTAAGCGGTCAGGGAGAAGACACTCAGTTCAGGATCCAAAACACAACCATGGCCATGAGACAATGCTGCATGGCTGGTTTTTCATGGTCCGTTCTGCATGGAGCCAGCATGTTTGTGAATAGCCAGAAAGCTCTCTTTCCAGAAGAATTTAAAAATCTATGTTGACTGAAGAGAATCCTTGTTTGTAAAACCACGGGAGTCCAGGGATGCTGTTTGCATACTATGATCAAGAGTGACTAGGGCTGTAAGTCTTGCTGTTTGTTAAACATGGCATTAAAATGTGTGGCGGCTGGCTCTGTCAGCTAATGGCAGTAGCCATGCGTGTATGTAACAGTGACCCAGGTCTTACTGAGCTACTGCAGGACAACTGCAGAATCCCTTCCATTGGAAATAAATGGTTGCTGCACAACGTGGCAGCAAGAGACTTGTTGCCATTGTATATAGGGGCAGCTGAAAATTATTTCCTCTCCTATTTAAATATCTGGCTGGGGCTCCTCTTGAAGAGCACTTGTGCTTGTCCTGGAAATTTCAGCTGTTAGTTACTTGTTCAGTACTGGTTTCTGTCTTGCTCCGACTTTGGAAGTTGCTGGGTTTTTTAAGTCAAAGGCTAAAGCCATGAATAAAAATCTCTACACCCACGAAATGCACCAGCATGGTAACGTGACAGCTCCATTCCTGATACGGCAGATGAAATGCTGTGCAGGTGCGGACAGAGGGCCTTCAGGTGGATTTTGATTCAGTGCACAATGCAAGTAAAATATTAAACTGTGCTAATGACTGAGTGAAATTAGGATTAAAGTAGAATCACCAAACCGAAATGATGACTCCGGACAGAATCTCTCCCAAGGAGAGAAGCACAGACTCTCTGAAAAAAATTTTTTTTTAAACTTTCTGGCTATGGATCTATCGAAGCTAGGATTCAAATAGCCTTAAAGAACCATGATTAAACACCGGTCCAGCTAATTCATGGTAGAACACTGCCTACAGACGTGTTCAAGCCTGAGTAGGACCCAGGTGGAACACTTCGCAGCATGGCTTATAGTTTGGCCCCACCCACAAGTTAGACAAATCAAGTTACAAATGGATTTAGCTAGAACCCATCTTAACTGTTAAAATGTGGTTCCCAAAGTGTTTAAAGGCCATTGTGTCTGTAGTTCTTGGTATATCGCCACTGTTCACCAGAGCTTACTTTCAGCATATGGTATTGCATAAACAACCTGTTGTGGACCCTGTGTTTTTTCAATCTCATTCCTGTATAGCCACATTCCCAGCTTGATTTGCAGATAACCATGTTCCAGTCGCTCAGTTCCCTGTATTTTCCCTTTATTGTTTCAGAGAATGGCACTGATCCGCAAAACAACCAAGAAATAACCCCTGGGAGTAGCAGGGAGACAACTGTGCGTTTGGGGATATCTGCCTCTAAGCTGAAGCCTCCATGACACCATCCATGGGATATTTTTTTTAATGCTTTACAGAGAAGCATATATTTTTTATTAACAGTGCAGCAATATCTATGACTTTGAGGAGATCGGCCAAAAAACATGATATGCCCCCCCTTCCTCAGCCCCCCATCAGAGCGCATCGTATCTTGAAACAAAGACTTTATTTGTGACCTTTAAAGTGGTTTATTGTATAAGTGATTGATTGTCCAAGGAACAGAGCATTTTGGTCTTGTTTGGGACAGTATTAGAAGCATCTGTAGAGGTTTTCGTTTTCCCCCTTCCCTCCTGCCAGTTCCAGTACTTTGTAATGTCAATGTTTATATAAATACTTGCATTTGTTTTACATTAATAAAGAAATTATTAATCTAAAGCCGGGCATTGTCTCGTGCTTCTGCATTTGACGTGTGTACAGCACCTCATTTCAAACTCTAGGCAGTAGGAGAGAGGGGCAGCTTGCTGCAGGGATGTTTAAAGGACATGCCAGGTTTAGATTCAAAATGGAGGGGAGGACTAGGATGGCTCTTGCACTGGTAAGGAACAGCACAGACCATTTTACCTCTAAGTAGCCAGTTGAGATCTGGCTGAGGTGAGTAGTGACGACAAGTCCTACCATCTGTTGGCTGTTTGGCCTATGTGAAATAAACTAATGGTATCTGTCCAGTTCCTAGTGCACAAGGGTTCACATTAAGACCAACTGGAGCCCTGGCTGACAGCTGCAACAGAAAGGCCAAGGACTTGGCGAGTCACGGAGACCGGACTTCCCTCTGGCTCCCTGCAGATCAGGGATGGTGGGATGGAAGCATGTGCTTTTCCATGACCAAATGGAAGTCTTCCGTCTCCAGGGCTGTCAGTTGAGCACATTTCACCAGCACATAACTCACTTTAAAACTGTTTAGAAAATAAATTGAAGCTTAGGCCACAAATTTGACCCTAGTAACTCTGCTAATCAGGTGGGAAAGGTTCTTCAAATTGCAAACATGAAAGGGGAGGGGTGTTCCTAAATCTGTACCTCTTGAGTTTTGGGTCGACAAGGATGAAATTGAAAGCTGCCCCCAAAGACTTTGAAATATATACATGGTCTGAAAATAAGTCATCCGCTTTCCAAGCTAAAGGCTGCACCGCAGATAAAATCCAGACTTCTTATCTGGTTTGCCCACTTGTTACCTGGGGTTCTTTTAACCCAAAGCTCTTGGTAACTTTTATTCTGTGCAAGGTGGTGTCAGGAAATAAATCAAGGGAGACACGGCCATCCATCTGATAGATGGCTGGCACAAACAGGACAACGCAAGTGTGCTTTCACATACGCAACAGGTTAGTAGAACACCCCCAACCCTTGATAATTACCGAAGGTGAACGTGGCTTTCGAGTTGCACCCTGATAGGCTTCTGCTGGCCAAACTTCTGTCTGCCGGTGGGGACCCCAAGGTGCGTCCAGAGGGAGCGTTCCTGAAGAGCCCCTCCTAAGAAGTCCAGCTACCTCAAACTTTTTTCCCCCTTATTTATACATTAATAATACAATGACATGTCCCTTAAAGAAAACTTGCTAAGCAAGCAGTTTTTAAAGGTCATGCAAGGGGTTTCCTTCTGATCATCAATTTAACCAGATATGTTTTGTTTTGTTTTCCCTCCCCCCACCCCCACCCTCAGAGTGTCCATACCTTGGGGCCTTGACAAACATTCCCGGAGGCACATACAGACAGACTTCCTGTTTTTCTAAAATACATATATCAGCAATTTCAACATTCTTAGCAGGAAGGACATGGGGTCAAGCTGCCCTGTCTGTGGCACCCAGAACTCCCTTCCCTCCTGCCTTGGTTATGCTAAGGCCGCTGCATGACCAATTTATGGCCTGCTGACTCGATAACTTTTAGCAATAAGCAACAGTGTGTTGGTTCTCAAACTTTTGTACTGGTGACCCCTTTCAAATAGCAAGCCTCTGAGTGTGACCCCCCCCTTATAAATTAATTTTTTTTTATATATATATTTAACACTATTATAAATGCTGGATGCAAAGCGGGGTTTGGGCTGGAGACTTGCTTATGATCCCCCATGTAATAACCTCCCGACCCCCAGTTTGAGAACGCTTGCAATAGTGGTTTCAGGCACTTCACTGGTTTGCCAAATCTCTCCGTACACACTGTCTAAAAACATTAAAATGTAAACCTATACAAAGCGTGTTTATTGCAGTAAGGGGGGGGATTTTGCAAGAATCCTGCTGAGACTGGTTAACTTCATAACTGAACTCTTATTGACAGCATAGGCAGTGTCCTAAACTGCCATTCTGGTACCTGACACGGTCCTTCCAAAATGGGGATTCACACTCGTAAGTATGCATGTCATCCATTCTCCGTGCCCAGCTAATAACTGGTCTTTCCACTGAGACTACCATTGTAGGGGCCAGTTGTAGAGATGGTTCTTTATGATGTGGTTTAAAACTGGATCCCAAACTTCATTGGTTCATGTGCCACTTTCTTAAATTGTTGTGAAGTGAACGGATGGAACGTCAAGTTTGGGTACCACAGTCTGGTCTGGAAACTGGTTGGAGACCTGCCCAATTCATTTCTTATAGTGGTCACCTAAAAAGCCAACAGAGCCTAGTTTTTTGTTTTATTTGTTTTTTAAACTATCAGCATGGTCTGGATTCTAACCAGTAACCTGGAGGTGAAAGCTATCCTGTTCTGTCTTGAAGGCATTTCAGTATCCTGCGTAGTCACAAGAACACAGCCTGCGGGAATAGCCAGTCCTGTTGCCCTAGAACCAGATTGCTAAATCTAAGGCCTGAGAGGGAAGCTGCTTTTCCCGAATAGAGTGACTGTTTTCATATTCGAAACTTACAGCCTTGTTCCTAGGCCATGCCCTTTCAAGTGAAGAGGAAGTCCAGTGACCTGAGAGGGACGTGGTGGCTGGATGTTTCGGGCAGGACAACCTGCAGCAAAACACCGCTTAATGATAACTTGAGGGTTTTAAAACGACGAGCCGCATTGATGAGAATGGGAGAAGCTGGGGGTGCTTTAGATGCTGTTGCTGGGTGACTCTGTAGACTCCAAGCTGAACACCAATGCTGGGAAGTGCTTCACAACCAGGACAGCTGGAAGAATGTTTAGTCTGTAGCAAATGCAGCATCCATGGAGATTCTAAATCCTCCGAATCTGCAGGCACCTCCTGGGTCTAGTGTCACTGTTTATACCACTTGGGGGACACTTGCCATTTTTATTGGCATGTTTATTGTTCTAACTTTAATGCTAAAGGCAACCAGAAATATGAATAAAATGTATTTAACTTTGTATCCAAGTGTAAATTCCAGACTTTTCCAGTGCTTAGACCATTGGATTCCTATTTGGAATTTCCTCCAAGCACAAAGGGTGCTGTGTAACCCTGCAGCCTTTGAACATGAGTGGATGGAAACATTACCCGTTCCAGTTCTGTTTGTTGCCTTTGCTGGGAGAGGTTAGCGGGAACTACTAGCCTGTTAGAAGAGGCTATTGTGACTGTCCTTGCATATAGTCCTGCCTGGCAGCCAAGTCTCATACGGGAAGGTGAGTGATGGTAGCTCACTCTGGCTTCTTAGTCTACAATGTCTGGCTAGCATGAGCACTTCTTCTGCTTCTCTTGTTTTCCCAGGTTCTGTACTTTGGGCTCCTCTGTGGGTGGCAGTCTGCTTTTCACCCCATCCCAATCCTTGTTTGGGCTCAGCACCCCTGCCTTCACAGCTTCATAGATCTCCAAGGTCAGCAGCTGGAAGGCATCATCCACGTTGCTGTTGCTTTTAGCGGATGTCTCTATATACTTTGCCCCCAGTGAGGAAGCCAGCTTCTCGGCCTCCTTTCGCTCAACCTGGCGCTGCGGCACCAGGTCACTCTTGTGCCCAACCAGCACAAAGACCACGTGAAAAGGTTTCACCGTGTCTGTCACCTCCTGATGCCACTCCTTGATACTCTCAAAGGATGCTCGGTTGGTCAGGTCAAACATCAGCACTGCCCCAGCGGAGTTGCGGTAGTACGAGCGAGTCACTGACCTAGGACACAAGAAGGGAACAGCGTGAGACTCTGCATTTTCTTATTGCTTTACTTTCCTAAGATCTTTATGGCACAGAGGCTGCCTTGTGAAACTGCTTGGAAAATGTTTTCCTGCAGAAAATTTCAACTTTTTGGTGGAATATAGAAAACCAAAACTTCAATTCAGAATGGCACTGTACTGCCTCATGGGAGTTAAAGTTCAGGTGCCTTATTCTGGTTAGACTACATCTTCCATGATGCACCACTTTCCCCCGCGGCAGTGACGAGAAGTGATGCGTCCCATCGGAGTCCCTGGTCATGGTGCATCATGGGAGAGGTAGTCTGTGTAGAGAGCCCACCCAGAGAGGGGAATGGAAGCATAAAGCCCCTGATCTACAAGTCTTGTGAGACGGCTGGGTGCCATTTTGAATGCAAATACTTTAGGTTTGGGGCAATCATTTTTTTTGACTAAATGTTCTGAGGAAAGCAGCTACTTCTCGTGTCAAAACAAACAAACAAAAAACCCACAAAACAAAACCCTGCATTCCATGGAAAACTTTTTTTTGTCAAAATGGTTTTGATGGAATTTTTTTAACTAGTCCTAATGCCTAGATATAACATTTGTCTATGGTACATGTTCAACCAGATTCGTGTCACAGGGGTGACTCTTATCTGAGCCAGTTGCTTGACTTGTGTCCACAATGCATCTTTTCTTTCCCCCAGTTTAGCTTGGTTTATGTTCCTATCAATTTATGCTCCCATATCAGTACATGTTAGGAAAATCAAGGCAGCTATCCCATCGGACTTTGGCAGAGGGTAGAGTACCCTGAGGACCCCCCGCCCAGTAGCAGGTAGAGCAATAGATGTTGGGATGCCCTGGCAGCCCGAGAGCTGGCTGAACTGGTTACTCCAAGCCAGTCTCCTACACTCACTGGGCTAGCTTACGCTGCTGGTGGCAGAGAATTAACCATGTGGGGTGTGAACAAAGCATGTTTACAGCCAGTTTGGGTTCTGCCCAGAACAGGTTTTTGGAACCCAGGGTTGTGAGTTCAATCCTTGAGGGGGCCATTTAGGGAACTGGGGCAAAAACTGGGGATTGGTCCTGCTTTGAGCAGGGGGTTGGACTAGGTGACCTCCTGAGGTCCCTTCCAACCCTGATATTCTATGATTCTATGATTCCTCCTGTTTTCCAGCCACTTGTGTGTCCCCACCTGCAGTGGCAACAGTGCCGGTATTTTTACCCTTGTGTTATGTCTGCCTGCTCCGAACACAGAGGTATTAAACAGCTGAGCCCTATCTGTGCTAATGCTCCCACCCCTGGGGAATTCCTGGAAACCTGCTGCCCTTGTCACTAACTGGCTACACACTGACCAAACCTCCAGTGTAAATGAGATTTCAGAAGCCCCTTTTCTTCCACGTCTTGGGGCTGGCCCTGGTGCTTCAGGTGTGCCCAGCCAGTTCCTTTCAATGGGGCATGTGTCTGGTTAATAATTAGCCCCTTAGCTTAGGAAGCAGAAAACCTAATACCCTGAAGTGCTGAACTAAAGGACCTTGGGTCTGGACGGGATAGCTGGTCTCCATCCAGTCCCTAGGGATGTGGGTCTCCTTTCACTTACACTGGTGTAAATCAGACAGATCAGTGGAGTTGCTCTGACCTGACACCAGGGTAAGGGCAAGGAGAATCAGGCTTTGGTGCCTGCACCCCACCTGGCCTGGCAGTCTCAGCCACAGAGCGGGACCTCCCCTCACCCGGGAGGCGGTTGCTAACCCCTCGCCTTCCTTCCTCCGAACCTGGGGTGAATCCTGCTCTCATTGAAGCCAATGGAAGGGGGGAAGGTAAGGGCTCAAATAGTAACATTCAACAGGGGAAAAGCCGAGCTGAGCCAAACAGCTTTGATAACCCTGCCCCAGCATGGAACCCACAGGTCCTGCCCTTGGCTATGGGGGGCTGAGTAGGTGCCCACAGTGTTGTTAGCTGGAAAGTTCTTTGCACCCAGTGTGTGACTCCCCCTGACAGCGCCCCAGCCTGGCCGTCAAGCCCCATTGTGTATCAGTGGTTCTCAGTACTATTCCTCTGATCGGAATTAAGGGCTGGGTCCCTGCTCCCTCCCACTCTGCACCTCTATTCTAGGCACTGGGGCCAGTGTTTGGTGGGAAACCCTACAAGTCTCCCCTGCCATACCCTAGCAGGGCGATGACACATGCACCGAGAATTTGGGAGGAGGGGAGTCCCTAAAGTGAGGGCTTTAAACTCCCCCAACGTGCTCTAGAGAGGCCCACGCAGCAGCACCTGAGCACGGCTGCAGGTGCTTTACACACAGAGTTGGACCTAGCCCAGGGAAAATGAGCGTGGGGGTGGAGCTTTCTGTCCGGTTCCCAGGGGTTAGGATGCCCATAGGCTAAACCGCTCTCCTGCACGGCACCAGCTGCCCCCTTTGCTGCCTGTCTCAGCAGAGAGGCCAAGGAGAGTCTGAGAGACTACCTAGGGTCCCTCCAAGCTGTGCTAGAGCAGTGATCCCCAAACTTTTCAGGGTTGTGCCCCCTCTTACCCCTGTCAGTGCACCCCTCCTCCCCCAGGATCTGGGGCTGGGAACAGGGCCACGGTTCCCCAGGAGAGGTGGGGGATGGGACACAGACAGGGATAGGGAGGCTGAGGCTGGGGCCGCAACTAGGAGCATATCTGGGCCTGGGGCCAGGAATGGAGTTGCGGTCAGGGGTCGAGGCTGGGGGCAGGCCGGAGCAGAGCTGGGAGCAGAGTGTGGGCTGGATGGTACTCCCTCCCTGCCCGCATTGGGGGGCTGGCCCGGACCCTGCTGCTCCCCCCGAATGTTCTTCTGCACCCCTCAATTTGGGGACCACGGTGCTCAGACGCAACAGCAAGGGGCAGCCTGGGAGAAGTTAACCGAGCCATGGCCCACGCTTTTCCTACTCCAAGGCCTTTGGTGTCCGGCCTGTGAACCAAGCCCCTTTCCTCAGCATTGTTCATGCAAGAAAACTGCAGCCTGCGCTCGAGCCTGGAGCTTCCTGCACCTGTATTAATCCCCATTGCAGCTTTCAAGCTCCCTTCGTTGGCTCCGGCTCTGGCTCCGTCTGGTCCACACGCTTACACGTACGTCTAACCCTCCCTGGCAAACCCACCTGAATCGCTCCTGCCCGGCCGTGTCCCAGAACTGCAGCTTGATCCGGAGCCCGGGCTCCAGCTCCACAAACTGGACGTAGAAATCCACCCCCACCGTCTGGTTGATGGAGTCGAGGAAGGCGCCCTCGGTGTAACACTTCAGCAGGGACGACTTTCCCACCGTCGAGTCCCCCAGCATGATAATGCGGAACTGGTAGTGCCAGAGTGAATCCATCCGGAGTATCCCAGCAGGACAAGCCTGTGAGCAGCAAGGAGCCTGGAGCCGAGTGTCTGCGGACTGGAGAGAGAACTCTCACGGCGCTGCCGGTTGGGACTTGCTGGAAGCGGAGCGAGATGGTTCCAGCTGAAGGCTGAGAGCTACTCTAGCTCGTGTCCAGGCAGGCAGCTGCCACCCCTCCCGCTGAGTGCGCAATGTTTATAGAAGGGGAAGGCAGAGAGAACGTATTACTCCTACGTTTGGCTGTCAGGACTGTCTCCGCTCAGTAACACTGGGCCCTGTGTGTCAGAGGAAAGGAGCGAGCAAATCAGATGCAAAACGCTGTGATGAGGAAGCATCTCCTTGGCATTAGGTTAGATTAAGAAGATTAGATTATGTATAGGGGCCTTGTAAATAGTGAGGCCTGGGCGTCAGGTGACTTTGGGTTCTACCCAAGCCTTGCCACTGTCTGTCTCTGGGCAAGTCACTGCACCTTGGTTTTCCCTCCTGTGAAATACAGGTGATAGTACTGACCGTAGTGGGAGACTCAGAGCTTGTCTACCATCCTGGGGAGCTCTTCCAGAATATCCGTTCCTGATTAACGCTATGTGTGGACACAGCTGCCCAGAGAGGGGTGCAAAAGGCGCAGTGTGTCCCAGATCTTCCAACTGAAAGCGCCTCCAAACCCATGGAGCATGAATGGGCAGCATTGTGACCTGGTGCAATGGGGTGTCAGCACCACTCAGGCTGTGACCCTGTGCCCCAGGTCCTACACCCGGGCACGCCACCCACCCTCTTCATGATGGAGTGGTGGCTGGGCCAAACCTGGGCAGTGCTGTGGTCCTGTGTGTCAGGTCACAACACCCAGAACGGGGAGCTGGGCTTGGCCCCATGGGACAGGCGCTGTCTCTGTAGGGTGAGTGCAGGGTGGATTCGCCGGCTAATCACCACCACCCCAGCCCTCTGGGGAAGGGTGGGGGACCTCCATGTCAGATATTGCCCTGGGCCTCCAAAAACCTACACGTCCCTGTGTGTAGACATACTTAGTCCAGAATAAGAATGACCACACACAGGATTAATCAGGAATAGTTAATCTGTTTTAAATCCACATTTTACTTTATTCCAGATTATAGACAAGCCCTTAGTCCAAATTTAAAGGGTTTGAGCTCTTTGGCTGGAAGGCCCTAGAGATGGACTCCATCTTAGTATGCTGTTATAGAGAATATTTAAAAGACTTTCACATTCCCTTAATAGGATTGGCTTTTAAAGGCAGTTCCTTCCCCGCCCAGCCGCAGCCAACCTGGGCATGAGCTGAGCCCCTGGGGTAAGCAGAGATGTGTTGTCAGAGCCACTGGTTTCCCTTGGGAGAATGTTTAAGCAACAAGCCAAGACAGGGCATGTATTGCTTTGTGTTCATTCATGCCTTGTGCACTCTGTCGCCAAAGGCCAAGCGTTGATATTGCAACTGGGCATGAATTAATGCAAGACCTGCCTGGTGCCTGCACGGCTGATTGGGCCTGTGGAATACTTGTATTTGAATTAATAAAATCAGCTCCAGCTTCACTCAAATCTGAGTCCGGTTTCACCCCAACGATTTGAAAACATCAGTCCAGGCTGCAGTGACAGACTCTTCCTTACTGCCTCACTGGTGTCAAGCAGACGTAACCCACACCTACTCCATGTGGTGGCGCTATTCCCTCCCCGCCAGTGGTGTCTGGGCCACACATGTACAGGTTGGGGCCCCTCCGATAAGTTTAACAGAGGTGAGCCTTTTAGCTGAGGCAGTAGCAGCTCATGGGTTCAGATGCAGCATTCATAGGTTCAGTTCCGGCTGCTGCTGGCCCACCAAGCAGCAGGAGGTTCTACAAACTGAATCAAAGATGGGCTGTTGGTTAAACGCCCCCATTACACCATGTCCTGCTGCAGCAGCTGACAGGGTGAGGAGGCCTCAGCACTTTTCCCCATGTGGCTCCACGCCAAGGGGGTGGAAGTTGGGAAAGGGCCCCTCCGAGGCTAGTGGTGAGAGCAGCGTGAGAACTTGAAGAGACTAGACTAGGGAGATCCTGCTCAGTTTGATTCTGGAGTTTCATAGAGCGTAAGGCCAGCAGGGGCCACTATGACTATCTAGTCTAATTACCTGTATAATTCAGACCCTAGGACTCCTCTGAATTAACAGTATCTGACAATCCCCACACAGTTACCTCCCTATCTCCAGGTTTCAGAGCAGCAGCCGTGTTAGCCTCTCAGTTTGTATGGTAACTTCCAACTTATCTGTATGTTTATATATATAACTATATCATAGATTCATAGATATTTAGGTCAGAAGGGACCATTATGGTCATCTTGTCTGACCTCCTGCACAATGCAGGCCACAGAATCTCACCCACCCACTCCTGCGAAAAACCTCTCACCTATGTATTGAAGTCCTCAAATCCTGGTTTAAAGACTTCAAGGAGCAGAGAATCCTCCAGCAAGTGACCCGTGCCCCATGCTACAGAGGAAGGCGAAAAACCTCCAGGGCCTCTTCCAATCTGCCCTGGAGGAAAATTCCTTTCCGACCCCAAATAGGGCGATCGGCTAAACCCTGAGCATATGGGCAAGATTCACCAGCCAGATACTACAGAAAATTCTTTCCTGGGTAACTCAGATCCCACCCCATCTAATATCCCATCACAGGCCATTGGGCCTATTTACCATGAATATTTAATTACCAAAACCATGTTATCCCATCATACCATCTCCTCCATAAACGTATCGAGTTCCATTCTATGCATCCAATGAAGTGAGCTGTAACTCATGAAAGCTCATGCTCTAATAAATTGGTTAGTCTCTAAGGTGCCACAAGTATTCCTGTTCTCCCTATCTCCAGTGACACATGAACCAGGCAAAATCATGTGATTACTGCAGAACTGAAACACCAATGGGCCCAGATACTGCAGTGGTGGCTTTATAAGAAATGTGATAGCTAGACTAGGTACAAGAGAAAAAAAGAGCTGACAGATTAGCTCAGTGGTTCTCAACCAGGGGTACGTGTACCCCTGGGCCTATGCGGAGCTCTTCCAGGGGGTACATCAACTCATCTAAATAGTTGCCTAGTTTTCCAACAGGCTACATTAAAAAACCCCTAGCGAAGTCAGTACAAACTAAAATTTCATACAATGACTTGTTTATACTGCTCGATATTCTATGCGCTGCAATGTAAATACAATATTTATATTCTAGTTGATTTATTTTATAATTATAATGGTAACATGAGAAAGTCAGCCATTGTTCAGTACTAGTGGGACTGTGACACTTTTGTATTTTTATGTTTGATTTTGTAAGCAAGTCATTTTTAAGTGAGGTGAAACTTGGGGGTAAGCCAAACACATCAGACTCCTGAAAGGGGTACAGTAGTCTAGAAAAGTTGAAAGCCACTGGATTATTTTGTCCCCAGAAAGAATTATTAATTTAAACTGAAAGTTTAAAACTATTTTAAGGGGGAGAAAGTGCAGCCTAGTGAATAGGGAAGGTGTCCTAGACATCAGGACTCCTGGCTTTGCCACTTTTCTGATCAAGTCACTTGACTTTATTGTGCCTCAGTTTACCCATCTATAAAATGAACATAATATTTCCACCCTTCACAGGAGGCGGGTGAGGCCTCATTAGTTAAAAACTATTGATGGTTTTAAGATCCTCAGATAAAATAGAGCCACAGAAGTGCAGAGCATCAGCAGAAGGCCTTTTGCTGTATAATCTGGCACAGTTTTCTTCCTTCCTAACCCCCAATCTTGAAGGAAGCACCAAATTATACAAAGGAAATGATTTATTTTTAATAAAGAATCCATACAAGCTGGAAACATGTGAGTAGCAGGATTGCACTAGTCCATATGTAGCACAGCTTCATACCCACAAACAATAATAACAGACACCTGTAAATACACTGGGATTAAATCCTGGTGCTACATAGTCAGCGGGAGTTTTCCCATGGGCCAGGATTTCACCTAGGGCATTTAATGCGCGCTTGATTTTCGACAGATGCAGTATGCCTGGCTATGGAGGAACAGAGCTTGGATTTTTCTAACTAGATGCAAGATGGTACCATAATGTCACTCTTGTTTAGATCCAGGCTATGCCATTGAAATCTATGGCATTATACAGGATACGGGAGGGGGAAATCTGTCCCTGGGAGTTTACCATAGCAGTTTTTAAGTGTTCAAATGCAATCAAGCCATAAGGCTGAGCATAGGAGCATGATCAGCGAGGGAGTGTGGCTGACTGGACAGGACACTTGTGGGACAGTCAGGAGACATAGTTTCTATTTCCAGCTCTCCCTTTGAGCTTGGGCCAGTCACTTCCCTGCTCTGTGCCTCAGTTTCCCCTCTGACCCCTTTATCTGTTTAAATTGCAAGCCCCTTTGGGCAGGGACTGTCTCTTACTATATGTTGGTATAGCACGTAGTACAATGGGGTCCCGATCTTGATGGAATACTAATAATGTACTTTTAAGGTCTCCTCAGTCTAGACCAAATAGTATAGGGTTACGCTAGAAAATGAGCAATTTGTTCTACAATTAACAAATTAATTAAAAGGGTGCCTAAGCATGATACTGGCCCTTTGCAAAGGGGTGAATCTCACCCCTCTGCACTGAGCACTGCAACTGAATTCTACCCTCTGGAAACATCTAATTGGCTTCCTCATGTCCTGAGAATTCTTTCACTCACCACATTCCTTAGGCACCCAAAATCAGGCCATGCCGGTTTCTTTGTAAAGCTAAAGTCTCTGGCATGTTTCAATAAAGCAGGGATTTGGGGATTTAATCCCTTGTAATGCCGTAAGAGCTGCACTCCTAGATTCCTAAAGATTTTCTTAGTCCTAAAATTCAGTTAAAAATAAGTAATTACAAAGTTTTAGAGCCAGTCCTGCAGTGTATTAAAAGGGATTTCCCCTGCTAAGAACCAAGGGAAAGCCTCTAGCAGCTAGTCAGTGGTGGGTCACTGGTCCTGGATTCCCTGTTCTCCACCTAAAGGGGGCAGTAGTGCACTTTTTACTATTTTGATGGAAGTCACCTACTACAATGGGTGAAAGCAAGTCCTGGAGGTTTTTATTTTCCCTAGAGACAAACAGAACTCCCATCCCCCTGATCCTCCAACTTTGCATCTCAGGCCCATCCCTAATTTATTTCTGAATCGGCTCATCCAGTCTCTCCTCCACCAATTCCATCCCTACTTCAGGTCCTAGTCCCTAACTTCTGGGTTAACATTGGCATTTTTCTTGTGGTTTTCGCCTCTTCTTCTGGGGATTGCAGGTTCTCTTGTGAATCACCTTCACCCCATCCCAGCCTTCCTGCAGATCGATCTCCTTGTTCTTCAGAGCCTCATAGATGGTGTTGGTCAAGGTCTCAAAGGCCAAGTCCACATTGGTGTTGCTTTTGGCAGATGTTTCAATGAAGCCTATGCCCAGGGAGGCTGCCAGTCCCTCTGCCTCCTCAGTGGAGACTTTGCAGTCTGACTTCAAGTCACTTTTGTGGCCAATCAGAAGGAAGATGACCTTCTCCATAATTTGGATGCTGGCCACTTCATGGTACCACTCAATGATGTGCTCGAAGGACTTACGGTTGGTCATGTCAAACACCAGGAGCACACCCACAGCATTCCGATAGAAAGACCTGGTGATGCATCTGGGAACACAAACGTAACAACTCAGTGAGCCCTTAACATTGCTTCTCACCTGCAAATGCCATCCAGGGACTAGGGCTGGTCTTCTAAGCCCCTACTGGCTTTTACTCACTTTGGGCCATGTGTTACCTTCAACCCCACACTCAGCTGGGGCCCTGCCCTTCTTTGCTACTTGATGACATAAACATTAGGTTTGGAAGAGGTGTCCCCCCATGTTTATCTTTTACATTAGAAATTCAGGTCTTGCCTCCTTTTTATTTTTCTGGAAGACTCTGTGGATAACTAGAGACCAAACTGTGGCCCCAGGCCCACATCTCGGAGGTATTTGGGTACCTAATTCCCGTTTATTTCAATAGGAGTTAGGCACCTAAATACCTTTAAGGATCTGGCCCCCAGAGATGGCAAAGAAATAAAACCTGATGAATTAATCAGGGAAGTGATTTTTAGTCAAACTTCTTGAAACTTTTTTCTGTTAACATCTATTTGACTCAAATACATTGCACACACTGAAGAGAAAAACATTTGTTGTTAAAGGTTAAATGCCCTCACCCCTTGAGGTAAGGGCTGAGAAACCACCCAATCCACCTTTCTGGTGCTCCAAGGAGCCCTTCGGCAGAACCAGGGAAGATAAGACATGAGGGTCCTGACACTTCTAATATAAAACACAAGCAAGAAAGAAATGTTTCAGGCTTTCTTCAGACATCATACAAAGACAAATAAGGGCAGATCCCCATTATGTCATCAGTCTTTAAGGATCTATGTTAAGAGGTTTTTTTCTGGGAGCAGATCCATCAAAGACTGGCCTTATGGTTTGGCTTCTCTCCTATGATCCAGCAAAGCGTCACTGGCTATGTGGGTGAGGAGTCTCCTTGCACAAGAGGAATCCCTGGGTTATGCAAGACTGATGTAGTAGCTCTATATCACTGCCCCGCCCAGTCCTCAGCATGGCCAGGAAAAGGAGGCCATGGTTGCAGTGCCTGTGGTCCCTGGCTGGTGTAATTTAGAGCAGCCCTGAAACATCTCTAAATTGTGCCAAGAGCCAAATAACCCCCTGACTGGTCCCTGGATCAGGGAGCTTCAGAGCTGGCCTAAAACCATCTTTGTGCCCCACACTTGGACCCAAGTCAAGCACAGCTCATGTAGACCTTAGAGACCGGGCTAGGGAGGCATGCGCTAGATTTTAAAACCACACCCCTCACTGTGTGATGGGAGCGCTGGAATAGTGAGGGTTTTCAAGGCCTCTGGCCCAGGGGAGTTAGGCACCTAAATAGGCCCCTGTCCTAGGCCCTACTCCAGTTGTTTTGTGCTGCATTGGTGTGCTCCATGTAGCGTGTGTGCCATGAGGTAGGGAGAGCGTGCCTGGTGTTCAGTGCTAGTTGCCCCTTCACTCCTTAGAGCTAACGTCCCCCCCATGACCAGAAACCGCAGCACCTAGTAGTTGTAACTGATATAAGCTGCAGCTGTAGCTCCCCACAGGAGAGCTGATTTCAGTGGGACTGTTTGCAGTGGTAAGAGCGGTTCCCCTGCGTAGATGTGCCAGACCAGGCCCATAACTAGTTATCTCATCGCCAGCCGCTCTGATCTCAAACCCTCAGCTCCCCCAGCAAACAAGGCTCTCAGCTAGTTGGATCCTTTTTCACACACAGAGGCATTATTTCTCCAGCCTGCAGGAATCACTGAACAGAACCATCCACTCCCCCACTCAGATCGCAACAATAGCAAACCCTGCCCTTCTAGACCCCAAGATTCCCCAGTGCTGTAAACTTTGTCCACGCTCTTTCCTGCTGCTCTTTCTCCATAAGAAAGGCAGGTTCCAGTAAAAAATGAGTGGGGGGTTACTGACAGCCAAATAAACAGTTGGAATTAACCCTACCTATAACAAAAACCCCACACTCTCCTATTGCAATGCAACCCCTCCCACCCAGGCCCCTCAGTGCAAACACACAAGCGTGACTGGGTGACTTCATCATGCACATGATCATGCTACAGCATGACATTGACAAAGCTGTAAAGAAAAGAAAACTGGAAACAAAAACCTTTTTTTAAAAAACAACAACCCTTGCTCAGGCCATTGGGGCAGGAAAGAGAAAGCACCAGATCAGGGATGATGTGTGTGTGTTGGGGTGAAGGGAACCGGTCTGGAGCTGGTGAGCTGGGTCCCCAGTTATGGGTATATGTGTCCGGTCTGGAGGGGCAGGCAGGGATCTGTGTGTCTGGAGAGATGGAGGGTTCTCTATGTGTGTGTCTCTCTCTGAAGGGATCTGGTCTCCGCAGACTGGATCTCTTTGGTATATGGGTAAGGGCCGTCTCAGGGATTCCTAAGGTTCTTATCTCAGGGCTGTGCCAATGCCAGGAAAATTATAACTCTGGGTGTGTGTGCGTGAGTGACTGGAGGGTGGGCCTGTGACTCTGGATGGGAGTGTCTGAGCCTGCAGGGTAAGGTAACTCCAGTGCGCTGGGTGCCGTGGTGTGAAATGGGGCGATCTGGGTCTCTGGTCCCTCCTCACCTGAATCTCTCCTGGCCAGCTGTGTCCCAAAGCTGCAGCTTCACCTTGATGCCCGGAGGCAGCTCCATCATCTTGCTGTAGAATTCCACACCCACGGTGGGGCAGGGAGCCGGGATGAAGGAGCCCTCAGCGTAGCACCTCAGCAGGGAGGACTTGCCCACGGTGGAATCCCCCAGCAGGATGATCCGGAACTGGTAGTGCCAGTTACCATTCAGGTGAGAGACCGGAGGGGGTGGCACCAGCTCCATTCCAAGGAGGAGCAGCAGGGCTGGGGCTTGGTGGGACTGGAGCAGCCTTTGAATTAAGATGCAGATTCCCCAGAGGAAGCCTTGGGTGAATTGGCCTGGAGGAGGTTACAAACCCAGATCCTGGCATGGAATGACAGGAGAGAGAGACAAAGGAGAGAGAATTTAACCAGAGGTCTCCACCCTCATCCCATTAACCTCCTCTCACCCCACCCTAGTGGAGTCCCCTCTGGGAGCAAAGTTCTGCTATGGGGAGAGAGACACTCCCCCATTCCCTTTCCCAGCCTCAGGCCCTATCAGCTTCCCCCCCACCTCCACCCCCGCCAATAAACAGACAACTCCGCTGTATCAGATTACTGTCAGGATCACAGGGAGGTGGGGGAGATGCAATTCTAGGAATGTAGCAGTTGCCAGACCAGATCAGACCTGGGGTCCATCTAACCCAGTGTCCTGTCTCTGACAGTGTCCAGCACCTGCTGCTTCAAAGGTCTGTGCAGGAAACTCCACAGTGGACAGTTATACCCACAGGAGAAGTTTCTTCCCGACCACAGACTGTGGTTGGTTTATGCCATGAAACATGTGGGTTTATATACCCTCTGCAATGTTTTGTCCAGCCTAATGTCACCTTGGACACTTTAGAAAGACATGTGTTCTTATTAGGGTCTTTCTTCCCCTCTTGTGCTAGTCAGTTCCACAGTGTCTCAACTATCCGAGTTAACTGAAAGAACACTCATTGATCTGCATTTGAATAGAGACCATCTCCACTCCCATTCAGGAGCACTGACAGTCCATGTGGCAATTACAGCAATTACTTATAGGGGAAAGTAATGTTAGGAAAGAGCTTGGTTTCCTGGTATTCAGTAATGAAGAACCAAGATCATGTGCCTAGCCAGCTCTCCACAGACCCCCAGCAAGTGCCCCATGGAGCCCAGTTTGAGAGATCATTATCCGGCAGGAAGACCAGCAGTGGAATGTTAATGGTCCTTTGGGATTGGTAGTGAGGTTTGCATTACTCATTTCTATTGTTTCCGTCTGTACTGACTCCCGGCTGTGTCTTCACTATGTTTCCCCCTGGCCCCCTTAACATTTTCCCCGGTTGCTATCACCAGTGCAACACCATTGATAGCAGCAATGGGGGGAACTCAAGTATAGACAGTGCGCTGGGATGGTCATTACATGGGATGGTGATTAAAATTCCTAGATTCCAAGGCCAGAAGGGACCATTGGAATCATCTAGTGAGATCGCGTGTATGACACAGGCCAGCCGTCCCAAGCACAATCCCACCCGAGCACCTGGCTCTGTATTCGAGCCGCACCTATGCTGCCGCAGTCATGCTGCTATTTTTAGGTGCTAGCTTGGGAGACTCAAACCATAAATGCTCTTCCTGGAAGGTTGCAATGCACCACTTATTGCAAAGCCTCCAGAAATCTCACACACCGCAGCCCAATACAGAGTGACACCACAGGCTGCCCCCTAAGGCAGCGAAGCACAACTCACCCCACCTTGCTCCAGACTGCTTTTGATGCAAATCCCATGCTACCCTCAGAGCCCCCTAACCTGCAAGCAGGAGCAGAAAGGCCCTTCGAATTTAAAGTGATAGCTGGTAATTTCAGCACAGTTCTCAATACACCACATGACATCCTGGCTCCGTTTAAGTCAAAGGGACTTAGAGGTGTATTCACAAAAAGAAAAGGAGGACTTGTGGCACCTTAGAGACTAACCAATTTATTTGAGCATAAGCTTTCGTGAGCTACAGCTTATGCTCAAATAAATTGGTTAGTCTCTAAGGTGCCACAAATACTCCTTTTCTCTCTCCATTAATGTGACAGTTTGGCCCTGTCTATCCAAGCAGCTCCATTGTTGTGCCCCTGGGATCAGAAGGGACAGAGAGAACCATTAAGAGGGAATTTTCCTAGTGCACACAGGGACCTTGACTTAATTAGGAAAGAGATTGTCTGTGAAGAAAATCCAAACACATGGAGCAAAGCAAAGAATGGATCAAATGAACTGATTCAATTGTCTCCAGATAAAGGAGTTCTGAAGACTCTGCAAACAATAGCAGCTTGTTCATTGCCTCCCTGTGGAGTGAGGCATGGAGGCCTCCTTTGTTATCAGCAAACAATCTGTCCCCTCCACCCGATGGGTCTGTTTATTCCAGGTAATAAAACATCTTCCTGGGCTAAATGACAGGAGTCAGAGTCAGGAAAGGAAAAAAGTGAGATAGTGGAACAAGGATGTGAACTAACTGAAATGTGCGCGCTTCGGCCCTGCTCTCCACAATGGCTGGGTTTTCAAAAGTGCTGAGCACCCAATGCACTGAAATCAATGGGAGGTTGAGGCTTAAATAACTTTGCAGATCTGAGCTGGAATCTTTTGAAAGACTGGCCACTGACTGTGGGTGGGTGCTGAGCATTTCTGAATATCTATCTACCTATCTCCAACACCCATCTATCTAATCTAATCTATCTATCCCTATACACCCATCATCTATCTCTCTAATCTATCTATCTATCTAGCCCCAGGTTTCAGAGTGGTAGCTGTGTTAGTCTGTATCAGCAAAAAAACCGAGGAGGACTTGTGGCACCTTAGAGACTAACAAATGTATTTGGGCAGAAGCTTTCATGGGCTAAAACCCACTTCATCAGATGTATGCAGTGAAAAGTACAGTAGGAAGCTCGATATACACAGAGAACAGGTAAAAATAGGTGTTGCCATACCAACTGTAACGGGATTAATCAATGAAGGTGGGCTATTATCAGCAGGAGGGGGAAAAAACTTTTGTAGTGATAATCAGGATGGCCCCTCTCAAACAGTTGACAAGAAGGTGTGAGTAACAGTAGGGGAAAATTAGCATGGGGAAATAGTTTTTACTTTGTGTAATGACCCATCCGCTCCCAGTCTCTATTCAAGCCTAATTTAATAGTGTCCAGTTAGCAAATTAATTCCAATTCTGCAGTTTCTCGTTGGAGTCTGTTTTTGAAGTTTTTTTGTTGGAGAATTGCGACTCTTAGGTCTGAAATTGAGTGACCAGGGAGGTTGAAGTGTTCTCCGACTGGTTTTTGAATGTTATAATTCTTGACGTCTGATTTGTGTTCATTTATTCTTTTGTGTAGAGATTGTCTGGTTTGGCCAATGTACATGGCAGAGGGGCATTGCTGGCACATGATGGCATATATCACATTGGTAGATCTGCAGGTGAACGAGCCTCTGATGGTGTGGCTGATGTGATTAGGCCCTATGATGGTGTCCCCTGAATAGATATGTGGACAGAGGTGCCAACGGGCTTTGTTGCAAGGATAGGTTCCTGGGTTAGTGTTTTTGTTGTGTGGTTGCTGGTGAGTATTTGCTTCAGGTTGGGGGGCTGTCTGTAAGTGAGGACTGGCCTGTCTCCCAAGACCTGTGAGAATGAGGGATCGTCCTTCAGGATAGGTTGTAGATCCTTGATGATGCGTTGGAGAGGTTTTAGTTGGGGGCTGAAGGTGATGGCTAGTGGCGTTCTGTTATTTTCTTTGTTGGGCCTGTCCTGGAGTAGGTGATTTCTGGGTACTCTTCTGGCTCTGTCAATCTGTTTCTTCACTTCAGCAGGTTGGTATTGTAGTTGTAAGAAAGCTTGATAGAGATCTTGTAGGTGTTTGCCTCTGTCTGAGGGGTTGGAGCAAATGTGGTTGTATCTTAATCTAGAGCTTGGCTGTAGACAATGGATTGTGTACTACAGTGCTCATAAGCGATGGTCACATAAACACCACCCTATACCGGAAACCTACTGACCGCTATGCTTACCTACATGCCTCCAGCTTCCATCCAGACCACACCACACGATCCATTGTCTACAGCCAAGCTCAGGGGGGCTGGCAGAAGGTGATGGGGGATGGCAAGGGGCTGGGAATAGAAGGGGGTGTTCATGTTGTGAGTGTCCCTTTTGGTGGAAAGACTTTCAAAGAGGAAAGTTTTGCAGCAGTTCCTACAAATGGTCAGAAGCTGGGGGCACCGGGTCCCTTAGAATAGAATCATAGAATCATAGAAGTTCTGGAAGTTCGTTCCATAGCCGGAGCCGCTCACCTGAGAATGCCTTGTCCCCATCTCTCACGTGCTTCATCACGAAAGCTCATGCTCAAATAAATTGGTTAGTCTCTAAGGTGCCACAAGTACTCCTTTTCTTTTTGCGAATACAGACTAACACGGCTGCTACTCTGAAACCTATCATCACCTTTGTTTCATTTGACGGGAAGATGAGGAGAGGAGATATTTCACCCAGCTGCAGAAATTAGGGCAATCCAAAGCAGTCCAACCTGATACCGGTCACGTTGCTCTCTTGTATGTTGTTGGCTATGAAACTGACGTGCCTTAACTGCCAGCCTGATGAGCCATCGGCTCAGGGCAGCTTTGACTTTGAGCTCGGAGGGGATCCACACACACTGCTTTATGGCTACCGCTAAACCCCAAGGTGACCAAACAAATTTAGTGAATGCCTAAGGCGCTGGAAGAGTCATTGCTTCAAATCCAGCTCAGACCCATAGTGAGTAAGGCCACGTCTGCAATTAGAATTGTTACCACTGTAGCAATGTGGGCTGGGGTGTGATTTTTTTTTAATTACATTTTTATACCAGTAAAAGCCCCAGCATAGACACAGTTATACTGACAAAATGGCACTTTTCCTGGTATACTTATTTTGTTCAGGGAACGGGTCTAAGCTATGCTGGCAAAAGCACTGCTTTGTGATATATGCTGCATCTTCCCTCTGTGGCAAACCATTTTTAGTGCAGACCAGGCCTAAGGCTGAAGTGGATGCATTCGCCACTGAAGTTTGTAGGAGTGGCACCCAACTTACTCCAGGGCTGTCCTGGGTGCTAGAAGTTGCTTCCATCTGATATGAGCTGTGGGCTCTCCAGCATGTTCCTCCTGAACAAGTGTTCCAGGCTCACGAACAGCTCAGATGCTGCTAACCAGCTGCCCTTGCAATGGAGAGGCAGCGATGTACAAAGTGAGCCATGGAGATGCTCCCCCTCTCAAGGTGGGAACACTTTGGTGGGGGTGGGGGAAACCTGCCCTGCTACTGCTGGTGATGTAGCTTATTTGTGGATAAGGGATTTCAGTTTACAGGCTGGCACCCCCTCCTCCTGGTACTGGCCAAATCACCCCTCCATCAGTCCAGCAAGTTGGATGCAGGGGGCTCCCCTCTCACTGTGGGGCTTTTTTTCTAGTCCCTTGTCTGTTTATGTACCCATCCTCTTGGCAGCAGCCACTGTCTCTAGGCTCCTACTCAGATCACTGGGCACTGTCTGAGGTTCTTTGCTCAGTGACACCCTCTGGATCCTTGATTTGACCCTATGACCTGCACCCCCATCCCTATTCTTCATAATCAGTTTAATTCTGGGCTCTTCTGTTGCCACCACCCACCGAGCCGGCTGGCCCCAGCATGGGCAGTAAGGCATCCATGTTAAATGCTCTCAGCACCCAGGTTTAACTGTGGAAAGGGACAGGGTACAAAGGAGGGGAATGGACAGGGTTACTTTCCTGTATGTCGGTTTGCAGCTCTCCCCTTTCTGCACCTTGGGAGCGGGAAGGATGGAGCTGGGGCAGGGCACCTCATGGAGCATCTGTAATAGATACTGTTCTGTCTCTACACCTGCTTCCCATCACCCAATAGCATCAGGAGCAGTTCTTTTATTACAAGGGTCTTTGCAACTACGGAAGGCTGAGCAAAGGGCTGACAATGCTTGACACAGGCAGATCCTTCAAGCACACCACGGGGTGGGAAGTTTCGTGGGGCAGCAGTTCTCATGCAACATATTGACCTTTCCTTTCCTCACACTCCAGCCGAGGCTCTCAAAGCACTTTGCAGACATCAATAAATTAACGCCTTTGCCTAGGAAATAATGTTCATTCTTTATCCGTTTTGTAGGGACAGTAGCAGGAGCCACCCAATGAGACAGGGCAGAAATGGGAAGTGAACGCAAGTCTCCCATTGGCAGCCCATTTCCCCTTCTTTAGCCACAACCCAATTTGTATCCATTTGATATTTCTAGGCAGAGATGATTTTTTTGGGGCAGCAAATGGGTGCCTGAATCTTGGCTCCCAAATCCATGCTTAGGCATCTAAATTCATGGCTTCATTTTCTGAGTACCACAGGGTCAGTTGTTATACCAATAAAATAAAAACCAGCAGGATCTTAAAGGGGAAAAGGCAAAATACCATATTTATTGTGAATACAGAAAGAATCATAGTAAGCAGTAAGAAACCTGTCAGTAAGCAGTTAGTTATAGCTATAACATTCCATTCAATCTCATTTATTCACACATTCATTCATACAAACACACACACACAGGTTCTGCAAGGTTGTTATCATAGTTACCAGCCTTAGGAATTGCTCATGCCAAGCCACTGGTCAGGTGGCCTGGACACGAGGAAGGAGCAGGGCCTCGTCAGATGCACATCTGATGCTCGTGGAAGTTGGTTTGCAGACTCAGACCCCAAAGTTCTCACTTTCTAGAGTCCATTTTTATAGGAATTTCTTCTTATGCCAGTCTGTGGGAATTGCTTCATCATGCTGTTGCTGAATCACTCAGCAGATGGCACATTCCTGACAGCTCTGTGCTGCCAGATGTTATCTTCTTTGGTTCTCCCATTCTTGAGGCTGTTGGGTGGATTCCAGTCTGCCCTCCAGGGGTCCTCTGGTTATTTCCACTTGACGCCCTCTTCAGCCGATGGACACTGGATTCTTAGGCTGGCACCTCCCTGATCATTCAGTTATTATCCACACCAAGCATCCATCCACATACATCCTCTATCTCTATTTTAATCACAATTGTTAACAAAGCAAGATGAATACAACAAAAGGGCGGGGAGTCTCTGGGTGCTGTTTCTGTTGTTACAGAGTATTGCTTTGAGTCTCTCTGTGTGAGTAGTTGTTACAAAGAATTGCTTTGAGAACACATTGTCTTAGAATGTACTAACACAATTAGCAGCTTGCAAGTTTCACACAGAGGGAGAGAAACAGTACCAAAAACCAAGAGACCTCTTAGTTAGTAATACCCTGGAATTTAAACTATGGGGAATCAAACTCATTTGTGATTTTAATACAGAACTTCTTTAATATGATCCAACACAGTCTCCCCACTGCTTTCAGGGGAGGGAGAATGGCAATTCCTGCACCCATGCTTATGGGGCAGAGGGAATGCAGCCCTCCCCTGACTTCCTTAGTTAGAGAATGCTGATTCCACCCACTCTTTCACAGTGGAAACTGCCTCAGCAATATTTTCAGGGAAGAAACAACCTCAGCCCCAGGCTTCCCGCAAGGGGTGTGTGGCCTTATGTCCAGGATTGTAACAGGGGAGAGGGAAGGGAAGGGATGTGTGTCTCCTCATGGGCTTTGGGGAGCATGTGAAATCCTTCCCACCCCTGGTTTAAGCGTGGAGGGGAAAACGCAGCCCACACCCACACTGACAGACTTGGGAAAGGTGGTAAGTGGCCCCCACCCCTGCATTTGGCTTTTACAAACAGAATACATAACTGGGGTGGGTTTGTAACATGGATGAAGATTAGTAGGGGGTGTTACCTGGTAATGGACAAAATTTCCCATCTCACTATCTTATCCTAGGGTATTATTCTGCTGCCCATCACCATGGTATCTGAGCATGTAAAATCAATAGGAAAACAGTAAAGTCCCTACTAGCCTGCAGCACCATGTGACAATTGGTGTTTGCCTTCTTCCCCACATTCTCATTTTAACATACCTGCAACTAAAGTAAGGGTCACTCGAATGCAGTGACAAATTATCACTTAGGCCTTGTCTATATTGCAGCTGCTACAGTAACAGTAACCATACCCCTTTCTGGCATCTGACTTTATTAACCAGCCCGTTGATTTGCTTTTAGTTCCGTCATTGCTCTGAGTCGAAAATCCCTGTAAGACAGGGATTTTCAATTCACTTTCTCTAGTCTCTCCAGTAATGTTTGGATAGAAACCCACCTCACCACCATGGCCACCTACAAGGTCAGAAAAACCTTAACAGTTATCTTTTGTCTGTCTACAGTTCAGAGTACCCTTGTTAATCTGGGAACACCTAGCTCTTACACAACGCCTAGCTTACATAGATCTTTTCATCATTAGATCTCAGTGTGCTTTACAAAAAAGGCACATTTTAGCTTGGGAATCTGAGGCACAGAAGCAAAGTGACTTTCCCTAGCTCATGGTTTCTCAAGCCATGGGTTGGCACCCAAAATAAAGGGTTGTGTGGCAGCTGGTGTCCCACAGGGCTGGCTGGGATCACTTCTGTGCTCTATGCATTGCAACCTCTGGGGACCCAGGGCGGCTCAAGTTTGGCCCAGACATCACCACAACAGGAATCCAGGTACGCCAAGTTTGAGTCAGTGGCGCTGCAATCCCCAGAGCCAGCTCACAACTCCACACTCAAACTTGGTCCAGTCAGGGCAGCAGGTCCAAACCCAGCCAGCCCCACAGCACAGGAGCTGTCACTGTGGGGTGAGTGCCAGGCAGGACCCAACCCCCTGGGGGACAGGATCTGACCAAAACCACCCCAGGGCCTCCACCCCCAGACTATTTACTGAGTCACAACAGGACATAAACATTTACAAATGGGTCCCAAGCCCACAAAGGTTGGGAACCACAGGCCTAGCTCACCCAGCAGCAGAGCTGGGAACAGAAATCAAGACCATAGGCCAGTCAGTTTAATTACCAACTAAAAGTTTGAACAGAAAAGTCTGAGGCAAAAATTTCTTTGACTGCTGCATTTATTATTTCCTGATTCCCTATACAGGGGAGTTTTTACTAAGAACACAAGCTCTCTGGAAAGGACAGTCCTTGTATTGTGTATTGATACAGATGCAGTTGAGCCTGTAAACAATTTCCCAGGATGTGTGAGTAGCGCTAGGTAATTTTCATACGCAAGAGAAGGGATGGGCCCCTACCCTGCGGAGCTTGCAGCCTAAGAACAGGCAGACAGAGGTAAGGGAAGAGGATTTTCTATGCAGGATAATGTTCTCTTTGGGAAGCAGAAACATAGCTTTTAAGAGGGACTGAAAGTTGGAGGAGACAGTCCAGTCTATGTTCCACTCTGATCTGAAAAAAATAAAAAATAAAGGTAGCTATGGAGTGAAGTGTGCAGCCTGACTTCCTGCTAGACCCAACCACACCAGGTAGGGATTTTAAACACAGCCCAGCTGTTCTGTTAACGATGGGTGCCTGGCCTCAGCCCCATATCCGCAGGATTCATCCAACAGTCACCATTTAAAAGGAGTCATCACTGACCAGGCAGAGTTAAGCAGAGGTCTGTATGTGGCTGTGCATTGCACCAGTACTTCCTATTCGACTCAGTTTCTGCAGAAACCAAGCTTGTCACCGAGTGACATTTCTAGCTCATATGGTTGCAGAGAAACCCCCAGTGCTAGAGCCTTCAGAACAAGTCAGAGGAATCACACTTCACTTAGCTACCTCTGTGCAATTTAAGTTTCACTACAATGATTGGAACAGCCTTTTTAGTAAAGCAGCCACCAGCTGCTCTGAGTAGAGCAGTCCTACTCCCTGAGATATGGGGACAGATCCTCAGCTGGTGGAAACTTACATAGTTTCATGAATATCAATAGTGCTAAGCTGATTTACACTGTCCCACTTCTCCCAAGACTGATACCTGAAATCAGTCTATGGATAAAGTTAATTTCAGAAGTCCCTGTAGTGTTCAGATGGTGAGAGTAAGGCCATTTAAGATGCCATGCGCCCCAGGAGGCAAGTTAGCCATCAAGGTTTTTGAAGCTGTTGCCATGTCATATGGGGGTGGGGGTGTCTTGTTTTAATACCAGTTCAGAGTCAAATCAGAGTGACTAACTCTAGAATCTGTCTGTTCTGCATCTGGAGTGTTGGTCAGGGATGTCAAACATGACAATTATTAGCTCAATGGCTCTTTAGCTCAGTTATTTGGAAGCTTACTTTGCCCATCCATGGGTCTTTCCAGAGTTCTAGCCCCTTGGGAGACACTATCATGTTCCACTAGGTGGCAAGACCGACTGGCCAGTCCATTAGCTCCCCTTGGCAGCATCAGCCTCTTCCATTTAGCAAGAGATCTCTGTGAAAGGCAAAAACGGATTTGGAATTAGATCTGAAGTACACAGGTCTTTATGTACAGAAGAATGCACCAAATCAGCAGGAATACAGCCCAAAACACCAGCCCCTCTGAAATTCAAAGAGGGGAGGAGAAGCATTATCTAATGATCCCTTCTGGCCCTAATTTATTAACACATTCCAAAAGAAAGTTGCATTGAGCAGTTTAAGATATTTACCTAGACCCCCCCCCACCACTACTATACAGAGCTACACTTCACCCAGGGCTTTGTAGCTAAATTGCGGTGTTCCAAGCCAGCCCCCTCTCAGTGCAGGACTGTTCTAGCAGAGAGAATGGGACCAACTTGCATTTCACTTTCCCTCCTTTTTTGACCATGAGATCGGTGTTCAGATCTGATGGGAAAGGGATCTGGAGGTGAAGGAAGCCCCACTTCTGCGCTGAAGAGAGTTGTCAATCTCACCTTGCATGATAGCTGCTGTGTGCCCACTTCATGCCATCCAGCAGGCAAGAGATCTCAGAACTGCTCAGGGTTCAGAAGGGCACCTCCAGATGGCCCTAGGAAACAGATTTGCACCATCTTGACAGTCAGTTAAGAACAGGGCTGCAGATGCCACAGAAGTAGGAACTCATTCAATTAAGGGCCTCTAAACAAGAAGAGCACCACATCAAAGAAGCCAATGCCCTGCAAGTGAAAGCTTATAGGAGAGGTGAGTGACAGCCATCGGCACACAGGGCTTAGCTGCCAAAGTCTCTCCTCCTTGTTCTTGCATGTAGTTGGAGATCCTGTGGCTATTTCACTGAGCCACAGCTCTTGGTTTTACATGCACTCCAAATGCTCAGTACTCATTCAGTGAGGCTGGGGGGATGGGGAGATTAAAGGATAGGTAGTGTGGCCTAGTGGACAAAGCACTGGACAGAGACTCAGGAGAGCTGGGTTTTATTCCAACCTCTGCCGCTGGCCAAGTTCCTTCCACTATTTGTGCCTGTTTCCATATCTGTAAAATGGGGATACCACCACCAACCTTTATAAAAGGTGTTGCGATCAACAGATGAAAAGCTCTGTACAGCTGCTGGGTGCTAGGCAATCCAGGCTGCAGGGAGAGGGACTGAAATAGCATCTGGCACTAAGGCTGGTGTAAATCTTTAGGGCCCACTCTGTGCCTGCACAGAGACAGCAGAGGGGCTACCCCAGGGACTCTGAACCTGAAGGTGTGAGAGACAGAAATGATCACCAGAACATGAGCTAATTGCAAACCACAGCAAGTGGTTTCCATCCCATTTAGTATTTTGCCTTCAAGCCCCCACAGACCTGGCTCCTCTGCAACCAATTGTCACTCCTACTCAGCCAATAACCAGCACCAAAAGCTGAGCAACATCTCGCACTCACCTGCCGGATTTGGCAGCAGGTAGTCTCCAGGACAGGGGCACCAGCTCCTCACTTAAAGAGAGGGGGGAAAAAAAACCAAACAGCCCATTAGCCCACCACAATCTCAGTCTTATGGACACAACATGCTACTGGAACAGGAAACAGCCCTTCCAAATGACAAAGCCTGAAAATGAACAGTCCTTGAGATAGCTCTACAAGTCTGTATCTAGATACAGGCCCCTCTCCCATCCCTAGATACCTCTGGGCCAGGCAAAGCCTGTGCATAGACACTCCTAGCACATGTATTTTCCTGAAATGTTGCTGGACAGTTACAATGGAACAAACTGAACAGCGACCGTCAAGGAAAACAGGTCACTTTTGGCTCCTTTTTGACCACGTCAGCTACACAAGAGAGACAGACGCAGCTTCGATAGGGCCGTGGGAATGTTGGAGGGCACTTCTGGGGGAGGAAAAGGCAAACAAAGCATGCCCAATTATTATTGGCTTCCTTAACCATGCTGCTCAGCTTACCTGCTGACCAACAGAAGCCACGCTCTTCCACCCCACCACACCCTCCCCCCTCCGGCCCCGCTTCAGTGGGCAGCTTTTTAAAAGCCCAACGGAACGGAACACGAGTGTAGAGCAAACCACTTACCCTGCTGGGAAAGCAAGTGAAAGCAATACCAGGCTCATGCCTGACTGGTTCCAGCATCTCAAGGCTCCGTCCCAGCATCTGGAAGAGAGGAATGGCAGGATAAAAACTGATCTCTAGTAAATAAGCAATATATCATTCACCATTTTATGACATACTAAAAATGTAAATTAATGATAATTTAAGACTATTAAGCTATATAATTGCTTAAATACAGGTGTATAGTTATAGTACACCCACCTAGGTAGCAAAAAGATGTACCAAATCTAGTGTAAAGGCTCTATTTAGTTTTAGACCAACTTGTTTTAATGGTTATATCAATTTAACTGAAGCGCAAATAGAAAAATTATTAAAAATCAATTATTTAAATCACCCCACTCTGGGCAGGATCTACACAAGTCTGGGGAGCAGATGCTGTTGAAGGCTTCACGACCTCTCTACATGTGAAATAGTGGAGATGGCGCTTCAATGGGGGTGAGGGGAATCTCTCTTCCACCTCCTAAGACAGCTTTCGGGCCTCATATTATTGCCATACACAAAATTCACCCACCTAGTGAAACACCTTATTCAGGACCACCCCCTTTCTAACACCACCAAACACAGGCCTCTGCCAATTTGCAGGCACACAGCTTCCTGCAGTGTTTTGTTCCTGTGTGCAAAACCAACCACCCATCCCTACTACTAGGCATCAGCCTTTGCACACAGGGTGCTTAGCTGCCTCTTCACAGGCTCGTGGGATAGACCCCAGGGCCATGCTCACTTCCTGCTCCAGCACCTCCCAAGTCAGTCTCACAAGTTTAAAAAAAATACTGCCTGAACCCCAGCACCTCTTTAATTACAAATTAAGCAACAAACACAGGAGACCCTTCCAGGCACATAGTGAGGTGCAAACCCAGATGACCCTCTCCCCCCAGACCCACCACAGAGCCTCCCCGGATTTACAGCTAAGCAGCCCTTTAAGTCTTCCCAGCTGTAGAGCCCTGCAAATCCCCGGGGGAACGAATTTATATCCCGGGGTATCCGCGCAGGGCTCTGACAGCAAGAGCCGGGTGGGCAGGTTGAGGAACTTGCGGTGCAGACCCTCCACCTGCCCTGGGCAGGGGGTCCGAGCAGCCCCCTGTCCGTGTCCCTGCCCCCCAGCCCAGCCCAGGGGACTTGGAGGCGCAGCGCGGCCAGAGTAAGCAGAGCCCTGCGAATCCACAGGCCATTTCTGCAGCTCGGACGCGGATACACGTTTTTGTACCCAGCAGGGCTCTCCCCAGCTGCCCCTGCTATGATCAGCGCTTGCCCGCCCCAGCCAGGTGGGAGTCTACCCCGGACCTGCAGAGCCCCATTCCGTGGGGAGCCCCAGGGAGGGACCCTTTGTATTTCCAACACCTACAAAATATTACAGCCCAACCCGCCCCCCAGAAACTTGAGCAGCCGCAGCTCAGCTTGCAGGGGGCAGAGCACCCAGACGCCCCCGGGGAAGAGAGGATGGCGGCGGATTGCAAACGCCCCCGGGCCCTACCCGAGCGATCGTCTCCCACGCGCACCCAGCCGCCGACCGCACAGGAAAAGAGAGAAGCGTCTCCGGGACGTGGCTTTTAAGAGTCAGCCCTGCCAGCGGCGATGCTCTGATTGGCTCCTCCGCGAGGCCGTCCTGCAAAGCCTTCTGGGAGCTGTAGTTCAACTCGCTTGCGACCTGCCTTTAGCCTGTAACTAGCATAGGCACACTGAGGTTGCAAAGCCAGGGGCTGAAAAGTTAGGAAGCTCCGGAGTTGAGGCTGTCTTGTCTGTGCCATCTGAAAGCTGATGTACTCAATGTTTTCTTTGCCTCTGTCTTCACGAACAAGGTCAGCTCCCAGACTGCTGCACTGGGCAGCACAGCATGGGGAGGAGGTGACCAGCCCTCTGTGGAGATAGAGGTGGTTCGGGACTATTTAGAAAAGCTGGACGAGCACAAATCCATGGGGCCGGACGAGTTGCATCCGAGAGTGCTAAAGGAGTTGGCAGATGTGATTGCAGAGCCATTGGCCATTATCTTTGAAAACTCTGGTGATCGGGGGAAGTCCCGGAAGACTGGAAAAAGGCTAATGTAGTGCCCATCTTTAAAAAAGGGAAGAAGGAGGATCCTGGGAACTACAGGCCAGTCAGCCTCACCTCAGTCCCTGGAAAAATCATGGAGCAGGTCCTCAAGGAGTCAATTCTAAAGCACTTAGAGGAGAGGAAAGTGATCAGGAACAGTCAGCATGGATTCACCAAGGGCAAGTCATGCTTGACTAATCTAATTGCCTTTTATGATGAGATAACTGGCTCTGTGGATGAGGGGAAAGCAGTGGACATGTTGTTCCTTGACTTTAGCAAAGCTTTTGACACGGTCTCCCACAGTATTCTTGCCAGTAAGTTAAAGAAGTATGGGCTGGATGAATGGACGATAAGGTGGATAGAAAGCTGGCTAGATTCTCGGGATTAACGGGTAGTGATCAATAGCTCCATGTCTAGTTGGCAGCCAGTATCAAGTGGAGTGCCCCAAGGCTTGGTCCTGGGGCTGGTTTTGTTCAATATCTTCATAAATGATCTGGAGGATGGTGTGGATTGCACCCTCAGCAAGTTTGCAGATGACACTAAACTGGGAGGAGAGGTAGATACGCTGGAGGGCAGGGATAGGATACAGAGGGCCCTAGACAAATTAGAGGATTGGGCCAAAAGAAATCTGATGAGGTTCAACAAGGACAAGTGCAGAGTCCTGCACTTAGGATGGAAGAATCCCATACACCGCTACAGACTAGGGACCGAATGCCTAGGCAGCAGTTCTGCGGAAAAGGACCTAGGGGTGACAGTGGACGAGAAGCTGGATATGAGTCAACAGTGTGCCCTTGTTGCCAAGAAGGCCAATGGCATTTTGGGATGTATAAGTAGGGGCATTGCCAGCAGATCGAGGGACGTGATCGTTCCCCTCTATTCGGCATTGGTGAGGCCTCATCTGGAGTACTGTGTCCAGTTTTGGGCCCCACACTACAAGAAGGATGTGAAAAAATTGGAAAGAGTCCAGCGGAGGACAACAAAAATGATTAGGGGACTGGAACACATGACTTATGAGGAGAGGCTGAGGGAACTGGGATTGTTTAGTCTGCAGAAAAGAAGAATGAGGGGGGATTTGATAGCTGCTTTCAACTACCTGAAAAGGGGTTCCAAAGAGGATGGATCTAGACTGTTCTCAGTGGTAGCGGATGACAGAATGAGGAGTAGTGGTCTCAAGTTGCAGTGGGGGAGGTTTAGGTTGGATATTAGGTAAAACTTTAGATAAGACTTTAGATAAATTAGATTAGATAAAACTTTTTCACTAGGAGGGTGGTGAAACACTGGAATGCGTTACCTAGGGAGGTGGTGGAATCTCTTTCCTTAAAAAGAAAGAGATTCCCTCTCCTCCAAAGTGTGCATGTATGGGGGAGGGGTGTGTTCCACTCATCCGCCCACATGAGACAGGGATGTACCCTCCCTCTTCCCCCCTCCCCCTCCCAAAAATAAAGCTTAAGGAAACACAGTGCAGGGGCTATATTCCTGCAGGCCATCCCCAAAACCAAATGTTGGTGGCATGCTCCCCATCCACCTGAAAGCATGTGTTGCGGGGGCATTGTGTTTTTTCTGTCCACGCCCTTCTGAGAGCATGGAGGGAGGCATGTTTCCTAGTCATCTAAATGCGTGGGAGAGGGGAAAATGTGTTCTCCATTCCTCCTTCAAAAGTGTGGAGAATGCGGGGGAAACATGTCCCATGCTGTCCTCAAAAGCATGTAAGGTATACGTTCTCCCTACTCTCCAAAAAGCAGCAGCGAAGGTGGGTGTATCCCCATTCCCCCCCCTACAAAAGCAGCAGGAGGATTCCATTTTCCATACATACCCCTCTTCCAAAAGTACAAGTGAGGTTTTTCCCAACCCCCTCCTTCTGAAACAATTGTGTGAGATTTCCAGTCTACCACCCTCTGGAAACTTTGGGGAGAAGTCTTCCCCCCAGAAAATTCACAGGGACTGAATTCCACCCCAAAAGCATTCCACCTCTCCTTCCCCCAGGATGCCTTGACTGTTGCTGTTTCCCTGGATACAGGGTCTGAACTGACACTCATAACTTGAAATCTGTCTGAAAAGTTGGTGAACGGAATTTGTCTTCAAAATGTTAAAGGGGAAGAAAGACCACATGTTCCATGTTGTCCAAAACAGAGAGATTGCTTGCAGGGCCTGGTCACGTCAGAGCCTAAAGAGCATAGGTATTTGGAGTTCCAAAGCGGGGAAAAGAAATCACTCACAAATTGTGCCATTTACGTTATGTCTGAATTGAAGGTCACTGTGGTCACTGTGGTTATTGGATTAGACCTCCTGATAGGGGTAAGAGTCTACACTGATATTGTTAATAACATAGAATATAAGGGTTGGAAGGGACCCCAGAAGGTCATCTAGTCCAACCCCCCTGCTCAAAGCAGGACCAATTCCCAGTTAAATCATCCCAGCCAGGGCTTTGTCAAGCCTGACCTTAAAAACCTCTAAGGAAGGAGATTCTACCACCTCCCTAGGTAACGCATTCCAGTGTTTCACCACCCTCATAGTGAAAAAGTTTTTCCTAATATCCAATCTAAACCTCCCCCACTGTAACTTGAGACCATTACTCCTCGTTCTGTCATCTGATACCATTGAGAACAGTCTAGAGCCATCCTCTTTGGAACCCCCTTTCAGGTAGTTGAAAACAGCTATCAAATCCCCCCTCATTCTTCTCTTCTGCAGGCTAAACAATCCCAGCTCCCTCAGCCTCTCCTCATAACTCATATGTTCCAGACCCCTAATCATTTTTGTTGCCCTTCGCTGGACTCTCTCCAATTTATCCACATCCTTCTTGAAGTGTGGGGCCCAAAACTGGACACAGTACTCCAGATGAGGCCTCACCAATGTCGAATAGAGGGGAACGATCACGTCCCTCGATCTGCTCGCTATGCCCCTACTTATACATCCCAAAATGCCATTGGCCTTCTTGGCAACAAGGGCACACTGCTGACTCATATCCAGCTTCTCGTCCACTGTCACCCCTAGGTCCTTTTCCGCAGAACTGCTGCCTAGCCATTCGGTCCCTAGTCTGTAGCTGTGCATTGGGTTCTTCCGTCCTAAGTGCAGGACCCTGCACTTATCCTTATTGAACCTCATCAGATTTCTTTTGGCCCAATCCTCCAATTTGTCTAGGTCCTTCTGTATCCTATCCCTCCCCTCCAGCGTATCTACCACTCCTCCCAGTTTAGTATCATCCACAAATTTGCTGAGAGTGCAATCCACACCATCCTCCAGATCATTTATGAAGATATTGAACAAAACCGGCCCCAGGACCGACCCTTGGGGCACACCACTTGATACCGGCTGCCAACTAGACATGGAGCCATTGATCACTACCCGTTGAGCCCGACAATCTAGCCAGCTTTCTACCCACCTTATAGTGCATTCTTCCAGCCCATATTTCCTTAACTTGCTGACAAGAATACTGTGGGAGACCGTGTCAAAAGCTTTGCTAAAGTCAAGAAACAATACATCCACTGCTTTCCCTTCATCCACAGAACCAGTAATCTCATCATAGAAGGCGATTAGATTAGTCAGGCATGACCTTCCCTTGGTGAATCCATGCTGGCTGTTCCTGATCACTTTCCTCTCATGCAAGTGCTTCAGGATTGATTCTTTGAGGACCTGCTCCATGATTTTTCCAGGGACTGAAGTGAGGCTGACTGGCCTGTAGTTCCCAGGATCCTCCTTCTTCCCTTTTTTAAAGATTGGCACTACATTAGCCTTTTTCCAGTCATCCGGGACTTCCCCGGTTCGCCACGAGTTTTCAAAGATAATGGCCAATGGCTCTGCAATCACAGCCGCCAGTTCCTTCAGCACTCTCGGATGCAACTCGTCCGGCCCCATGGACTTGTGCACGTCCAGCTTTTCTAAAAAGTCCCTAACCACCTCTATCTCCACAGAGGGCTGGCCATCTCTTCCCCATTTTGTGATGCCCAGCGTAGCAGTCTGGGAGCTGACCTTGTTAGTGAAAACAGAGGCAAAAAAAGCATTGAGTACATTAGCTTTTTCCACATCCTCTGTCACTAGTTTGCCTCCCTCATTCAGTAAGGGGCCCACACATTCCTTGGCTTTCTTCTTGTTGCCAACATACCTGAAGAAACCCTTCTTGTTACTCTTGACATCTCTGGCTAGCTGCAGCTCCAGGTGCGATTTGGCCCTCCTGATAACATTCCTACATGCCCTAGCAATATTTTTATACTCTTCCCTGGTCATATGTCCAACCTTCCACTTCTTGTAAGCTTCTTTTTTATGTTTAAGATCCGCTAAGATTTCACCATTAAGCCAAGCTGGTCGCCTGCCATATTTACTATTCTTTCGACTCATCGGGATGGTTTGTCCCTGTAACCTCAACAGGGATTCCTTGAAATACAGCCAGCTCTCCTGGACTCCTTTCCCCTTCAAGTTAGTCCCCCAGGGGATCCTGGCCATCCGTTCCCTGAGGGAGTCGAAGTCTGCTTTCCTGAAGTCCAGGGTCCGTATCGTGCTGCTTACCTTTCTTCCCTGTGTCAGGATCCTGAACTCAACCAACTCATGGTCACTGCCCCCCAGATTCCCATCCACTTTTGCTTCCCCTACTAATTCTACCCGGTTTGTGAGCAGCAGGTCAAGAAAAGCGCCCCCCCCCTAGTTGGCTCCTCTAGCACTTGCGCCAGGAAATTGTCCCCTACGCTTTCCAAAAACTTCCTGGATTGTCTATGCACCGCTGTATTGCTCTCCCAGCAGATATCAGGAAAATTAAAGTCACCCATGAGAATCAGGGCATGCGATCCAGTAGCTTCCGTGAGCTGCCGGAAGAAAGCCTCATCTACCTCATCCCCCTGGTCCGGTGGTCTATAGCAGACTCCCCCCACTACATCACTCTTGTTGCACACGCTTCTAAACTTAATCCAAACTTAATTCTAAACATCCTACAGTCAAGAAGTCAAGTGGTATGCTAGAATAGCCTGCAATCCCACCAGCTTCCCAGCTGGTAAACGAGGCCTCAGCTGCATACTTCTAATGCCTGCAACTTCTCCATGTGGGTATGGGGTGCTGGGGAAGAGACATAACATGTTAACACTGGTGAAATAAAGATTAAATATATTAGCTGTGAAAGCTGCAATTGATTTAATCTTGGGTATAGTATGAGCCACTGTCTATGAGACAAGGACTATGAGCTTGTCCTGCAAACAGAGAGAGTGTACCATGCAGAATGTTCTTAGATAAAACAAAGCCATTTGCACCTTTCCCACAGAAGCATCTTATCACTTCTGAATAATGTAATGCTTTGTGGGCAGGCGGAAAAGAGAAAAAAAGAGCACCCTGGTTGGTTTTACAGGGCAATGTATAAACTACAGAATGCAGTGTGTTTTAACATGAGCTGCCATTGATTTCTTGCTTTGAGTGAGATGAACGAAAAATAGAATTTAGTTTACTCATGCAGGCAGTCTGGTGTGTCGGGCTCCACCAAATGCTAATGAACCTGGGCTTTTTCTGTAGATGTCTGAAAAAATTGTCCTTGTTATTAAGACTACATTTAACTTGGGTTCCAACTGACCAATGGACACCAGGCCACTGGAAGTTTCTCAACACTGCATTAAAGCCCCCCCCCCCCGGTGTGCTCCAGACACAGTGACAGATTGCTAAAGAAAAGGCTGGAAGCTGGAGAAGACAGAAGAGAAAATGAATGAGGACGAAGAGAAAAGATGCTGCAGATGAAGGACTAACGACTCTTCAGAAGGCTGGGGTGTATAATCCAACATCTCCGCCCACACAAAAAATGCTGGGGAAGATTGCCCTGAGACTACCGCCACTGCCCCCCTCCACTTCCAAAAAACGTCAGTCTGGGGTTCAAGATTGTCCTCTCCCACCCCAAAAGGCAGGGGTGCAAGGATTGCCCACTTTTCCAGCTCCCCCTTGAGGCTATGGAGGGGAACCTGCCTCTGCTCACTACTCCCTTGCCGAGACCTGGGACACCCCCTCCCACTCCATGAGGACATGGCGGAGAATCAACTTTTTTCTCTCTGCCCTTCCCCCTTGCCTGCGGCAGTGAATCTGTCCCTTCGTCCAGTGCCCAGGTACCGTGGCTCTCAACCTTTCCAGACTATTGTACCCCTTTCTCAGGAGTCTGATTTCTGCCCTGCTGCCTGAGCCCGAAGCTGAAGCCTGAGCCCCACCGCCCAGACCTGAAGCATGTAGCTTAGCTGCGCGGGGCCCCAGGCAGTTGTCCTGCTTTCCACCCCCTAACACCAACCCTGCACTTGTAACCCCTCTAAACCCGTCCCATGACCCCTTTCAGGGTGGCAAATCCCTGGTTGAGAAACACTGATATAGTATATAGAGCAGTATAAACAAGTCATTGTATGAAATTTTAGTTTGTACTGACTTCGCTAGTGCTTTTTACACAGCCAGTTGTAAACCTAGGCAAATATCTAGGTAAGTTGACAAATTCCCTGGAAGAACTTTGCGTGCCCCTGGTTGAGAACCACTGCCCAGGGACACCCACACACCCAACCAAATGTTGCCGTGGGGGATTGCCTCTCCTTCCTCTCCATTAGGGTGTGATCAGCCACTTACACTGGAGGAGGGAAGCAAAGGGAGGGATTGCCATCACACTCCCTTCTCTAGCCTCATTTCAGAGAGTTCCCTACCAGTAAATAACCTCAGCACAGCCCCTAGGCTCACAGCAGTTCCTCTTCTAGTTATAGCTGCTATATCAAGCTCTATACAAATCAATTAACAGGTTTCTCGAGGAATCCTTGCTGGTTTATGTACCCACCACTTCCTCCAAAACATTTTCAGGCTTCCATACAAGTTCCCAAAATTGCTCTGCATCTAGACAGCTGTCCCCTCCCATCACTAGACATCTCAGGTAACTGTGCAGCTGGCCAATGGAACAAACTGAACAGGGACGGTAAAGAAAAATGAGTCATTCTTGGCTTCTTTTCAACTATGTCAGCTATAGGAGTGCTGTGGATTTGATAAGGGCATGGTCAGTTAAAAATGATTGTAGTGAGTGAAAGATACTACACTGCACCTGCCTGCCCTTCCTTCTTTAGAGAAAGGGTTTTTAAAGGGGTTCCCATGTCATTTTCCTTTATTCTCCATTCTCCTGCAAGCCTCCCACCCTTGCGACAGCTGACAGGGTACACTAGGAGGACAAGATATTAGGTCTGGTTTAGCCATCCATTAGGAAATATTAGACAGGATAGCAGCACTGATCAGCCTTACAACTGTTGCATGTATTGATGTTAATAAAATGGGTACATTTCAGGTGCAGCCTCAGGTCAGCTGTAGCAAACAGATTAAATCAGGAGGGCTAAACTATGAAATCATAGTCCTGGAACATTTTTTTTTCTTCATGGTAGGGCAGGAGAGAACAAGGTATTCAGAACATTATTACTGCAAATTGTTATATGAACACTCAAATCATAGAATCATAGAATCATAGAATATTAGGGTTGGAAGGGACCTCAGGAGGTCATCTAGTCCAACCCCCTGCTCAAAGCAGGACCAATCCCCAACTAAAGCATCGCTGCCAGGGCTTTGTCAAGCCTGACCTTAAAAACCTCAAAGGAAGGAGATTCAACCACCTCCCTAGGTAATGCATCCATCAAAAACATTAAGCAACAGGCCTCTTTATGTCACTGCTAAAATTCCATTCTACTGAAGCGAAACCTCAGAAATTAAGGGAGATAGTCTTGCCATGTAACATGGCTGGTCAGTGACATCAGCAGAATAATGCACTCAGCTTCCTCCCACCTGTCCAACTGTACTAATCACAAAAGGTATCCTCACAGAACGCTCAGATCCTTAAGCCCAAAACAATCATAGCTCAAAACAATGTCAACACTCAACTGGGCAAGTAAAGATGGTGGTGGGAGACCTATCTATATATATACACATGCAAAGAATGTAAAGATTCTATATTTCCCTTACTGTCACTCATTTAAAATGACACTGAATACATAAGTCACAGTTGCCCCATGAAACATCACATCATGTTTACTATTTCCATTGCACTTGATAAAAAACAGACTGATCTGTATTCTAATTATGGAAAGAGCCTTGTCATAACAGCAGGTTCGTTGAAGTACATAGCTTTTGCTGCAAATTTCTGCACCTACATGGACTGAGGGGCAATTAAATGCTTCTTAGTAGCAATTTTAGTTACCAAAAGCTTTCTTGGTAGATGTTTATTACAGGTAGTTTGTCTGCTCCTATTTCCCAAAGGACTTTATGGCAGCAAAGCCTGAAAAGGGCTTTTAATATACTAGTCTGTACATAAGTGTCTTCTTTTCCCTGTTACACCTAATGCAACACAGTATTATCTTAAGTACATTGCTACAACAGCCAGTAGAAAACGGTCTTTCATGCGAGTGGCACCTTGGAAGTTGCACAATATATTTAATTACATTGCTCTGACCCATTTCTCATTCACGACTTTAAATACTTCACTACTTTTACAACATTCACTCAGACAGGACAGGAAAAGTAAAGCCTAGAATCTTAATGGACCATCAAGGCCTGTCCACATCAATAGGACTGTAGTAGATGGAACTACGTCTAAATGAGATTGCTGTTAGCAACATTGTAAGTTGTTTCTCTGACCAGTTGGGGAGAAATTCTTCACAGATACATCAAGACTTAGGCAAGCAAAACTGTGCTAATGGCCAGCTAGAGAGCATTAGCCTATGATAGTTTAATACTACTACTCATCCTCTCCACCTCCCAAAAAACCCTCCCTGTCCAGATTGCTCAAGATCACCATGCTAGAAGCCTGGTAGCTCTATATTGGTGTATAGATAAAGCATAGCAAAAGCCTTTGTCTGCATATTTTTCCCTGCGATCTACAGCCACCTTACCCATTCAATGTTGAGATGTTGAGACGTTTGAGTGGTGATTGATGGTGATTTTTTAAAGAACATATTTACTGAAAGTAGGTTTGTGTGAGTATAAGACAATTCAATGGGTAGCAAAACAGAGAGAAGAGCAGGAACCAAAATGCAAAGGATAATTTTACTTAAAAGACCAATTTTTTTTTTTTATTGTACATTGGAGAAGAGTCTTTCCCCTGTGCCATCTTGTTTAAAGTTTATAAATTACAATTCCCCAAGAAGTATTAAGAGTTCATTTCAATACCAAAGGAATAAAACTGTTGCAGTTCTAATTTTCACCATGAATAAAAGCTACCACGCTCCTCCTCCGATACTCATTGTGTACAGGAAATGCCACAGTCCCCCTGTACTTTGAGTCAGAGACCTGGGTGGAAGAGTGGCCATCCCTTCACTACTGCAGGTTCCAGGTGCAGCGTAGGAGTCTGGTGCCTGCTGGCTTGTCGTGTAGAGACAGAGCCTCAGCAATGAGGCTATAACATGGCTGGAATCTCTGAAGAGACAGTGTCCAAAGGCTGCCAGTGACAGTCCATCAAGGCATCATAGAGTTCTTCACTCTGTTCCATAAACTGTTTGTTTGCTTCAGTCACGTCCATCTGAGGCATTGGATCTAAAAGAGGAAAGAAACAAGGCATCAATGGGTCACATACAAATTGTGATTACAAATAACTAACATGAATTGTATTGAAACAAATGCAGAGGCTCACAATACATTCCTGCCACTTGCAAGAGAACTTTCGACCTGAGCATCTGAAAGTGCTTCACAGTCAGAGACTTTAAGGACAGAAGAAACAGTCATGATCATTTGGTCTGACCTCCTTCACATCGCAGACCACAGAACCTCACCCACCCACTCACTCCTGTAATAGACCCATAACTTCTGGCTGAGTTACTGAAGTCCTCAAATCTTGATTTAAAGACAAAATTACAGAGAATCCACCATTTACTCTAGTGCAAACCAGAAAGTGACCCATACCCCATGCTGCTGCTGAAGGCAAAAACCGCCCAGGGTCTCTGCCAATCTGACCTTGGGAAAGTTCCTTCCTGACCCCAAATATGATGATCAATTAGACCCTGAGCATGTGTGTGAGACCCACCAGCCAGAAACCTGGGAAAGAATTCTCTGTAGTAACTCAAAATCCTCCCATCTAGTGTCCCGTCTCCGGCCGTTGGAGGTATTTGCTAATAGCTGTTGTGGATGGGCCATATGCCATTGCAGGCAACCTCATTATACCATCCCCTCCATAAACAAGTCTTGAAACAAGTCAGTTTTTGTCCCCTACTACTCTCCTTTGAAGGCTGTTCCAGAACTTCACTTTTCTGATGGTTAGAAGCTTTAGTCTAATGTCAAGCCTAAACTTGTTGATGGCCAGTTTATATCCATTTGTTCTTGTGCCAACACTGGCCCTTAAACTTGAATCATCCTTCTCCCTCCCTGCTGTTTATCTCGCTGATGTTTTTAGAGAGAGCAACCATATCTCCCCTCAGCCTTTGTTTTGTTAGGCTGAACAAGCCAAATCCTCAAGTCTCCTCTTGTAAGGTAGTTTCTCCATTCCTCTGATCAGTCAAGTAGCACTTCTCGGCACATGTTCCAGTTTGAATTTATGGGAGACCAGAATTGCACACAGCATTCCAGAAGAGGTCTCACAGGGGCTTTGTATACTGGTAATAACACTTCCCTGTCTCTACTGGAAATATCTCACCTGATGCATCCTAGGATTGCATTAGCCTTTTTCATGGCTGCATCACATTAGCGGCTCATAGTCACCCTGTGATCAGCTAATATACCTAAATCTTTCTCTGCCTCTGAGGAACTCCACTAGTAACCTCCCTCCAGTCTGACAATTCACCTTTCAGCATGACACACTGTAGTCTCCCCTTTAACCAGTTCCTTACCCACCTTTTGATTCTTGGATTAATCCCCATCTTCTCCAATTTAACTAATAATTTACCAGGTGGAACTGTATCAAACTCTTTACTGAAATCCAGACAGAATAGATCTACTGCATTTCCTTTGTCTAGAAAATCAGTTATCTTCTCAAAGAAAGAGATCAGGCTGGTCTGGTGCAATCTACCTTTTGTAAAACCATGTGGTATTTTATCCCAATTACCACATACCTCTAGGTCCTTAACTACTCTCTCTTCCAAAATTTGTTCTACGACCTTGCATAAAACTGCAGTCAAACTAATTGGCCTGTAGTTTTCTGGATCACTTTCCCCCATCCCTTCTTAAATATAGATACCATATTTGCAATTCTTCAGTCACAGGGCATCATCCCCGAGTTTAGAGTAATTAAAAATCCTTGCTATTGGGCTTGCAATTTAATGTGCCAGTTCGTTTTATGGTTCTTGGATGCAGATTATCCAGGCCCCCCAATTTGGTCCCATTAAGCTGTTTGAATTTGGCTTCCACCTCAGATGTGGTAATTTCTACTTCCATATCCTCATTCCCATTAGTCACCTGCCACTGTTCCCAAGATCCTCATTTAATCTTATTAAAAACTGATCCAAAGTACTCATTTAGGTGTTGGGCCATATCTTTAACCTCTGCCCCATTTGCAGTGTTCAGCAGTCCCACTTCTCTCTTTGTTTTCTTTTTTATTTATATGACTAAAGAACGTTTTACTATTGGTTTTAATTTCCTTTGCAAGGTCCAGCTCTGATTGGCTTTTGGCAGTTCTCACTTTTTCCTCTACACTTTCTGACCTCCAAAAGGTAGCTTTCCTTGCTGATCCGCCCCTTCTTCCATTCCTTGTAGACTTTCTGCTTTCTCTTAATAACCTGCTTGAGATGCTTGTTCATTCAGTTTAGTCAGCAACCCCTCCCTACAAATTTTTCCCCTTGCTTGGGATGCAGGCTCTAGATAGTTTCTGCAACTTTGACTTAAAGTAATTCTAAGCCTCTTCCACATTCAGATTCTTGGCGTTCTTCAGTCCAGTCCACTTCCCTAATTCATTCCTTTAATTTTTTTAAAGTTGCCCTTTTGAAATCAAGAACCCTAGTTGCAGACTTATATTTGTTTATCCTTGCATTTAGATTAAATTGAATTGTTTCATGATTAAGGCTACAATTTAATCATGGGTATTTTTAGTAAAAGTCATGGACAAGTCATGGGCAAGAAACAAAAAAAAACAGCCCGTGACCTGTCCATGACTTATACCATAAATACTGCTGATTGAATCTTGGGGGGGCAAGGGACGTTGCAGGGGGATGGGAGCCCATGGCACCAGGGGGGTGGGGGGAAGTCTTGGGGGCCCACAGCCGCTCCGGCCACTGCTGGAGGGGGAGCCCCAGGGGGCCAGCGGCTGCTCCGGCAGCCTCGGGACTGCTGCTCAGCCAGTCCCTGGGACCAGCTGCATCGGCCGCTGCTCAGGCTGTCCCCAGGGCCAGCTGCCTAGAGCCGCCAGAGCAGCAGCAGGTGTGGCTGGCCCTGGGGCCAGAGCTGCTCCAGCACTGCCTAGTACGGCTGGCTGCAGAGCCGCTCCAGCAGGGGCCAGTGTGGCTGTCCCCAGGGCCAGCTGCTCGGTCGGCTCTGGGGTCAGCCACACTGGCCACTGCAGAAGTCACAGAGGTCTCAGGAAGTCACAGAATCCGTGACCTCCATGACAAACACAGAGCCCTATTCATGATCACTCAAACCAACGTTGTCGTCTACCTGTTCTTCTATGAGGTCTTCGCTGCTTACCAAAAATAAAGCTAAAGTGGCATCACTTCTTGTTGGTTCGTGACTGTTTGGTAAAGAAATCTGTCAGTTATCACATCCAGGAATATCTGGGCCCTATGATTATTAGTAGTACTTGTCCTCCAATCGATATCTGGGAAATTAAAGTCTCCTAAAATCACACAATTCCCAGTAGTATTTATTTCATTAAATTCATCATGAATTGAGCAAGTGTCACAACACCCCTGTGAGGTAGGTATGAATAGGGTCTGTATTTTACATTTGGAGAAAATGTTTGTAAAGCACTTTGAAACTGAGTAGCAAAGCATAATGTGCTGACATTCTATTACTACAAAAAATACAAACTTTAAAGGGACCTGTGAGGTTGAGTTAGGCTTGTACTTGGATTGTTAAAACAAATTTGCAAAAAACAAATTAAAAAAATCCCAGAAATATTTCCATTCTAAAAACCCAACCGAAAAACACAAAACATTTTTGTTTGGATTTAATATTCCTCTGTCACATTTGCAACCCAAAGATTATATTATCAGGTTAGCACAAGCACCAGGCAAGTGCATGAGTCAGAGTATGAAGTGAAACTGACTTGTCCATTGAAATGCAAAAAAAGAAAAAACAGACCATAGAAGTGTAAAAATTAGATTAAAATGCAGCATTATTACAATCAGATCAGACATGAACAGATCATGTGAGGAATATTTAAAAATATTATTAGATAAGATATTTTTGGGTTTTATATAAAATTCAGCATCTAAATACAGGGCAAGTTTAGTCAGCAAGAAAAACCCCCACAACAGAGGTACTCTAATTGGTGCTTTGCTGTATCAATATCAGAGGAAAGGAATTATCTTATACTATGAAATATTTTTAGAAACAAAGAGGGCTTTCCAATTAAGTGATGTCATACTCATATAGACCCTTGTAAAGACTCTGGCTGTTTGACTTTTTTTTTTTATGTAGCAATTTAAGAGAGAGAGAGACACCCTACACGTTGCATACTCAGCTCATGCCTATTAGCGTGAACACCGCACAAAAATTGTTGCTGCTTCCTGATTAAATATAAAAGGACAGTGATAACGGGAACAAACAGAATACACAACTGGGATGGTTTTATAACAGAGAAGATTTATTAAAGGAAGGACAACAACTTGTGATTTGCACAGGATTTAAGTTCATATTTTCAAGGGTGGAAGGGTATAAGCACTAGTCCATACAATCCTCTCAATGCTAGCAAAGACAATTAGTCTGTGCCCTGGCAAGGCTCAAGACTAGAATAGTAAGATTGGAATAAGGGTGCAGAGTAAGGGACTTCATAGGGAAGTCTGCACAGTACCTGCCCACACTACGGATCTGAAACTTTCATGAACCTCAAATTTATTCAAAAATACAGATGTTAAATGCCAATCCATGAAAACGCTGTATCAAAATAATGAAAACAGCCAGTTGCAACGTAGATTTTAAAAAAAGACACATACCTTCCAATGCATCCTCACCAACTTCTTCATATGTCTGCAAGGGCAACAAAAATATCTTCAGGGCAACAAATATGTAACTGCGTCTGAAAACATCACCTGCTTATTACTGCTGCCACACACTGGGACGTTCACACAGGGGCTGATTAAGGCAGAATCCTTAGTACCCAAGCCCTGGGGTCCAGCCCTAGTAGGCTCTGAGATTCTGTGTAGGTGTAAAAGATGCAGCCCTTCCTGGAATCCTTGCAGTACGGCACGCTGAGGCCTTGCCCCGGCACACCCCATACACCAGGGCTTGTGTGGGATCCTTGAAAGGTAGACTTATGGCTGTCATCCACAGTGCCTATACCAGGGATATCCTTCTCCCAGCCACAACTGGGGCTTTAAGCGTCCCTTTATACAACTCTGACCCCTTTACGCAGCATAAAGGTAAAGCAGCAGGCCACAATACCAGTCAGCTGTTTGCTACGTGGCTCTGCTTCCTTATGTGGCAGAAAGATCAAGGACCCAGGAAAACAGGTGTCCTTCTCCTGTTTGTAAAATGCTTTGGGATCTTTTGTGATGAGAGATTATTAAAATATAAACAATTAGTGCCATGTCCCTACCTGCATGGTGCTCTGTGTGTATCCATACTGTGGATAGCTGTAGCTATAACTGCCTGTGTTCTGGTCATATCCCCACTGGGCATAGTAGTTCTGATATTGTTGGTAATACTGGTTATAATTATAGTTGTACATCTGATTGTACTCCACCGTCTTCACACGGTTACTTAAAAAAAATAAAAAGAAAGACGTTACAAACAATGAAGACTATTTAAGGGAAAAAAAACAGATGAGTGACATGATTTGATCTACATCATCTTCCAATACTGTGAACCTCAGGTGTACCTTTTGTTGGTGATGTTTTGTTTTGTTTGTTTTTCCATCCTCATACATTTGTAGGAGGGACTGGTTGGTTTTCCATCCCCACTCCTGCCCCCACTATTATTTTAATTATTAGAACACTTTGCTTTCTTACTACTGGATTAACGTAGCACAATTTTAGAGAGTAGGAGAGGGAACAGCTGAGAATTGTGAGCATCAGGTCTGGAATACTAGTCACTGGAACCCAGGATTCAAATCCCTGCAGGGAGGATTCATCCCTTCATCCATCTGACAAAGTAGAGACACACTGACTACTGTGTAGCATACTGCAGGAGGCTAGGGGGTGGTTTTGGGTTTTAAAAACAGGGGTTCCTTTTTCTGGATGTGGGTGCTGAAGATCCCGGAGAGCTTTGCAAAAGAATAGTAGTATACCCCGGTCTGTGACAAAACTTCCCCTCACTACTAGTGTGTAGCAGGTTGTGTGATGAACAGTTGCCCCCTTCCTCTCAGAGGTGGGTGCAGTTCCGTGCTGTGATATGGATACCGTTTATGAAGTACTTTGGATTGAAAAGGACCATAGAAATGAAAAATGTTAGTTTTCAAATGGTCTGTGAACATGCCAAATTCTCGTTGCTTGCCATACAATGGGAATGCTTTCAGGGTCTGGGCTTCTGATTAATATGGTTTGAAATAAATGAGGGGGCAGAAAGGAGAGAGGACAAATATCCCTTAAAAATGAAAACATTATTTCACATATTAGAATACCCTTAATTAAGAAATTAAAGAGCAATAGAGTAAAGAGCAAACAAAATCTTAACACTATAGGACAACCCCGTTCCCTGGTCCCACCCAAGAGTTTTGGGGACATAAATAATTGCCCCCCCCAGTCAATTTTTCAATTATCTGTATTACCATAATGCCTAGGAGCCTTAATCATGAACCAGGATCCCATTGTGCTAAGCGCTGTACAAACACAGAACAAAGATGGTCCCTACCTCAAAGAGTTTAATACCTACTGAACATTGCTATGGGATTACCAAAGAGACCACACTTTGGTTACCTAGAAGTCAAATGAGCACGGTTAGACTATTTCCTATTTGAATGTAAAGGGACATTGCTAGGTCAAAAAATTGTATTTAAAAAAGAAAAAATCTGAATTTCTTACTGAAGTACATGATTAAACCAGAGTTTTAAAAATGTAATGTTTAGTCTTGGTTTAATTTTTGCACTTCACTCAGGCTGGACAAAGAAATTCGGCTGGTCATTTTAAATCAGATTAACTTTTATTTTCAATGTTTCTGGTGAATGTCATTTTTGGAGTGGGGGATTCTCATACGTTAGTATAATGCGGCTATGTGATACGCTTAAAGGCATTCCCTTGTTTGTTTTATGATTTTATTGTGTGGGATAGGCACTGAAAGCACTGGATGGGTGCCTAAATAAAAAATCATAAATTTTGGCTTGATAGATCTGTAGGGGAATGTTTAAATATAAACCACACACTTTTTGAATTCAAAGAGTAAAAATACCAGCTCTCTCTATTCATATTAAGTTTAAGACATATTCTTCTGAAATGCAGACTATAAATTTTAGGCCTAAACTTTCTGACAGTGTCTTCCTATGTGTAGATATGCATCAAAAATCAAACAGGTATGAAAAGCTCAGTTCTCTTTATTGTATATGATTTTCACCACTATAAGACATAGCAATAAAAAAGTCAAACAGTCCAAATCAATGTTTAATGAACTTCAGTACAGTAACTCCAGTTTCAACATTCACATAATTCATTTTAACTGAAATTGATCTTTACATTTGATTTTAAGAACAGATTTTAAACTAAGTATTTACAAAATCAGAAAGTCTTATGCAATTTAAACTACAGAGATTTTGCTCCGTCATCAGCTACTAAATATGAATATGAACTGAGAACAGGAAAGAGAATTATTACAAAACACGCATCTATTCCCATACTTACGCTTTTGGTATGGCCACACTCAAGCGTACGGGTTTAGAGCCCAATCCCACAGCCCCTTGGCACTCTGTCAGGGCTCTTTTCTGTTCTAGCTCGTCCGTGAATTTCACAAACCCATAACCTCTGCAGAAAGACATGGAATGGTTTGTATCACACTAAAGCAAAAGGCATTCCATTTTCAGATGTTTCAGACAAACCCATATGGGTTTAGGAATACACTATAGCTAATAAAACATGGACTTGGGAGAATACTTTGCTAGTGAAATGTCAACAAAAAGTGAAAGTCTGTCCATGTTTTTTTTTTAGCAGGGATTAAATGATTCCCTATTCCAGTGACTTTCTATTATTTGCAGTGTTTGAAGTATTTCATGTCCTAACAATTGCCGTATTTTCAAAGGCATCAGAATAATACACATCTTGTACCAGCGGAAGTGGATTTTTGGGGACCTTTGTGGAACTGCATGAAATGTGTTGGAGCTAAAAGCTTGGATGGGGGTGTGGTGCAAGGGAGAAGATGAAAGGTAGGCACCGCTCACAGTTCTTAGGCACCTGTATAGACATTGTGAAGAAGGACCAGGCTTTTGATCTGTGTGACATCCAGCTGTGGAGATGAAGGGAAGAGGGAGAAGAAAGAATCAGACCAGAAGTTTCTTCCCCATATGGCAGCAGTATTGGAAAGGGGGAATCAAAGCCAGCCTGTATAGCCTCTCAGGCAGTGCAGAGCTAATAAGCAGCCACGGGCATCACTTGTGTCTCAAACTGGCCTCAATGTGATGCAAAGAGTTTGCTTTTCTACAGGGTGAATTAAGACAGACTTCCTAGTCCAAGCCCATCTACACTCGGGAACTTTTCTACAAAGTTTCTTGTTGCTAACACCTGCGCTGCTCTGCCAGCATTAGCAACACTGGATATATTAATTATATCTGCTCTGGGCAGCCTCACTTGAACAACAGTGACACACAGCCAGCTGCCCTTCAACACAAGGGCTTCCAATGTCACTAAAACCAGTAGAGCTGAACCAGAATTGACAACAGCAGAAAACGTTTAGAACATTTTCCTAGCTTTAGAGTGGGATCTAGAGGCTGTCGTGAGTCAGAGGTAATTCAGCAGCACACAACTGAGTAGTGCCAGCTTGCCGGGGTGGGCTGGGCTGCCTCAATGGACGTGGCAGAAAGATCAAGAACTTAGGAGTGAGAGGAAAAGAGTCTATCCAGGTGGAGAGTGGATGTTGGAAGGGAAAGAAAGCCTGGACTAGTTAATTAAGCCAGAGCAAATGCCTCAGCAGACACAGTTATAACCCGTTTTCAACACGTATCGGTTTAGTTTGCTCCCGCAGTGGTACAGGGGCAAACTAAACCAGTGTAAGTCACGTTTAAAATCGATGTAAGTGTCCACACACAAAGTTGAACTGATCGACTAAATCAGGTTTTTTAAAAAAATGACATCTTTAATATAAAACCACTGCAATTCTGGGTGTTGTTCAGGCTCTTGTTGAAGAAGGTGGGGAGGTTTTACAGCTTAAAAGAATCTGACCAGAGCACTCTTCCCCAGACATAAAACCAGGACACTCACTTGCCTCGATGACATGTTCTATTTTTAAATTTGAGTGCTGAGCAAAGAACCCTTTTATTGAGAAGATACAACAGAAAAGAAAATGGTGCATTTAGGATGCCTATTTAATCATATCAAGAGGGCAGACTTCAGATTTCTGGTTTAGGTTGGGTCATTTCCAGAATCTGAAAATGAGGGTTAAGCTACAGCATATTTAGACAGTGAATCACAGTTTTGTTTGGTATCTGGCTCCTATAGCATCTAAAACATCCAAAACTATTCAAGAGTCAAATTCGCATTGAAAGTCAAAGGGCACTGGTGTTCATAAATCACTTAGTGCTTTTGAAAACCTCCTAACAGGCAATAAAACATTTTTAATAAAAATACACACAGATCTAATACAGAGTAGCAAAAGTATGGTATTGCGAATAGCAGAAAACAGACATACTGAATATTTAATATAGAAAATTCAGTCTCGTGATCTGGTTGGTTAAGTCCTAAGCAAAACTAATACAACTACTCCTTTTCCCTCACTGCCTTTGGAAAGAGGCAAAGTCTATGAGTTTAGAGATGGCCTATTTTATTCAAAAGATCTCACAATACATGAAGCAAGAGAGAGGAAGGCATAAGGTAAACTTACTTGGAAACTCCAGTCTGGTCCAAAACAACTTTGCCACCTCTACATGACGGATAAACTTTAACAAAAAACTCATATAACATGCCATCGTCCACATCGGGGGTAAGATCTCCCACAAAGAGTGAGTATTCTGGACTAAAGGAGTCAATAAAGAGTACATTTTATGAATAGCAATAAAACAAATAGTGTGATATGAACAAGAGCAGAAAACTATCCAAAACATCTGATTATTAAGTGGCATGAGTTAAAGGGACTACGGAGATACCAATATAATTTTTAAAAGCCTTTACCTACGCTACTGGTAATTTAGATAATAAACATTAAAAAAGTTTCCCCTGCTTATGCTGTTTGTATTTTCCTGTTCAGTTGGAGCAGCAAAACCAGGTGGCTCCTCCATTACACCTTTTCCGCATACACTAGTTCATGGCACTGTGTTTGTGTTTCCAACACAGCAAGAGAACATTTATACCCCCAAAGAAATAAAAAGAAAATTCAGTGAAAATAGGTTTAATTTCTCTTCACATTCGGTACTGTAAAACCATTTTTAAAAAACAAATTTGTGGTTTAATTCCTTCAAAATAACATTCAGCACATGTACTGCTTTAGATTTTCAAACCATCATTACCCACTTGTGGGTAATAGCTCATTTGTAGATTTGCTAGTTTCCAATTTACTGACCTTTAACTGTAATCTATCAATTATAGGTGCTGATGCTGCAAACGTTTAAGCACACGTGTAGTGCAACTGAATTCAGTAAGACTACTTGTGCTTAAAGTTAAGTACATATACCTGTGCTTGCAGGACTGGGGCCATGCTTTGACTCTTGGAATTCTTAAACAATATGGAACAGCATAATTTCCTGGAGATAAAAGACACCTTTCATTCCTTCCCATCCTCCCACATGGATGGATGTCAGGTTTGGAATAAGTACAATTTAAAAATTCTTTATAAGTTAGAAAGCCTACAAGTGCTTAAAACATAGGACAGAGTGAAGAGAGCAAGTTCTTCTTCTGACTGCCACAGACTTATAGCATGCTCTTGAGCAAGTCACTTAATCTCTCTGTGATTCATCTGTAACATAAGGCTAATACCTACCGCATTGGGCGACTGCAAGAATTAATCACACAATTGTTGTTACAGTACAGACCCGTTTATACGCGAATCTGCTTAAAGCATGGTAGCGCCATGCCTCCCAGTGCTACCAGTTTAACACGTTGAGACTCGTTAACACGCGGTACACGAACTTGCTGTGTAGTGCTACAGATCTACTCACTAACATAGAAATCAACAGGAAGTGCGGCATGGAAACGTGTTGTACATCTTTACCGATACTGGTAAAGGCGTATCACGCACGCTTAGTCATTGTCACGCTAGAGAGATATATAATACTGTAGTTATATAGTAATAGATATACTACATTAGAAAATTTTAACCGTAGGCCTAATATAATGGCAGAGGGTAAGCATCAGTGTTCCTACACTGTAGAAGAAAAGCTAGCTGCAATAGATCGAGTAAATAGCGGAGAAACCCAGGCCAAAGTTTCAAAAGCTATTGGGATTGCTGAATCTACTCTCCGAGGATGGCTAAAAAATGAATCTAAACTGAACGGCTTTGTACAAAATATTGATTCTGCCACGGGACTTAAGCGAAAACATGTGCACTATTCTGCAAAACCCACAATAGGCAAAGCCATGTGCTCGTGGTTTGCTCAGAAAGGCTGAAAGGAATGCTGCTAAGTGGGCCAATTCTTCAAGCCCAAGCGACAAAATTTGGAAATTTAACGGGGGATGAATCATTCCAAGCCAGCAAGGGGTTTATAAGTCGTTTAAAAAAGCATCATGGCATAGCGCAGGTATCGATGATAAAAGATTTTAGTTTGGGTACGTTGCCAGAAATCATTACCGAGTGGCTGGAGATGGATGAAGATTGCCCGACTTCAGAATTTCTGTCTGAGGAAGAAATATTAACGGGCTGCAAGGCTACATCAGACCGCGAAAGTGATGGTGAGAATTCTAATAACGCAGGCCTAAATGACAATGATGACGAGGATGTCGTTGAAAAGGTCAAAATTTTGCCCACAGAAGCCCTTAGTCGTGTAGAAACTGTTGTAAGATTTATGGAGGAGCAAAATGTGGAAAATATCAAAATTATTCATCTGTGGCGAATGACAGACTTCATAAGAAAGAAAAAAAAAATGTGAGCCAGAAAGAGCAGAAAATAACGGCTTTTTTTCTAAGTGAATTGACAGACACTTTTTTTCAGCATGGCCCTCTTAACCTGTGTTCCATTAACACGCGGTCATGACGGCTTGACTCCTGACATCCACGCGTAAACAGGTCTGTACTGTGTATGGCTGGAACCCCCTTTCTGACCCTATCTGTCAGCTTTGACCCTCACCTCTGAGTCCCTCCTCAAAATGCACTTCTTCAAAGAGGCTTATGAATGAGTCTAAAAATAAAAATGTAATCCCTAAGATGCAAATATCACTCACCTAAGCAACCATATTGTTGTCAACCTTGTACATATGTACCTCAATCCCTCCCTGTGTTGTTCTCAACTTCAGTTATGTGAATTCTTCTGGGCAGGCATTCTGTCTTTATTTTGCCAAGTGCCAGGCATATTTATGACATTATATAAACAATACAAACATATTTTTATTATGTGAAGCACTTTGAGGTGCATGGAAGTTGCTAAGGCAATGCACTGTATCATAAACCTCTCTACTGTGTTTAATTACACTTTAAAGCAGTCTCGTTTCTTAATTATTGGTTTGTTGCCTGGCACTGCCCACCTCAAATGGCAATTAAGATTTAAATTTTATGCTTCTAGTTAAAATTCCCCTACTCTATATTGCTAGGAGCTGATCTGGTCCAGCAATACTGAATGTATGGATTTGCACTCTCTGAATACTCTTTTGCAAGGGAGCTCACAAACAAACAAGGACAATGTTTGAATACTAAACGCTTACCTGTTATCAGGCTGCTTTCCATATGTTGCGTAGTTCAGTTTAAATCGCTTTGACTGAAACAAGGATAAATAGAAACTGATAATATGTAAAACCATGTGGGTTCACTTTAGAACATTTTTATAATCATAATTAGAAAAAATAAAAGTGATTTTAGAAAACACTAATTTTAAACCATTTTCTTAATAATGGCAAGTGTTAAATGCTTAACACTGGCAGGTCTGTAGGCTAAAGCATTAGAGGACAAGTCCTTAGCCAGTGTAAATTGACTTCAATGAAGCTATTACAATTTATACCAGTTGAGGATCTACCCCCTGGTCAGGATGTCTTGCCTGCCCACCCCAAGAGATTTTGGCTGCCTTTACTACAAAAGTATTCTAAAAGGTTAGCAGAAGATTGGGAGACACACCAGGGTCTTTCATTTTCACATCTCCAGAGAGAAGAGAAAACAAAAGTACCAACAATCACCATTAAATGAGACCTTCCATATTTTGGTATTTTTAATTAAAATATAGAATACAAATTTAGAGAAGTGTAATTTACAGGAATGTTAACCAAACAGAATCTGACACACTGGAAACCAAATCTTCAATCATAACATTTCTAGATACTTTACTGATACTTTACTCTGTATTTTAGATTGCTTGTGTAGTTTTGATGTGCATTTCCTGTGTAGTTGGACTTGAGTAACTTTTGTTGCTAAGGCTCAAGAATGATGTGAGGCTTGAACTTCATGCTTCTCTTGGCAAACCAAAGTTACGCAAAACTCTGTGAAAGCTCAGCTCCATTTCAACCCACATAGATATTATAATCTGTGCAAAATGATCTGCTAGTATTGTGCTGGTAACAGGTTTCAAAGGGTAGCCTGCTTTTTCCTTCCTGTTGCCTGGTTTTTGTCATGCTTTGACCACACTGCAAAGGATCAGAAATTCACAAATGCAACTATCTGCTGCTACCCAAGTTTTATCCATCCATTCAACCTGAAATAGGCATATGTCTTAAAAATTAATGAAATCCTTCCAGAGAGTTTCCAATAAGAATGTTAGTAACTGCATACCCATCAGCTCCTAAAGAAAAGAAGAACTCCCAATTTGCTGACTATTTTGATAATCTCAATTCCTAATTATTGTGGGATCCCTTTTCTCCATCCCTCCCTATTCCTGCTCCTCTACTAATTAATTTGGTTTACTTACTGGTGTGGCACCAGGAAGTGGTTTTCCATTGATTTTGTGTAAACACTTCTCTGCAGTAGCCAGATCTGCAAATTCTACAAAGCAGTAGCCTGCTGGAATTCTGAAGACAGGAGGGAGAGAGAGAGAGAGAGAGAGAGTTTTAAGATTACAAAGTTTAGACTCCATCTGGGGAAAAGAGCAATATTTATGATTCTCTGAAGGATGCAGAGAGGGGGAGGAATTTCCTATAATCACCATTTTGAAATTAGAACATTTTCAAAATGTTAACTCAGCTTGCATAGAGGAGCGACTAAGCAGCAAATGATCTCCAATGAAGTGACAGCGCACAAGAACATGTCAGCTGTATTCTCCAATTACAGAGCCAACAAGGTGGAGGGGGAAGGGAGAAATAATAAATTTAGTACAAATCCCTCAAAAATCAAAGGTAATTATTTTTCTCCCCACGTTTATACTTTTTCATTTAATAAAATACAAATTTCTGATGCTCACTTTGTAATATGGCAACACCCTGTTAAACAGAAAGATCTGATGACTATATTCCTGTATAACGTCTCTTTAAACAAAAGCTAACCATTGTAATGATTGTTTTGTTTCTGATATTGACATGGCAAGGATTTGTGAACTTGCTAAAACTTCCTAAATAAACACATAAAAAAACAAATACAAACTTCCCTACTAGAGTCTAACAGTTTTAAATGTTTGCAAGCAAAGCTATGTAAGGCTGAGACTTTATTTTAATCTGCATCCACTAGTCTCATTCTAATCTTGTAAGGGAGATCAAAAGAGCCAAGCAAGACTCTGGCTAAACTATAAGTATTTTCTTTATGTTTCCCACCTTTGCTAGCACTAGTGTAGACTGGTCACTAGCACTGTAACTACCATATCACATTAGGCCTTCATCCTTTACTGTGTAGTGTGCTGGTGGGGTGGATTGCAGTGCCTGCCTGGCACCCACTATCTTTAGCGATGCTCTATTTGGGCACAGAAGTCCATGCAAACACAATATAGGATTGATGCCTAACCCTATTCAAATACCGGCAGCACCCTCTTCCACTGTTCTTACCAGCGTAGCTGTATTGTTGGTAGCAATGGTGGGAAATGTAAAGGAGAACAATTCTAGCACAGACAAGGCCACAATGAGGCCTGTGGTTTGGAAAGGGATAATCTAAATGCAAGAATATATTATTAAAATGAACCGATAGTAAACATAAACGATTACCCTGTCAATCTATTTCGGATGATTTTTACACTTAGAACAAGTTCTCCCATGGTGGCAAAGGCTCTTGAAACGAAGTTCTCATCCATGTATGGCTCCAGCTATAACGAGAAGGTTGAAGTTAGATTGGGGAGTTGGGGGGATAACACACAGTGTCACCCATACCAGTTAAACCTCCTGGACAAGCACTTTGCCTATACACTTAAAAAAAGCAGTAAGACCTGTTTAGAAGGGCCAGCATCACCAACAGCATGGGCCAAAACCCCACACTCATAAACCAGCAAGGGTGTACAGAGCCAGTCCCAACAAGATGGTCTGCAAAACAGAACCATTGGGGAACTGAGGGATGAAGCATTTAGGGAGACAGAGGCCTTCCGGAGAAGGAACAACCACAGGGAAGAGGTATTTAGGAATAAATCTCGCATAGGATGAGGCACTGTATGGGGGGTTAGAGGGATGACAGCATATCCGAGGAGAGTAAGAAGTGACACTATCTGTAGATGTAATGGGGTAGAGGGCAGCACTATTGGGGGGGGGGGTAATGGGGTGGGGGTGGCACTGCACTGGTGTGGAAGGTAGGGGTGACACTATCTGTAGGGATAATGGGGTATGGGGCACATATAGGGGAGAGCAGGGGTGGCACTGTATCTGTGGGGGTGGGAAATATAGAAGTTGCAATGTATGTGGAGGATATATGGACTGCGGGATGAGGGTAGGGGTGCCACTGCACTGTGTCTGTGGGGGATATAAGGTAGGGGGTGGCCCAGTGTCTGTGGGGCAATGGGGCAGGTGCTGTCTCAATGGGGCAGGGTGCTGCATGCAGGGGAGGGGAGGTGAGGCTGGCACTGTCCGTGAACTAGAAGGGTAGGAGTAGCGCTGTATGTGTGGGGCGGATGTGGGGTGGCACTGCGTGTGTGCGGGGATACAGGGCTGGCAGGGCAGCATGTGGGGAGATATGGGGTGGCAGCATGAGGGTGTAATGGGCAAGCCTGGCCCTGTGTCTGTGGTGGAAATGGAGGTGGGGGGTGGCGCTGTGTCTGCAGGGCAGGGCTGGCGCGGTGTCTGGGGGGATATGGAGGTGGGGGGCTGTGTCTTTGGGGCAGTGGGGCAGGGCTGGCGCGGTGTCAGGGAGGGATATGGAGGTGGGGGGGAGCCTGTGTCTGTGGGGCAATGGGGCAGGGCTGGTGCGGTGTCTGGGGGGATATGGAGGTGGGGAGCTGTGTCAGTGGGGCAGGGCTGGCGCGGTGTCTGGGGGGATTTGGAGGTGGGGGGCTGTGTCTGTGGGGCAATGGGGCAGGGCTGGCGCGGTGTCTGAGGGGATATGGAGGTGGAGGGCTGTGTCTGTGGGGCAATGGGGCAGGGCTGACGCGGTGTCTGGGGAAATATGGAGGTGGGGGGCTGTGTCTGTAGGGCAATGGGGCAGGGCTGGCGCGGTGTCTGGGGAGATATGGAGGTGGGGGGCTCTGTCAGTGGGGCAATGGGGCAGGGCTGGCACGGTGTCTGAGGGGATATGGAGGTGGGGGGCTGTGTCAGTGGGGCAATGGGGCAGGGCTGGGGCGGTGTCTGGGGGGATATGGAGGTGGGGGGCTGTGTCTGTGGGGCAACAGGGCAGGGCTGGCGCGGTGTGTGAGGGGATATGGACGTGGGGGACTGTGTCTGTGGGGCAATAGGGCAGGGCTGGCGCGGTGTCAGTGGGGATTGGAGGTGGGGGTGTTTGGGGGAATGGGGCAGGGCTGGGGGTGTCAGTGGGGGGCTGTGTCAGTGGGGCAGGGCTGGGCGGTGTCTGGGGGGTTTGGAGGTGGGGGTGTTCTGTGGGGCAGGGCTGGGGGTTTCTGAGGGGATTTGGAGGTGGGGGGTGTGTCTGTGGGGCAATAGGGCAGGGCTGGCGCGGTGTCAGTGGGGATTTGGAGGTGGGGGGCTGTGTCTGGGGGCAATGGGGCAGGGCTGGCGCGTGTCTGGGGGATATGGAGGTGGGGGCTGTGTCTGTGGGGCAATGGCGCAGGGCTGGCGCGGTGTCTGGGGGGCTGTGTCAGTGGGGCAGGGCTGGCGCGGTGTCTGGGGGGATATGGAGGTGGGGGGCTGTGTCTGGGGGGCAATGGGGCAGGGCTGGCGCGGTGTCTGAGGGGATATGGAGGTGGGGGCTGTGTTAGTGGGGCAGGGCTGGGGGTGTCTGGGGGGATATGGAGGTGGGGGGTGTGTCTGGGGGGCAGGGCTGGGCGGTGTCTGAGAGGATTTGGAGGTGGGGGGCTGTGTTGGGGGGAGAGCTGGGGGTGTCTGAGGGGATATGCAGTTGGGGGGCTGTGTCTGGGGGGCAGGGCTGGCGCGGTGTCTGAGAGGATTTGGAGGTGGGGGGCTGTGTCTGTGGGGCAGGGCTGGCGCGGTGTCTGAGAGGATTTGGAGGTGGGGGCTGTGTCTGGGGGCAATGGGGGCAGGGCTGGCGCGGTGTCTGAGGGGATTTGGAGGTGGGGGGCTGTGTCTGGGGGGCAGGGCTGGCGCGGTGTCTGAGGGGATATGGAGGTGGGGGGCTGTGTCTGGGGGACAGGGCTGTGCGTGTCTGAGGGGATATGGAGGTGGGGGCTGTGTCTGTGGGGCAATGGGGCAGGGCTGGCGCAGTGTCTGGGGGGATATGGAGGTGGGGGCTGTGTCTGGGGGGCAGGGCTGGCGCGGTGTCTGGGGGGATATGGAGGTGGGGGCTGTGTCAGTGGGGCAGGGCTGGCGCGGTGTCTGAGGGATTTGGAGGTGGGGGCTGTGTCTGGGGGCAGGGCTGGCCGTGTCTGGGGGATATGGAGGTGGGGGCTGTGTCTGGGGCAGGGCTTGTCTGGGGGATATGGAGGTGGGGGTGTGTCTGGGGGCAATGGGGCAGGGCTGGTGTCTGGGGGATATGGAGGTGGGGGGTGTGTCTGGGGGCAGGGTGGCGTGTCTGGGGGATATGGAGGTGGGGGGTGTGTCTGGGGGCAATGGGGCAGGGCTGGGGGTGTCTGGGGGATATGGAGGTGGGGGTGTGTTGGGGGCAATGGGGCAGGGCTGGGTGTCTGAGGGGATATGGAGGTGGGGGTGTGTCAGTGGGGCAGGGCTGGGGTGTCTGGGGGATATGGAGGTGGGGGGTGTGTCTGGGGGCAATGGGGCAGGGCTGGCGGTGTCTGGGGGGTATGGAGGTGGGGGGCTGTGTCTGGGGGCAATGGGGCAGGGCTGGGGGTGTCTGGGGGATATGGAGGTGGGGGTGTGTCTGGGGGCAATGGGGCAGGGCTGGGTGTCTGGGGGGTATGGAGGTGGGGGGCTGTGTCTGGGGGCAATGGGGCAGGGCTGGGGGTGTCTGGGGGATATGGAGGTGGGGGTGTGTCTGGGGGAATGGGGCAGGGCTGGCGGTGTCTGGGGGATATGGAGGTGGGGGGCTGTGTCTGGGGGCAATGGGGCAGGGCTGCGCGTGTCTGGGGGGTATGGAGGTGGGGGGCTGTGTCTGGGGGCAGGGCTGCGCGTGTCTGGGGGATATGGAGGTGGGGGCTGTGTCTGGGGGCAATGGGGCAGGGCCGCGTGTCTGAGGGGATTTGGAGGTGGGGGGCTGTGTCTGGGGCAATGGGGCAGGGCTGGCGCGGTGTCTGAGGGGATTTGGAGGTGGGGGGCTGTGTCTGGGGGGCAATGGGGCAGGGCTGGTGCGGTGTCTGAGGGGATTTGGAGGTGGGGGGCTGTGCCTGGGGGGCAATGGGGCAGGGTGCCGGGGCAGGGCAGGCCGGTGCTGTCTAGGAGCTGGCAGGGTGCGGGGGGCACGTGTGGGGCGGACGTGGGGTGGCCGCAGGGCGGCGTGTGGGTGATGGGCAGGGTGCGCGTGGCCGTGGGGCGGGTGCCCGGGCCGCGCGTGGGGGCCGCACCCCTCCCCGGCTCGCGGCGTCGGGCCCCCGGCCCCACCCCCGGCCCTGCCCGAGCCCCGCCCCCAGCGGCCCCGCGCCGCAGCCCGGCCGCCCCGCACTCACGTCCCCCATCCACAGGCTGGCGGCCATGCTGCTCCCGCAGGCCCCGGGCGGGCTCGGGGGGCCGCGGCTCCGGCTGCCCGCTCGGCCCCGCCGCCGCTTCCGCCGGCGCCGCCTCACGGTGTCTCCGGAGCCCGCTCCGGCCGCCGCGCTTCCCCGCCGCCTCCTCCTGCGGGGCCCGGCCGGGCAGAGAGCGGAGCCGCCGCCAGCCAGGGCCCCGAGCCGCCCACAGCGGGCCCTGCCGGCGGGAGGAGCAACGGCAGCGCGCGGGAATCCGGCCCGAGGGCCGGGGCAGATGGGGGTAGCTTGGGAGGTGGGGCAGGAGGAGCTGGGGGGAGGGTAGGTCGGATGGGGCAGGGACAGGAGGAGTTGGGGTAGCTTGGGAGGTGGGGCAGGAGGAGCTGGTGGTGTGGATAGGATGGGGTGGGGGCAGGGAGAGAAGCTGGGTGAGGGGTAGCTTGGGAGGTGGGGCAGGAGGAGCTGGGGGGGTAGGTAGAATGGGGCAGGGGCAGGGGCAGGAGGAGTTGGGGTAGCTTGGGAGGTGGGGCGGTAGGATGGGGTGGGGGCAGGGACAGGAGGAGCTGGGGTAACTTGGGAGGTGGGGCAGGAGGAGTTGGGGGGGTAGGTCGGATGGGGCAGGGACAGGAGGAGTTGGGGTAGCTTGGGAGGTGGGGCAGGAGGAGCTGGTGGTGTAGGTAGGATGGGGTGGGGGCAGGGACAGGAGGAGTTGGGGTAGCTTGGGAGGTGGGGCAGGAGGAGCTGGGGGGGTAGGTAGGATGGGGCAGGGACAGGAGGTGTTGGGGTGAGGGGTAGCTTGGGGGGTGGAGCAGGAGGAGCTGGTGGTATAGGTAGGATGGGGTAGGGGCAGGGACAGGAGGTGTTGGGGTGAGGGGTAGCTTGGGGGTGGAGCAGGAGGAGTTGGTGGTGTGGGTAGAATGGGGGAGTAGGAGCTGGGGTAAGACGGGCAGGTGCAGGAGGTAGGGAAAGGAATATGCAACCTGTGGCTTCTAGGAGCTACTTTGAATCCAGCCGAGAGTAGTATTTACATTGTTGTCAACTCCTCTCACTGTATCTCGTGTTTTTCTTAAAGCCCCAGCTCCTGGATTCACAAGATTACTGAGAGTCTCCACTTTCATTTAAGAAAGAAAAAGTTTCTAGCCCTCATGATGATTGTGCAGAAAAGCTTGAACATGACCAAGTACAGCCTAAAGGCTCCGAAACCTGTAGGCAAATAAAATGAATGTCAAATTTAGTATTTTAAAAAAATTCTCATGAGTTTTGAGCACTTTCAAGCATTCAACACTCATGAGGCAGGCCCTCCAAAATAATGAGATCAGCTTAAAAATAATGAGATTTAAAACAATGAATTGTATTATTATTAATTTATTTCTATTGTGGTAATACATAGGAGCCCCAGTCACGGACCAATATTCCACTGTGCTAGGTGCTGCATAAACATAACAAAAAGACAGTGCGCACCCCAAAGGGCTTGTAAGCTAATGATACTTTCACAGGTGATTTTTTTTTCCCTTCTGTTTTTTGTGCCTTGAGAGTTTGCTCGGGTCATAGTTACAATCTTTTCTCGCAAAAGCTGGCAATACTCCAGTACTGTGGGAATGACTGAAATTGGCCAAGTTTGAAGGTTTTTTAGAGGCCTGTTTGGCAATGTTCCCTCTAATTTTTTACATCCATGTGCGGAATGAATGTTGTTATGCGGACCAATATGGAGGTGAAGTGTGGTGGGACCAAGAGGTTTGAAGTATGGGAGGGGGCTCAGGGCTGGGGCAGACGGTTGGGGTGCAGGGGGTGAGGGGTCTGGCTGGTGGTTCAGGCTCTTGGGTGGGGTCAGGGATGAGGAGTTTGGGGTGCAGGCTGTCCCAGGACTGCGGTGGGGAGAGAGGACTCCTCCCAGCCCTCTCTTGCCACAGCATCCTGGGGCTGGGGCCAGGGGAGAGGCTATCCCTATCTGCACAGCTTAGAGGGAACTTAGCTGTTTGTTTGGAGTGGGTTTCTGGGTCTCAGACCAGTCCCTACTGGGGCCAGCATCTGCCTTACAAAATCACTGTCATCCTAGGCACAAATTAACCCACCCCTGGTAGGCATGGTCAACAGAGGCTGAATTCTCTAGGGGTGGGTCCCACTAAGTCAAAGGTGAGGCCCGTTGGTGGGATTGCGTGTGTGTGTGTGTGTACTCCAGTTTCTTCTGCCTGTGTTCCGTGGCTGCCAAAGGAATTCAGTCTCCAAGACCCTCAGTTCATCACCTCTTACCAGGGCTGGATCGGTGACAGCTTGGTCTCTGCCTCTTCTCCAGTTTGTACCTCCACAGGTCAGGTCCTTGCCAGCAAATGTCTTCACTTCACCACATTGACTTCCTGGGGGAAATGAGAGAGCCAGCCGTTATGGTCCCAGGGACAGGCAATAGCAGCACTGAGATAGCTTTAGTGACAAAATTCCCAGAGGATTTTGGGTGGTTGTATTCTTGTTATTTTGTTTTGTGGTAGCACCCAACAACTCTAGTCATAGACTAGGATCTCCTTGTGCTAGTTGCTGTACAAATACAGAACAAAAGGACTGTCCTTCCCCTGAAGATCTTGCAGTGTAAGTAGTCCTGTCTCCCTCTAGTAGCTGTCTAAATAAATGCAACATGCTCACAGTTAAAGGAATTCTTTTTTAATGGAGGCCTGTGTTTTTGGGGCTGAAGGTTCAGTGTTTGGTCTCTTTTGTCTACATGTCGCCAAGGTGTGTGAGTTTTTTTAATGGTTTTCGTTCTGCCTGTGTAGTTGTGTGTGTCTGTACATAAAAAACATAGGTGTATTTAAAAAATTTCAGTGTGCCGTTGTGTACGTCTGGGTGTCGTGAACTGCTGTGCTGATGAAGGAGCCAGACTGGCAGCCCTGGAGACTCAAGTCCCATGTTTATACACAAAACAGACACAGTATGAGCAACATGAATGTCAGCTTTGTCCACACTGTCCCCCAGGGCTCTGCTCTGGAGGGGCCCGCTCTAGGAGTGAGGGGGGGAGTTCACTCCTTAGGCTCATCACTGAGATTGCTAACAAGGGGGCCATTTGGTGCCAGCAATGTAGGTTGTTTTGTGATGTGGGACCCAATTCAGCCCAGATGAAACCAGATGCATTGGAGTCAATGGGAGATAAGCCTGCTTACACCAGAACCATATGAGGCCTCTCATCTCTCTGTATGCTTTGTAAACTCCTTATCTATAATGGACAGACAGGTGCGCAGCATTAGCTGTAATAGATCAAACCTCTGAACCCTCTTTCTGTGTAATACTGTATCAGACTGATGACAGCAGGAGAGAGGAAGAGGTGCCAGTTCTGTTTCCAGAGGGTAAGTGTTGCCATACCTCCCATTCCGAATAAAGCAGAACTACATGGACGTCAATAATCTTGGCTGAGGGTTTGTTGCCAGCTCTGCTCCTGCCAGAACAAGAGGGGGCAGCACAAGCTTGTGTAACAAACAAATGAGGTGGGGTGTCTTCATAACCTAATGTAAACAAACCTCGGGAAACGTTTTTGTGTGTGAATTTTTTAAAAGGTGTTGAAAAGCGATGTATTTAAACATTTACTTAACCATTTCTCTGGAGCATTGGCAATCTAGACAACAGCATGGAGGTGGTGTATGAAACCTACTAAGGACAGAAAGTAACTGTCCAGTCTGGTTTCCCTTGCAAGTTAAAACTTTATTAATTTCCAGCCCCACTTGATTTAGCAGAATTTTGCAGTGGGCTAAAGAAATTCCATAAGCTCCGAGTTAGGCAAGGCCTGGCTCTATAACATCAGACTGCAGTATTGCCATCCCCAAGTGTTCAAAAATAATGAGTCAGCCCTCTAAAAATTATTATATTGTCTTAAAAAATAAATTTAAAAATACATTCTGCGTTCTTCTCATTTGCCTTCTGTTTTTTGAGTTTTTATGGTGCATGCAGATCAAAGTTTTCCAGCTTTTCTCTTCAACCATGAGGGCCAGAAACGTTTGTTGTTGTTTTTAAATGAAAGCTGAGAATCTCATATATTCACAAGACTCCAGGAATTGGGGCTTTAATAAAAGCTGCATATAGTGCAAGATGATAAAATCATGATTGTTTGCAAGACTGGTACTGTTGAGAATATGGCCTCCTATTTAGTAATTTTTTTTCATTTAATGGTGTAAATTTAGTGCTTAAGAATGGTGCTGTCTTGATAGCCATGGGGCTTGATGTCCTCTAAGAGCATAAGAATGGCCATACTGGGTTAGGCCAAAGGTCCATCTAGCCCAGTGTCCTATCTTCTGACAGTGGCCAATGCCACGTGCTTCAGAGGGAGTGACCAGAACAGGCAATCATTGAGTGGTCCATCCCCTGTTGTCCACTCCCAGCTCCTGGCAACGGAACAGATACAGCATGGAGAGCAAAAGGTAAGCTCTCCCTCTCCCCCCAAGTTCTTGATATATCTCAGCTGGAGAAACCACCATCCCTAGAAGTAAAAAGGAAGTTACAATCTAGTGCTTTTTATCCATAAAACTCCAAGGTCTTTACAGTGCTCATTTTACAGATGGAGAACCCTAGCACAGAGAGGTAAAGTAATTTGCCCAGCATAAAAAAAATCATCAATCAGTGAGTCAGGGGCAGAACTGGGAACAGATGTTCTGATTCCTGGTGTTATCTGCTGAACCACACTACCTCTTCAAGGCCTGCTTAAATTGGTGTCTCTGCTGAGACTGCAAGTCAAGGAGTTGTGGGGGCAGTGACTGCGGACAGGGCAGCACACGGAGACCCCCTGCCCCTTCCTCCCCAGGAGCTGCTGCCGAACATGCTGGCCATTTCCGGGAGCGGTGTGGGGCCAGGGCAGGCAGGGAGCCTGCCTTAGCTCTGCTGCATCGCTGCCTGCGGTAAGCGGCACCCAGCTGGAGCCCGCGCCCCGGCCCTGAGCCCTCTCCTGCACCTCAACCCCATCCCAGAGCCTGCACCCCTACCAACTGCCAGAGCCCTAAGCCCCCTCCCGGAGCCAGCGCTTCTTCCCCCCCAATCTCCTGCCCCAGCCCTGAGCCCCCTCCTGCACCCAAACTCCCTCCCAGAGCCTGCACCCCGAACCCCCTCCTGCACTCCACCCCCCCTGCCCCAGGCTCAGCCCGGAGCCTGCACCCCAACCCACTGCTCAAGCCC